TCATCGTACTCCTCGTCATAGTGCTCCGCGGATTCTCTGTCTCTTATCCTTATCATTTCTCTCTGCACATATACCGTTTCGGTCTTCTTGGTGACATCAATGGTTCCATTGCTCGCTGCCGCTGTTCAATGTACCCTTCGACATGATCATCTCCCTTTGTGGATGCATGACAATACACTCGTGGCCGTTCATACCAACGATCCATGGACATGGTCCTCGCGATGTGCCCCGCGCAAGAAGACACGGGCAATCGCACAAAATTAGCCCAAGGTATGTCATCGAATTCGCGAATACATTGCACAATGATGCGGGAGACACTGAGCGCAGAGAGATACATGACGCTGTTATAACATTCCATTCCATTGCCCGACCCAGTCCCATCCCGGAGCGTCGACAACGAACTTGAAATTCCTAAGAAAAACTCAACATTCAGTAAAGCGCGTTCGGCACCTAGAGAGATGTGTGTCAGTGAGGGAGTTGGGGTGAGATGCACGCGCCCGACTGTGTTCGCAATCGGGCGCGCGCTCTCCGGGGGCACGAGGGCCGAGAGTCAAAGATACCGCGAACATCATCCATGCACAAACGATATCCGCGCACCTCCAACCCCTCGAACCTCGCGCCCCCTTGCGACCAGCGCAAGAGACCGAAGCTAGAAACCGGAGCCGAAACCAAGCCAAGCCAAGACCTGAAAAGAAGAGCAAAGCGATTAGTAGAGCCTGTGTAAATGGTTAGCCTATGATCATATGTATGGAGATGAAGGGAGGCTTACCGAAAACAAATATCAGCGCATCAGAGTCTCTTGAAGCCTGGTCGCCGGTCCCTGGTCCCTGGTCCCTGGAATCTGTAAAATCTGCGAACGAGATTCAGACAAGGAATCATAACGAAAAAACAGGAAGACTCACCTAAAGAAGTGCAGTGCGAAGTTCCACCTGCGCCCCCACTCCGACGCCCTTAGACATCAACCTGACCTGCCCGCCGAATCGCTCCCTTCCTCTCCACCATAGCCTTCCTCGACCCCATTACGCCCTTCTTCATCGCCTTCCTCCTCTCCACCGTCGCTTGACCCTCACCGAGCACCATATCCCAGTCCATCTCCTGCACCTCCTCCTCGACCTTGACCTCGACCTCGACCTTGATCTCGACGACCGCCGGCATCTTGCGCCTTCCAGTGACGATGGAACCGAGCCTCTTCAAGCCCCTCTCGACCGACCTCAGACCGGTGACCGCCGCCTGCAGAACGACGGGCCGGGCCGAGGCCGCGGGCAGCTCCTTTCTAACTTGCGACGACGACGAAGGGCTCGTGGGCACCTGCGTGATCGATATAACGTTCATGAGGCTCGTCGTTGATAAAATAAGGGGCAAGGGCACATACCTGGACACCTCCGCGAACGATTTCATAAAAGACCAGCGTACCATCCGACTTCTCGTAGATGAAGACGGAGGCACCGGCGTAATGGACAGCGACGATGAGAGTGGAGCGCATGGTAGTATGAGGGGATGATTGAGATGTGGAAGTTTATGATTGCTTTGCAGTAATGAGGTGATGGATGTATCAGGAGAAGATGTAGTTGGCCCTATATCGAGCATCCAGCGAGCTCTTATACCAGGAGCGGATGCGGAATAACTGTGCGGCTCGACTTCACCGTGAAGTCGAGCCGCACAGTTATTCCGCCTTCCGTGACGGAAGGTGGATTGGCTCCTTTGGTCAAGTCCCGGTGCACAGACCTCCCAGAAATCTCGGGGAACGACTTGCGCTTTGGATCATAGAGCCGAGGAGATACCACGTAGCATAGATCCCGGCCAGTTGAGCCTCGCATGGAGTAGTGCAATGTTCGGAAGGAGGACATGAAGTCGTAAATTACGACTTTATGTCCTCCTTCCGACTCGTAATTCGCTGGCGGTCCAGCTACAGTGAATAAGCGCTGCAAGTATCTGGTGCGTGACCAGCTTTTATCGCGAATCCAGAGCCTCGGTGTACATGTTGAGTAGAGATGACCGACAATGTACACGTACGAGTCCGAGTCTCCGCACGCGCCACCAATGACCATACATAACACAGCGGGAAATCCCTTAAATCTGGGAAAAACATATCAAAAAAATGTTGTATAGTTGTTACTGACATATTTGCAGCTAAGCTAGTCTGAGGTTATGTCAGACTTATCTCAAGGATGCAGATATATGTCAAGAATATGACTACTTTCCCCGTCTCTTTGCAGTAAGTTTGACATCATTTGGGTCAACTTAGCTCATAGCGTTTCTGAATTATTTTGCAAATTATCTCTGATATATTTTGCCCAGATTCAGCCTGTTTCCCGCAGTGTAACGGCGTCGACGTTGGGCTCATGCGTGTGAACGACTGTCTTCATTGTTCATCGAGAGTCTGACTGGGGAGACCAGACGTTACGTATTTTCCGTCGGAGTCCAACGGGAATCATAGCTGAGAGTCAGGCACACTGCGACTCACGACTGCAACGCCTCGTACGGTATGTAGCCCTGCCTCTTCGCAAAGAAGGCGCTCGATTCTTATGATGATAGGCCTAGAGCTGACGATTCGTTTCTCGGACACGAACACGTACAAAGAAAACAATACGCCCTTGGGGCCGTGATGTCCGTATTTGCTGCGCAAAAAAGCTGGGCGTTCTTTGTGCCATCCTCGGCCACTAGTACGGACTCCGAAGCTGTTCCGATCTGTCCTCACGCTGCACGCACTGCCCCGAGCTGCGTTCGAATTTGGCCGTTGGCGTTAAGATCGCAAAGATAGGAAAACTCTGAGTGTCTCTTGACGCTCGGCACTAGCGCTGGACGCGTACATTTGAGCAGGGATGTGGCGGGGAGGTTGTCACCTGCTTGTCTAATTAGCGTGCGCCGTTGTATTGTTGAGGACCGCCGCGGTGCGGGGTCGCATGTGGTTGTGTTGACTTGTCGATCGGACAGCACGATGGTATGTCTATAATGCCACAGTATTCTCGATATGGAGTCACTGGATATCGTACTTATGAGCATGGCTGTACAGCTCATTGCGGCCAGCACTGTCGTGGATCTCACTTGCAGGACAAAGCCATTTGCCTGTGTGGCACTTCTCTTGAAGATATAAGACGAGCGCTTTTAGTTCACCCCTGCCAATATCCCAACGGCATCCTTCGCGACAAACACCCCTCCATCAACATCCCAAGCAAAATGACCCACGATATCCGATCACATCCTGTTCCCGAGTCCTTCCATAGCCGCTTGTGGGCGTCCCGGCGAACTGGGCCACCGAAAACCATCGCAACCCCCGACCCTGCCGTAGGTACCCTTACTGAATCCCACCGTGTATGACTGAAAAAACTTCAGACGACCGAGAACCCTCATACTTGGCTGCTGCAGGCGCACGCGCACTCGGAGCAGGGTCATCGCCCGACTATGGAAGATGTGCACGCGATCGTCCCCGAGTTCGGTGGGATACACGGGCAGGGATTCTTCGCCGTCTACGACGGTCACGGCGGCAGCATCGACGTCGCCAGATATTGCGGCGAACATTTGCACGAGGTGAGACCGACATAGCTCGTCCTCTTTTACACCTTACACCGCTGTTCCTTCAGAACGCTGATGCACCCGCCTTTTGCAGGTGTTGCTACAGAACATGCACCAACATCCACACGAACCCTTACTCGATGTCCTCCGACAGACCTTCCTCGATACAGATGAGAAGATCAAAGAGCTGGACAAGTCGGATCCGACAAAGGATCCTGGAAGCACAGCGGCAGTCGCAGTTGTGCGCCTAGAAGACGGCGCCGCCGAACCCAATTGCCCGTCAGCGCAAGGGAAGGCGCCACAACGCGTGCTATACTGCGCGAACGTCGGAGACTCACGAGTCGTGCTCTGCCGCGCCGGAACGGCCGTTCGCCTCACGCGCGACCACCTACCGAGCCACGCGGACGAGCGAGCGCGGATCGAGGCCGCGAACGGCAACGTCTGGTTAGGGCGCGTGCAAGCATACCTTGCGATCTCGCGCAGTTTTGGCGACCACGACTTGAAGCAGTGGGTGATCGCGGAACCCTACACGACGCGGACCGTGCTGGAAGAGGTGGACGAATTCATGATCATCGCCTGTGACGGGGTGCGCGATGCCGCTGGTCCTTCGTTTTCTGCGGTTAGCTCACAATACTCTTCTATCGACAGCTCTGGGATGTGATGAGTGACCAGGAGGCGGTGAATATCGTCCGTGCACAGGCAAACCCCGGTGATGCGAGCTCGATCTTGGTCCGAACCGCTTTGGATAAATGGACTTCTGACAATGTCACGGTCGTGGTCGTGCGACTGAGTTCTGGCCCTCAGTCTCGACGGTATAATAATTGGGCTTGCCAGTAGAGGATACTTCTGCGCTCTCTTCCCGACATTTCAAGTATTTATGGCTCAAGGGCTGTCTACGTGAATATACATGCGCGCCGCGTTCCGATCACGATGCGCTCCAATATCGTACCCGGAGTTTAGATACGCTCAACGTGTCAGACGGGAAGCGTCGCGGATGAACTGAACGATTTCTCGTGCATCCTCATAATCATCGTCTGCGGAGCTGTCCGTCCAAGCCTCGGGAGAAGACAGGGTCTTGATCGCATCTAACATGGTCTCGGTGCGAGATCGGTAGCCCTCCTCCGTTGTACACATGGAGAAGATGGAGAACTCCGTCTTCTTGGTGGTAGACGTGATCAGCTCGGCCCTGTTACACGTGAGCGTCAGTCTCATAGGTAATCTTGGCACGGGTACACTTTCACCTCGCATCGTGGTCCAGCGAAGACCAGGCCTCGTGATACTTGTCTCCATGTTTGCGAAGAATTTTCCGAAGCGCCTTAGACATTCGCGCGCAAGCGCCGTGTCGTACAGAAGGCTAAAGAGGATGATCAACCCCGAAACTATTGGATGCTGAACGGACTGACCGATATCTTCTGTGAGAATCCAACGTCTAGGTTGATCATGACGTCCTCTAGTCCATCCACCGGCGATGCTAAGAGGTGTTAGCCGAGTATTCCGCAGGGACAGGCGCCACGCACAGCTACGCATTGGGGCAGCGTCATCCAACAAGACCGGATCCCCCTTTTCCCGCGGCGTTGGAACTGGCGAAATAGATCTCTTCCTCGGTCGCTTAGCAACGTTGCGGTCTTCCCCCTTCGATGGATGTTCCAGGGCGATATCCTCTGATAGATCGATGTCCACGCTGCGGACTGTCGGCTTCGAGATCATGAGGGGTGGCTTGAAAGGTTTCTTGACCGTTCCGAGCGACGCAAACTGCTTGACCTCTGAGCAGAGTGGTATTTGAGAAAACAGACTAGACCAAAGCCGCCGCACTCACTTGAGCTTAACGGGTCGTATTCATTTCTCGGGCGCTTGGTGGGTGCAACCGGGGGGCCAGGAGAAAAGCCCCTCTTCGACGAGGTGCCAGACGTCGATGGCCGATTCTCTTTTGGCAGATGGGAGGGTCCCCTCCAAGGTGCCGAGGGCGGTTGCATTATGCGATTGTTCTGGAGACCAGCTGCAGGGTACTGCTGTAATCTTGACTCCGAGCTGGTCACTGTCTGTGCAACCGGTCGAGGTCGAGGCCTCGGGTAGCCATCAACGTCGTCGTCGTCGTCGAAGTTCGCGTTGGTGCGCTGTATTGTCGCAGCTTGGGAACTGACCCATTCATCAGAAGACAGGTTCGATTTCCGATCTCGAACTTTGTCCGGGTATTTGCAGACCTGAACGCCGGGTCAGTCCAGGTAGCATTCATTGGCGTTGAGGAAGGAGTTACATCACACATCGCATTGCAATAACGCCTGAGAACTTCGGGGTCCTTATCATCAATGACCTCGCCGAAGTAGCGGCAAAGAGACTGGCAAGCATCAGCGTCAGGTCACTGACAGCGGTAGGATGAACGCACAACATGACGGCAAATGTTCACACTTTCTGCGAACGCTTCCAACTGCGTTCGTACGTGAGCGATGGTCTTATGTGAGCATGCCGAGGTGCATACCGCGCGCAGGCTATTCATGGCGCGTTGGCTCGGAGGCGGCCCATTGGCCGCCATGCGGCGGTTGTTGGCATCACCGGTTAGCTTCCTTATTCGGAGAGCATCCTCTCGCGCTGGATGGACAGCATGATTAATATCGACCATGGGGCAGAAACAAATCAGCGTACAGTAGAAGAGGACGCATTTAGCTGGCTGAGTTGTCAAGTATATTAGTGCAACATTTTTGTGGATATATGCGATCTCACGGATCCGTCACGGCCTGCCCGTCCTGCCAAACCGCATTAGCGCCCATATTCAAGCGCGGATGCAGTTTACATGCCTGTTTCTTGATAGTAGCCTGAGCGGTGATCAGTCTCTGCTAGGAAGCGAATTAGTCAATCACACCCACCTTCAAGGCTCTTTGGCAGGTCATAATGTATGATATACCTCTGCACGATGTGGGGTTGGATGAAGCTGGATAAAAGGTGGCAACTCTTGACTCACGACGTCAGGTTTATCAATGCCCATACCAAAGGCTATCGTCGCACAGACCTGTGATAGATATGAGTACAGGTGGTGATTGCAGCCAAGGTACGCACCACGTCAACGCCGCCTTCTCCGGAACCACCCATCTCCCATTCCCTCAGAGTCTTGTCCAGGAGCTGAGGCCTTATAATATCAACATCTCTCATGAGTATCCCGTCATGACGAAATCTGAGGAGGTTCACTTGACGCCGCGGTGGTACGGACGGGCGCTTAAACCCTTCGCGCGAAGATACTGGGACAGTTGATCGCATATGGCACGAGTGCGGCAGTAGACGATGCCGGAGGACGCGCGCTTTCGCCGGCGATGCAACGTGGATATATATTCATATACGTCATGCATGTGTAACGCTGGGTCCGCGTTTGATAGGTACCGGACCTGCTCGGGTGCGTCAGGGGGTATCATGTGCAACGACGATGGTGACTGACCTCGTAGTACAGATTTGCTCTATTGAAGGGGTGGACGACTTTGTATAGATGATCTCTTGACATCTTGAGGTTGGAGATGATGTCCTCGACGACGCTGATGGCGAACGACCATCAGATGCGGATATTCGATGACACATGCGCTTACTGGGGAGTCGCACTGGCGGTGAGCGCCATAATAGGTACATCGGGAAAGCGATCTCGTAGTGATCCCAGCTTGCGGTATTCCGCACGAAAATCGTGCCCCCATTCCTATGCACAAGTAAGCGACTGTTCAGCGAACAAAACGGCGGGCGCAAATCACCGAGATACAATGGGCCTGAGGGAATTAACGTCAATCCATGTTAAAACTGTAGCGATTCCCAAGCGAATCACTTCACCTCGTCTACGACGAACCTGTTGAGCTCACCGTTCTGATAAACTTTCTGCAGCAACTTGCTAAAATCCGCGGAAGAAAGCCTTTCCGGAGTAACTGTTGAGAGCATCAATCTGAGGTAATACAATACCAGGTTTGCGCCTACACGCACTATACAATAAGCGATTCCGGGGGTGACCGCTTGATATATCCTTTATGATCTACGGGTAGAGGAGATATCAGTCAGGACAGCATGGAAAGCCACGACGACTGCTTACCGCGAGCCTTTCGTCCGGTGGTGTCTCGGAGGTGAGCGCCGCAGCGTAACGATATTTCTTGTGTAAATTTGCGACCTCTTTTCAACAAGATAAGTCTTTTTCAGTGGGAAACATGTACTCGGTTCATCATACGATTCTTCATGAGCGCTATGTTTCATACCTGCGTTAGTTATACTGCGCGGACAGCATCCGAACATGACCCACATAATAAAGGCGAGATAACAATCGTGATTCCATGCTATACGAGATGCAGTCATGTTCTGTCCATTAGGCACGAGCTTCGCACCAACTTGCCTTGTCTGCTATAGCTGGTACCTGGAAGCAAACGCTCTGAAATGTCGCACTCAATGAGGTATAGAGGGGGCTATTATGACAAAATCGCACACCTTGCCCATTCCTGTCGGCGCAAGCACGAACACATCGGCGCCTGCAAGATTGCGTGGAAGGTCGAGCCTTCACTCGACGACTACAGCATGCGAGCGACAGACCTCGTACCGCGGCCTGGAAGATCTCTTTCTGTTTCCCCTTGTACCCTTGGTGACCAAAGACTAGGGGAGATGTTCAAAGGGATCCAACTTCCGATCCTTGAATAGCGTGCTTACTTCTGCTCAAGACGCTTACAGGTACGCGTAAGCATGAATGCGCGAGGTGATATCCTTGCTGGCTCTAGCTCACAAGTGGCAATCCACATCGCCGCTCGCCTCCCGCCTCATTGCCCGCGGTTTCTGCCCTGATTGGCGAACGTTGGGATAATCGACCGGAGGCGGCGCGGTCAACGACGAGGACGTATCAGCCGGCCGGTCCGAGACATCGTCGTAGTCCATAGCTCTTTGAAACCGGCGGTCCGGTCCAACCTGATGGCTCTTGGTGTTCAGAACAGAGATCTGTCAAAACTCGCGCAAAAAGAGGATAGCGTGAATGCGCAACAGCCGCCCGGGCCGCCAGACGGACGCGCCGCATGAACACGGTCACCTGACAATTCCCTCGCTTACTGTGTCTGTTCACGGGATTTCTTACCAAGTGGCAAGGGACTGACGCTCATCAATATAAATTTAAGTACTCTACGGTCCGGTTCCTAGACATACTCCGCGATTTCCCCGAGCTTTGGTTCAAGGTCTTTTAAGGTGCTCCCATCAAGCGCTCCTTGACCTCCCGTTCTCACACCTTCTCCTCGACACTCACAGGCTTCAGCCATCGCAAAAGTGACCCCGTCCTCGCATGCCTGCTGTTGACGTAGCCGTCGACGCTTCTGCCGCGTCTGCGGGGTCGGTTTCGCTATTTTCGACGGCAACGACGTACGATGCCGTTTTGGGCACACTGTTGGCCGGGAATGGAAACCTCGAGCAAGATCTGGAAACACTGCAAGCATGGAAGGAAGCTTTCGAGAGAAGTGGGCGCAAGATGCTGAAGTGTACGTGTGTCATCGCTTCATCAGTGTGGGGTCAACTGCGCATCACATCAGTGTGCATATTGATACTGACCAAGTGCCCATACGGATGAGCAGTTCACGTGTTCGCCAACTCGGTATTGACACAGCGATTCGAAGCAGCGCGGGCCCGCTTGGAAGAGCTCGGGCGGCCTTCCGAAGAGCTCCAGCTCTTTCATGGAACTGCCGAAGCTAATTTTGAGTCGTAAGATTGGATAACGACGTTCCCTTCCGCATGCAAGGTCCTTATCGCAACGCCAGGATCTTACGAGATGGCTTACACGTTGGCGGCACTCGCGGGATCGATATTGGGATTGGCTGCGCGTCCGGGGTGGGGATCTATCTTGTCGACTACGCGGCCGGTGCCATGGGATATACCAAAGGGGCGAACAAGGTCTTTGGGTGCCGCGGTATGTCACCATATGTTGCGCTCTCATTTGATTTTGATGCGTAAGGCACGCTTACCTGAACCCTTTGCAGTGCTCCCTGGCAAGGTGACTGGCGACGTCGAGAAGGTTCGGAAGATACCTAATGTAGACCTGGGTGTCGGCGCAGAACGCTTCGACTCGTACTGCGGGCCTTACGAGAAAGGTAAACTGTACGTGGTGCGATCTCCTGACCTCGTCTTGCCCTGCTACGTGAGTGCTTTGATCGTAGTTATCGTCACGCCACGGGCCAACACGAAAATACTCATCGGTCCCGTCTCTCTCCGTTCCGCAGATGATCGAATTTGAGGCACAGGAGCCGTTATCGAAACAGCCGAGGCATGGTGCGCCCCAGGCGCTATACCCTATGGTGCCGCCCAATGGCGGCCCACAGCGTAAGGCGCCCCGCGCAACAGCTCGTGTAAGCAAGACTAAGACCAAGGCGATGGCTGCGGGTCGGTCATCGCGGACCGTTTCCTCCGAGGGCAAGTACGGTCCGAAGCCGGCCGCGTCACAGCCAACCCCTGATGTCGCCAAACCGGCCAAGCGCATTCGCAAGCAATTCTCCTCTCAGGATGAAGGCCAAGAAGCAGGCAAATCAGCGCAGGAAGGCATGATAACGCGACGGAGAGCCGCCGCTCTCAGAGAACTCCAGGTTCATCAATAGACACGGTATACAACCGCTGGCTGCTTTCCGCCAATACCATTCTGCCCAGGGGTCAGATGGTGTCGTCCGGTGGTTCCCCTTAGCCGTGATGACCCATGCTGTTCTGGATCTCGAATTCTCCACGGGCTCATCCTTCCGAGGTTCGATCAGGAGTACCATCGCCAACATATGATCTGGGAGGCTTTGATAATAACGTCTTTGCACAAGCATAGGCGGTAACCGGCGGGCAAAAGCACTTGATTGGGATGTCACATGCGTTACAAAACGTCATTTCAATGGGCCGGTTACACGTTGACTCTTACCTTCAATGTTGCACGTATTCTCTGCTCTGAGCTTGCTCGAGCTGCACATAAGAAGGCAGAGGGATATTCATGGTCATCCATCTTCACGACTCTTGCTCTCCGTCAATCAACCTTAGGAAAGGAGACATTCACCCTGCTTCTTCGGTATGCAACCCCAGGAAAGGCGACCTTCCAGGCCGCATTCTGGAACTTCAACAGCCTCAACGGGCTCCGATTTCCCACGATTGCATTTCTGTGACGGTCACACCTGGGATCTATAGGGGCCGTACCTTCTCCCTGCCGTGCGGCACTCACGCAAGAGTGCCCACCTATTTATTCATCCAGTTGCCGGACCCGGGGCACGCCTCCTTTCTTCTCTCCCGACCGACCTTCGATTGCTCTGTCTCGTCGCCATGTCGAAATCTTGGAGGGCTCGCGTACCATTCCACCACAGCGAAAAGGAGAAGAACACGACTTCACACATCGAGCGCACTTTCGATAACGATGGATCGGACGGCACCATGATTAGTGACCACGTAAGCCTGTATCCAAACAGATGGGCGAAGTTCAGGTATGTAGCCAGGTCGATCCCGCAGTCACGTTTCATGAACACTAAATGAACCCGTAGATCATACATCCGGGAATACGCTGCGGAATTCTTGGCGACGATGATCATGATCATCTTCGGGAACGGTGTGGACTGCCAGGTAGTTCTTTCGGGCAGCACCGCCGTAGCTTCCAGCCAGAAGGGTGTAAGTCGTCACGTTGCCTCCTTACGCGCTCTCTGATTCTTACCCACCCCGTAGTCTTACCTGTCCATTAGTTTCGGATGGGCTTGCGGTGTCGCGCTTGGCGTCTGGGTCACCGGAGGTATTTCTGGAGCACACTTGAACCCTGCGTTAGTCCACCACATCCTCGCGGACTATCCTCGTCCATAACTTCTGTTCCACCCAGTATTACTATCATGCTCGCCACCTTCCGCGATTTCCCTTGGCGAAAGGTCCCTGGGTACTGCCTCGCTCAGTTGCTCGGGGCTTGGGTCGGAGCCTTGGTCATCTACGCGAACTATTTTGTACGTCTCCTCCAAACATCACTTCAACCTGGACGTTGACATTTCCTGGTCTCGATGCAGCATGCTATCGACCTCTTCGAGGGCGGCAAAGGGGTTCGTACCGTACCAGGCACAGCGTCTCTCTTTGCTACCTACGCTGCCGACTACATGACCAGCGTATCATGCTTCTTCGATGAGGTCCGTCCATCTCTAATTTATCACTTGCGTATCGGTCCCGCTCACTCTGTGATTGCCTCGTAGTTCATCGGCACTGTCGTTCTGGTAATCGTTGTTCTGGCCATCTCCGACAAGACCAACGGTCCCCCGCCTCCGGGCCTCAACGCGCTCGTGCTCTTCATTCTTATCCTGGGTATCGGCGCCGCACTTGGTATGGAGACCGCATATGCCATCAACCCCGCGCGTGATCTCGGCCCACGAATTATGACTGCCATGGTCGGCTATGGAAAAGACGTTTTCACCTACCGCAAGTCAGTGTTCACTGCATTTCACTTGTCCACGGAGCCATTCACTTACCCGCAACCTCCAGCCAATACTGGTTATGGTGTCCCATCATCGCTCCCATTGCCGGCGCACTCGTTGGTGCTGCCATCTACGACGGCTTCATCTTTGAGGGCTCAGAGAGCATCGTCAACAGGCCGTGAGTCCTCTCCTCGTGCTGTGTTCGCGTTGTTACCTAACGAGCATGCGATAGTAACAAGGCAGCGCGGCTACACCACGAGCATGCCCCCGCGGAAGAGCAACAGCTCCCTCCAGCAGGTGCCTACGCCGTCTAAATCCGCAACGGCCGCATGCTTCGCCCACCTTCGCATATCCTTCATGTTACATACTGGGGCTTGTGAGACCGGGACTGGACCGGAAAAAAAGACTGCGCGTAAGGCCCGCCGCCGTCAGCGATGATGTCTTTCCCCCCTTCACGTCATGACGTACCACCATGGACGCACGCTATCGCACACAACAACACCACACGACAGATAACGACCGTCATTTTCGAGGGAAGATTGTACTGCGCTGTCCTGTCAGTGTATATAGCTGTGCTTCTCCTCGCCGTGATGTTTGTTGTTTCCACTATCTTATCCCTATTCATTCACGAATCACGTCTAGCACATACCTTGTATCGTATGATATATATCCATAGCAGAGCGATGTAAATTCGCATTGTATTGTCCACGAAATGTACCATTGCTCGAGAACATTTGAGAAATTCGAGAAACAGTAAGATCATACGACGATGATGTCGCAGCGAGGGGACTATAGACATAGGTTGGTGGAGAATACATTTTGAAGTGTTCGAGTTAATACTACAAGACGAGGGCGATGACGATCCAAACACAAAAGGAAGAAAGAAAAGGAAGAAACGAGACGGCAAGAACTTGGTAGTGAAGAATGGTGTGTATAGTGTCCGACAAGGAAACCCGTCCATCAGGAAAAACCGGATTTGCTAAACACCTCCTAAAACCTCCTAAAACGTGCTCATTTAGTAGCTTTAGGGGGTTTCGGTACCCAATAAGCGACTCTTTCGATACTCCGATTTTTCCTGATGTCCTGTCACCACTTGCCCGCGAGCCGGCCCACGGCCCAGACGTAGCCGCCTCCGCCCACGGGGAGGAGGAGCACCCACACGCCGACGTCCCACGCGATGCGCCGGAGCAGTCGCCGCTTCTGCAGGCTTCGCTCCTTGCGCCGGAGGAGCTCTTCCATCATCTCGTCGCCCTGGGCGGAGAAACTCGGATGGCTCGCGGACCGGAGCGGCGTGCGCGGCATCACGATGGCGATGGGCCGTTTGAAGGTGTGCGTCACGATGTGGATGAAAGCTGACGAGTCGAGATCGGTCAGTTTTGTCGACGACAACACGTGGGGTTAAACGGCTGGAAGGCTTACCTGGTGCGAAGTACGCGTTCGAGAGGGCGAAGACCATGAGGACGTCGCTGACGACCGAGACGAGGGAGTTGGGGAAAAATGCGCTGGACACTACCACGAGGTAAAGCACGATTTTGGCAAAAGGGATGTTCGTGTTCTTGCGAAGGGTGAGGGGGATAGGGAACAGTGGTGTGGTGACGAACACCGCCGGGATGCCTAGGAAGAGAGTTGCGGCGGCGAGGAACGCGAGGAGAGGCTGCGGGTCGGATGCCTGAAAGCGAGTCAATGACGAACAAGGCATTATTGCCGGAGTAACGGGTGACTTACGGGTGGCGCGGATGGCCCAAAGAACAACAGTGGAAGAATCAACGCAACTGCAAGCGCGATGGAGAAAATCGAGAGAAGCCGGAACGAGCGCCACGTCTTGCTTCCGCCGGTGATAGTAACAGACGGTGTGCGCTTCAACGCCGTATACAACGGCAGCGTCCACGACGTTGTGAATGCAAGGGCGAATATCGCTACCGAAAAATAATCAGCTCAACCTCCAGCATCGCCTATGATGTGATCTCACTTGGACTCTCCCAGAGACTCCCCAGGTTAGGCACCACTGCAGGGTGCGGTAACGTGCCGGTCGCATATGCGTAGGCGACGCAAACGATCCATCCGACGAATGCCAGCAATGACGCCGTTGTGGAGAATACGACTCTTCGGCTTGCGAGGGACGGTGCCATGCTGAGCGGAAGTAGGACAACGGCGAGGATCGTGCTCAGCACGGGTCCTGTAGGCAGTATCCAGACCTTCTCGGGTAACTGAGGTGACAGAACTTGGACCGTCACTGCATGGCATATGAGTGCCAGCGAATGCAAGTTCATAGAGCCGCAGGACGTACCTCGATAATACAACAACATGGTGCATATCCGCGTAACACCAGTGGTACATCTCACGATAGTACGGATAATCTCCCTCCTTCGCTCCTTTCTCCGATCCCTCGCGAAGGTGTCTAGAACGATATCCTCCATGTTCGCTTTCCGTACATATCTCGCCAGCATGTACCATAGGTGCCGCGCGAACGCCGATAACACGGCAAAGAACGCCAGCATTGGGATGGCCCATTGCAATGGGTAGTCGACGTTGCTGACCAATAGCGCCCCGAGTTTTAGACATGGCGCGAGCATGTACAAAAAGACCAGGGTTGGAGGCAAATCCGGAATCGGGGATGAACGGAGGTGGTCTATCGACGGGAAGAGCTCGTCCTCGAACTCGTCGTCGTAGTCTTCATCATCTCCGCCGTCTCCCGGAACGTGAGTCGGTGTGTCTTCTTCGGAGTCCGTAGACTCGTCTCGGATGAGTATGAGTTGTGCACTGGAGTCGAAGCGTCTGTCCAGAGACGAGCTTGCGCTGGACGTCGTCCGCGTGGACTCCTGAGACGAGGACCGGTGGGTCGCCATTTTATATCGCAGTCACTTCAGCAACGCCAGTCCCGTCTTGCTCGCTTCATCCGCCAGTAGTGAGAGCTGCTAGAGCCTGCAATCAAGACCAAAACTCCGGGGTCGTTCGGGCCAGTTACGCTCAGGAGAATCGTCGGCGCAGACCGAATTATTCAACACCAGAACGAGAGCCCGGGACCGAGGCGCGAGACCGAGAGGCCAGCAAGGGCGAAGAGAGAGGAACGAATACGGAGGAGCAACGAACACTGGGGTTGGGCAACGCCTACGAAGTAGGCGTAACCAATCCCACGGTTACACTGCCACACATCTACTTGATGTGCACGTTGTTGGGTGTCCATCCCCATTCCTCGACCTTTCTCCCAAGTCATAAATTCGGCAAAGCTCTACAAAATAAACAAAATGACATATCTTACTATCTTATCAATTTTGAACTCCATTGGTTCCTGCAAACTACGTGCTCCCTCCTACAGAGCACCGTGAAGTGGCTGTGCTGAATCTGGTGGCTGACTCGCGATGCTCAAACTCCCGCAAAAAGAGTTCTTCTTGCATCAAGTGCCGTACCTTCCACAAAGGTTCTAAAATTGCACAACCCTTCTAAAATATTCTTTGGGATGCCAATTGAGAATATGTTGAGGATCGAATTTTATTTTTGGTCCATTTTGGCCCATTTAATCGGTGCTGATGTTAGTTTATACTCCCCCGAGGACAAAGAAAGAAATTCTATTCTCAACATTCTCTCAAGAATCAAATTTAAGCGGTAGTCTCTCTACCATTCTAGACGTCAGCCGGCATGGTTGACTGCATAACCTGGTCGGACAAGACACTTTGTCCGGTACCCTTCATTGTCATGGCAGTGCTATGCGTGGGAAGTTATGTCGGAGTCGAATTTTTGGCTGAGCGTTGCCCATCCCCACGAACACAGATTTGAGGGCGACTCGCGGCCGTTGCAGCGACGTGTCACCAGCAGATCATGTGCCTGTCCGAACACAACCTCGGCTCGGCGAAGCGCAGCACTGATCCTCTTTCGCCATGCCGGCCAAGGGTCTCTTTGGAAGCCTCAAGGGCTTGGATGCCTTCGGCAAGGTCAGCACAAGAGATAGCTATGGTAGAAATCGCGTATCTCATGCGTGGTTCGACCACAATGTTTAGACCATGGAAGATGTAAAGGTCAAGACCCGCACGGGCGCTTTCTTGACCTTTCTCTCCGCCGCCATCATCCTCACCTTCACTATGATTGAATTCGTGGACTACCGACGTGTCAATATGGACACCTCCATCGTTGTAGACAAATCGCGGGGCGAGAAGCTCACCGTACGCATGAACGTAACGTTCCCTAGGGTCCCTTGTTACTGTGAGTCCATACGTACATTGTTCATGCCGCTTCGTGACTGAAAGGGTTCGCAGTGCTCAGTCTGGATGTCATGGACATCAGCGGCGAGCAACAACGTGACATATCACACAACATCCTGAAGACTCGTCTCGACAGCACTGGCAAGCTCATTCCCGGCTCGCAGCGCTCCGAATTAGAGAGCGAATTCGACCGCCAGAACAAACCGATGCCCGACGGCTACTGTGGCTCATGTTACGGCGCTGAACCATCAGAAGGTCCTTCCGCCTTTCAACCCTTTGGTATCAAGTTTTAACGACTGGCTTCACAGGCGCCTGCTGTAATTCGTGTGACGCCGTACGCCAAGCCTACGTAAACCGGGGATGGAGTTTCGGAAATCCGGACAGCATTGAGCAGGTCAGCACTGCTCCTTTCCCATCCTAGTGCTCTCCGTTTGACCATCATGATCACAGTGCGTGAAGGAGAACTGGTCAGAAAAGCTGAAGGACCAAGCGAGCGAAGGCTGCAACATCGCCGGCCGTGTACGCGTTAACAAGGTCATCGGCAACATCCACCTATCGCCGGGCCGCTCGTTCCAGAGCCAAGGACGCTCGATGTACGAGCTCGTGCCCTACCTCCGCGAGGACGGCAACCGGCACGACTTCTCGCACACGATCCATGAGTTCGCGTTCGAGGGCGACGACGAGTACCTCCCGGACAAGTATAAGGTCAGCAAGGAGATGCGGGCCAAGATGGGGCTCGAGGCCGGCCCACTCGACGGCGCCGTTGGGCGGACGATCAAGGCGCAATACATGTTCCAGTACTTCCTCAAGGTCGTCTCGACGCAGTTCCGTACCCTCGACGGACAAACTGTGCGTACCCCGCCGGCTCATGCATGCTACTGGTTGCTAAAGGATTCCTGCCTTAGGTGAACTCGCACCAATATAGCGCCACACACTTCGAGCGCGATCTCGACAAAGGCTCGGAAGACAACACCGCCGAGGGCGTCCACATATCGCACACCACCTACGGCGTCCCCGGCGCCTTCTTCAACTTCGAGATCTCTCCGATCCTCATCGTCCACAGCGAGACCCGACAGTCTTTCGCGCACTTCCTCACATCGTGCGTTGCTCCCCTCATATCTTCCTTGGATGCGTCGTGCTTATTACTGTGATTCACAGAACATGCGCGATCGTTGGAGGTGTCTTGACCATCGCGTCCATCGTTGACAGCGTGCTGTTCGCTACCACCAAGGCGTTGAAGAAGGGCGCATCGGGATCCGCCGCGAGCGGCAAGCTCATGTAACCCCCATTTGCATCTGCGATATACATTCACGTGTACACTACCAGAGAGGGCTTGCGAGGATATACCATGGTATTGATCGAGATGCCCAGGCATGCTCAGACCGGATACAATCGCAACTGTCAAACCGTCATGGTTCGTGGTCAGACATGCATGTCGGCACACATTGTCCGCGGGACTGCGTCGTCGATTCCGCGGGATCTTCAGGTCCACGTTTCAGCCTTTTCACGTCATATATTCGCTCAGCTTGGCAACGTGAAGTGCTGACGGTCCTTATCTGATGCGATCTACCCATTACCCCATCGTGGATGCAGGCGGGCGGGCGAGCATTGTCAGACGCTGAGTTGTTCCATTTTAGCAGGTATTTGAACACGACAGTGTTGTCTTGAGGACATGGGCGAGCGGCGAGCTCTGGATCAGGGACCATGTCGCTCTACAACATGCACGTTGCCTATCCTGGCGTCTTCGCTCCAATGGTCATGGACGAGGTTCGTATCCGGTTTGTTACCGCCTGTACGCCCTCCGAAATTCATAGTGCTCCCATAGGACCTGCGTAAACCGAGCAAAGCCGAGCTTATGCCCACGAACTTCTGGCTCAGGATATTCGCTCTGTGCAGCTCCGCAAACCCAGACGACTTGATCCAGATCGGCGCGGTGTGCAGCCGCTGGAGAGAATCGGTCCTCGGCAACCCTCCTCTTTGGAACACGCTCAACTTGACAGAGCCAAACCCTCGTCTTCGGACGCAACTGTGGATGGAGCGATCGCAGGGTGGGATTGAGGACCTGCGTATAAATGCAAATGTTGGTAGCGGTCGGCTGCGCTCTCCGGAATGGATGGCTGCTTTCGCCATGTTCCGAAGGCTGCGACCAGAGCGGACGCGTCGTCTGAAGATCCATGCCGGCTGGCTAGACGTGATATGGCTGTTAGATACAGCCCTCGAGCCCTTCAGCACCAAAGCGTTGCCACTACTGGACTCGCTCGTCATATCAACACAAGGGGACACCGTCGACATCAACCTGGAGGCGTTCTGGAAATGTGTCATGTGGCATCTAACCGCTGCCGCCGACCCTCGCCTGCAGACCTTGGTCCTTGACCTACACGCCATGCCCCGAGCAGCGCCAGGGCTACGTCCGTATCGTGAGGTATCAGGTGTTGCGACGGGAAGGAACTTCGGTCACCTGCGCGTACTCGAAATAACCTGCCTTGATGGCCGTCACTTGCTCACCCTCATGGCGCGTTGCCCGGCCTTGGAGCAACTGAAAGTATGGAGCCCAGATGTCTCGCAACCCGTGTCGGTCGAGTTTCCCCCACGGAACGGCCCTCGTATCCAAATGCCACGCCTCCGCGATATCAAGCTCGCGCTGAAGGACACGGAACTCTTCGCGTTCATCTACGCCCCAGAATGGCGATCGCTGACCTTCGGCGCCATGCCCAGGTCGGCGGACGCCCTCCTCAGGCTCCGATTCGGCCTGGCCTCGCTGAAGCGCTTGGTGTTGACCCAGCCATCGCCGGCGGACCTCTGCGTATACCTGGAACATACGCCGAACCTGAACGAGCTCGAAATCTGTGATTCGCCGATGCCCGACGTCCTCATACACTGCCTCTTCCCTCGATGGGTCAAAGAACTATACCCTCCACCACCCACTTCACGTTTGGGATGCCTGAGCTTCCGCTGCTCCCTTCTTACCTTTCGCCCGACAATCTCATTGACCCAACTGAGAAAAGTCGTGGACAGCCGAAGGGATTATGGACCACCCTACGCTCCGCTCGAAGTGCTGAAAATCCATGGGTACCAGCTCACCGAGGAAGAGGGCCAAGATTCGGCGCTAGATAAGTATGTGAGGCTGTATCGTGATCTGTAGTCGACGGTGAAGGTGTCTTAGGGCGATACTTACGCATACTTCAATATAATAATGTGTCCGTTTGTGTTGCGACGTTGTCCGAGTGGACTGCGGCAAGACGTGTGGATAGGGTTGTCGCATCCGGAAATGGAAGCACGACCAGCTTTGTTCGGCTTCGACTGGTGCTCCACCACCGCATCGGCAGCGAGCTCCGACCAACGGCGTTTTGGGAGAACACCAACCACGATGCACTCAGTTAGCTGGTCTTAACTCGACGTACTACACCTCTTGGAACTAGGCTTTTGACGCGGATGTGTCATGTATCTGCACTCGCGACTATCAACATTGTGGGCGGCTCTGTGATGGAGCGTTAGCGAGTCTACGTGGGGACTACGCGTCATTCCTTGCCCTCCTGTCGCTTATTATGTATGTCCATATTCGATGCACCGTGGCGAACTCCTCGCTCCATGCCCCAGAGCCTTCGCCGGCGCGCTGGCTGTGGGACGATCCGCATTATCGACTCTTCTCCTATCACCCGCACCATTTGAAAACCGGACACAACGGCGGCGTGTACATCCGTGGTCCACGAGGAGCTCCGGCGCGTAAGGACAAACGAGAAGACGTTCAGCGGATCAGGTGGAGACATGCGCTGAATTTGAAATCCGTAAAATTCAGAAGTAAAATCCGTCACAACGATCGTAGCCTCACCAGGCAAGCTCTCTCCAAAGTCTATGAACTTGGAAATCTGAGGCAGGCATCAGCAGGTTTATCTGCCCCGGCCCCGAGCACTCATCGGCAGCGAACTACATAGTACGCAGCCTGGTGTCACATTGACTTCCTCGAAAGGACGATGCATACCGGCGGGGTCAGCAATCCACTTCCTGCGGCGATTGACGAGATTGGCGCGTCGTTCTATCCACGACTTTTTTTTTGTTCTCTGCGCATTGTTTGCAGCGTGATCCGACTCGGCTGTCGGGAGGGGGGAAGCGTTGAAGCATGTTCCCTTTGTTTTCTGTGGACGCACTGTTTGCTCCTGTGGGCTCACTGGTCATCTACGCTCGTCATCATCCATGCGTGTGCACCTGGACTTATGTCATGCGTGCTCGAGATCTTTATCTGCGGACCCAGAGGATACCTCTCGCAATTGCGGTTCGCCCCAGACCGCCCAGGAAGAGGTCTGAGCCTCCCGAGCCACTGGAATCCCGGTGTCCGCGTACTAGCACCCGGAGATTACAACCTCTGTTTTCTGCAACAGTCCACGAAGATGCCGCAGATTGCTTTCTATACGGACACGGAGATCCACTATCCTGGGACGTATCCATGGGAGACCAAAGTGGTCAAGGTTTGCTTCTCGCCATCCACGGCCTCATCCTGCCCCGCCTGACTAGCGCAATCTTCCCAACAGCGTTTCCGAACTGACACTATACCAGTGGATATATGGCTGCAGATATTCACGTTCTATGCTGCCGAAAGGACGACCGGTGTGTATCGTATCGGGGCTGTCTGTAGACACTGGAGGGGAATCGTGCGCGACAATCCGCTTCTTTGGAATAGGTTCCTTTTACACGCGCAGATCGCCCGTCCGGATCTCAGGGCACAACTATGGGTGGAGCGGTCCAGAGGACGTATTGGAACCCTGCGCATAACCTCGCGCGGGGGCTACGACAATATCCGTACGGCGGTGTGGCTTTACGCGTTAGCTGCACTCGGGAGTGGACTTCAACCCGATGGCGCGAAGGAACTTGACATCAGCGCTCCATGGCAAGATGTTGTATGGCTCCTGGAGGAGGCCCTCAATCCGTTTGTCGCCAAGGCATTACCGTTACTCGATACGCTCAAGATAGCCACGGTCGCAGACGGCAGTACGATGGACGTTGACCTGTTCTGGAGATGCTTCATTCGGCACTTGGATGTCTCTCCCGATCCTCGATTACGACACCTAGCCTTCGACCTGCATGCCCCAAGTTTGGGGCGTAGTACCTTCCATACGTATCGCGAACCCCCACAGATTGCGCCGGAAACCTATTTCAGACGGTTGCGATCCATCAACGTCAATTTTTTCGAGGGTCATCATCTCCTTACTATCTTGGAGCGTAGTCCCATACTGGAAGACTTGAGCCTCGGAAGACCTGGTTCACCGATCGCGGTCCCCATTCGCTTCCCGGCATATTACGGTCCTAGGATCGAGATGCCTCGGCTTCGTAATGTTCAGCTCTCCGTGGAGGATTCCGAACTCTTCAACTACATTCGCGCTCCGGGCTTAGATCGTCTAAATATCGGTTCAAGGATGTCACCAGCCGGTCTTTTCCGCCATGGCTTGACCTCATTGAGAAATCTACTATTACCCTTCGCATCTGCCGACGAACTCTCCGCGTATCTCAAAAATGCTCCCAACCTGGATGGTCTCCATATCCGGGATCCACCCTCTACGCTGGTGATGCACGAGCTCATCACGACACTCCTCCCTCCTTACTCCGAAAACGGCGAGCGATCACCCCCTGGCCTCGTCTCGAAGTTGCGGCATCTTACTTTAGAATGCAGTGACAGCCGTCGATTGCGGGAGAGCATCAATACGGACGTACTGGTCGCATTGGTACATTCCAGGATGTCATATCCAGGACGAGTCAGGCCGCTGTCCAGCATCCGTATCGTGAATTATGATCTCGCAGACATGGGGCGTAGTTACGAGTGGTTGAAGTCCCATCTAACACTGTACATGGTATGATCCAATCCGACTTCTATGATTTAGCAGAGCCGGAAAGAATCGAGCCTGATCATTGAATGGTGTGCAGCTGAGTATGTCTTTCGGGCATCGCAGTAGAGACATGATCCGCCCGCGGGCCGGACTTCTCGTAAGATTCACAGCCTACCTCATGGGGTGTAGTCCTTTCAACGAAGCTAAACAATGGCGAGAGCAGACGCAAGTCTCAGGAGAAGCTATTCATCACCGCATGACGCGAGGTCGCGCTCTCATGCTACCACGTCATGGTTCTGGACCTTCTCTCGATTCGCCCATAATCGCAGCAGAAGGCACTCGTGAAACCTTCCATGACGATTCAGAGCTGTTGCACAAGGGCAGATGATATACCCTTACGACACGCGTCGAGGGCATGGGTGACAAACGAAATGCCCCCTCGAACTTTACCAACTGAACCAGTCTGACATTGGTCAGGGACATACGTGGTCCGGAGAGGCAGCCGTCGACTTCAATGGCGACGCATACCATAACCTCAGAAAGTTCAGAAGTTCCGAAACGCGAGCTGGAAGCCAACGACGGCCGCGGAACAGATGTGGGGGTGGCAGTGCGTATGTGGGGTCGGACTGCGTTCGTGGCGTGATGACAGTGGACAACTGAGCTTGACGAAACGTGATGCGTCGATGGCCGTTCATGATTTTAGAGCGCAGAGGAGTGAGATACATCAGCCTGATGCTTGCTGTGCGCAGCACATTCGAAGGTTTTGTAGTGGACGAGCAAGCATCACGAGGGTCGATTACCGCAGCGCAAGATGGATACAACGGGTAACATAATCTGGAGTGAATTCAAACCGGAGTCAGAAATTTGCAGTAGTTGTCGTGAGAGGACTTGCTCACCTAGCAGTACAGGCCAGTGAAAGCACCGAATAGAAGTGGTGGTTACGTCTCGCATCTAGACGCACAGATATAGACGTGCATGCTTTCTCATGTTCATGAGTTAACATTCGGCCTCGGGGCGAGAAGCTCGTCCACGAATAGCAGGATCCGAGAGCAAGTCCGGAGATATGCTACAACAGCGGTCCTCCGATGCTTGTCCCGTTGTGTGGGCCTGAGGTGTTCCGCCGCCCGATTTCATCCGGAGATCCTACATGAACGGAGGGTCAGCATCATCATCCTCACGCCAGATTCGGGACTTGCCGCGCCGGTCTTTCACGTCAGGCGCTGTTCCATGCGGGAGCTCTAGCAGCGCCCATCGTAACTGCGCTGAGTCGCCGTCGCCTTAGCCACCGGCATTCACGGGCACAGAGCGGAGGCCCGTAGCATGATCACTAGAATGGACAGGGAGCGGTTGACTACGTGCGTCTATTGATCCCTTCATATTGACGGGTTCACAGGCATGACCCGGGGCGTGTGGCAGTGTGCATGCGGGGAAGGGGAGAGCGCACAGGATCAATCACCGGAAGGCACGGGCGCACACCTGAAGCATCGTCAAAGACGGCGATGAGCCAGCTCACCTTATATTTAGATGGCACATCTGAAACTCACCGGATATGCTCGCGGCTGGCCCTGTCCAGGTCAGAGGAAAAGCGCTCGCGTTCCATCATGCCTGCCTGCCGAGGATTGCCGGTAATCTGGATGAAGCACGGCAACCGATAGTTGACACGGTCCGCTCGGAGTCCATGCTCTGCGCCTTATTCCATCAGAGCCGGCGAGCTGTCATCCACCGAGACGGGTCACTGTCGGTGACACTGTCTGTGCAATATAACAAGATGTTTTCACGGAACCTGGTGCGCTCAAGCTCAGAGATAAAGCCAGCATTTTGATTAAGGACATACTAGAAGTGATGACAGCTGTCCAAGACAAGCGTTCCGCGTCCGTTCCATCTTGACACTGCAAACACGCGGTCGACCTAGTTGCAACGGCGTGGCGTCAAGAGGAAAAAGCGGCTATAACCGAGATTCCGCCATTAGCGGAGACATTGTTTACTGAACATAACAGCCCTGGGGCAAGCAAAGTCGTCAGCGTCAAGGACCCGGCGTTTCTTCGGGGCATCTATGCGCGGCGAGATCACGGTTGTTCACAGCACGCGTATTCGGATGCTAAAGGCCACCCAGATGCCTGAGCGTATGCACTGCAGGTGTCCGCGGATCAGAATTGCCGGACAAACAGAGGAAACTAGACGCTACCTGACTACGGAGCTTGAGGCTGACCAAGCTCGCGTTTGGTAACCTGCAGAGCTGGTCATGAATGTACGAGCATGAATCGTGGATGTTCGCTCAGTCGTGCCCGAGATAACACCGGTTTCCTTCAAAAGTACCGTTCAAGGAGTCAAGCTGACCGAGCGAATCTCCCGAAACCACAGTCAACTTGTGCACCGCTAAGGACGGGTGGAATCACAATGCCCTTTGGGTGACCCGTGAATAGGACGGATGGTCCCGAAACCCAAACAAGGTTCGTGATATTGGTGAGATCGCCGTTCGGCTTGGACACCGTCGCCGGCCGTGCCACAGATTTGCGATAATGGCTACGGCGTTATAGACTACAACCGGGAAATCAGTCAGAATCAAGTCGAAAGCAGCGCCCAAACGACCGGAGAACCTCTATTGCTACGCTCGGGCGCCAGGGTCGCGCGGGCAGCTGAACGATCCGAACCAGATCGAAGTGTTCATACCGGCGCCGTAGAGCGGGAGCTGCACTTATAGAGTACGCATTGCGCCGAGATCTCTTGCGAACATGGATAGCTGAACCTGGCCGTAATAGAGGCATCGGCCGAGCGCCCTGACGGAAACAGGAGGCGGGATAGGGTCGAAGCGCGCGTCTTCATCTTCGAAGACACGATAGCGTGCCAATCGTTATCGCGAAGGCGGGAATACGCTTATATGCGTACGATAACACGGCAGAGGGCGACAGAAGCTGGTAGATGAGTAGTTATCAACCTTTCGAGCCCAGGAGCAAGTCGGGCAGATCCATGCTGAGGGTCGGTGATCGACGGAAGGGAGGGGCGACCCTAGGTTCTTCTGAACACGGTAGTGCTTCGAGATTGGGTAGGTTTACCTGCCGTTCAATCGGTCGTGGAATGAACGATCTGCCAGCAGTGTTCCGAGGTAAGGATAGGTCGAATCTGTACGACGTCCGGAGTCCAAAGTCCTGTGGTCCTGGTGGCCCTCTGGACCGGTATCAGGTTAGCGAAAACATGGGCACGCTTCGATTTGTAGCCCCCTGAATCGATCAAGCCGGCATACAAATGGTTTCGGGTCTGTATGCAGCGTATTCGTGGTTGTCGTCGAGTTTCGTAGCGGGATTCCCAAGGCGACCCGCGCGAGCGACGGTGATACGCGGTGCCGTGGCGGCATCCAGGGACGGCGGGACGGGAAGCTGATAGCCTCATGAGAAGGTCGTACCGGATGGCGTTTGCCGGGTGGGACTGTTTAATTGCCTCAGTAAGCAATGTCTAACTGCGGATGGCGACCAATCCTCTGGTGCGGTTGCGTATTGCCGCGTACTTACGGCTGCCGTTTCGACTAAAAGCAATGCTGCTCCGGACCCAGACCCGCGGGGAACTTGACAATGCCCAGGTACCCGGGTATCGGTGATGGGGTGTCTTGAGATTGCTTTTAGACCGAGGAAAGGCCGTGAACAGGTGCAGAAGTTGGCGAAATTGGTTTGCAAGAGCCGTGATCGACCGTCGAGGAAGAACAACGGATAAAACAAGGTGTTGCTGCAAATATGAGAGTTGAACTGAGGCGCTCGACGGTACGAAGACAGAGAAGCGTACGCCGGAACGAAGGAGCGGAGCCTTTCCATCTAACGCAGATCCTCCAGCGGGCCGGTCGTCTTCATGTTGAAGCGTGCCCCTACTTCGGCCGGCTCGTATATCCCCGGGACTATCAAGCGAGATTAGCCTTCGCGCTTGCGCGGTGCACCCACTTGGATCAATACATACATGAGCATTACGCAGCGACAACGAGCGATTCGCGTGTCGACGTACTTGCGCAGGTGAACTTGCACGTACACCTCAGTATGTAAAAAGACGAACACGATCTTCGGGTCTCGGCTCCCGCGTGCGCGGTGGGTCGCGAGACGGGCGGGCATTACTTACGCGGTGTCGTGTGCGAGCGAAATTGCATGCCTTACGCGGACAGCGGCTTGCTCAGCGGAGTAATACAGAGCTTGTGTAATCTCGGAACGTGAGCGAGCTTCGCACTCCCGCAGAAACGCAAACGCTCCCGTAAGTCTGAGAGTCGAGTCCGATTGGTTCCCCTAAGGTAGCAGCGTCTGTGAGACTCGGAGGCGAAGACGAGGTATTGCTTGCGCGACAGGTGAAAGCGACGACATACGTGGGCAAATATTTCGCAAGGAGAAAGGGTGCTCGCTCTGCGATTTGTCCGCGGTCCTTGACCTATGAGAGGGCGCCGAGAAGTCGGCCCAGTTCTCGATATCGAGCTAGGTGATGTACGGCCGAAAATGACTTCTTTCTAGCTGTGATGCCTTCGATCGTCATTCGTACATCACGCCCCACGGTCATATCTACACAGATGCTTTGCTCCTCGGCGATAGATAGCGCGCTGTCTGTCGTAATCGGCGTATTGGCCGTCAGGAATGGGCCCAGTCCTTACAAGCTCGGCCGCTTCGATACGTTGAGCTCGGACAAAGTACCGCTTTGGTCGCCGGTCTGCTTTACAAAGCTCTGCTGCGCCTTTCGTCCGAAAAGGTCGCCACTCCGACAGACCGCGGCAGGGTCAGAGTGGGTGAGGACATACTGCGCTCAGGGTCAGGAGTATGCCAGGATGTCAGCTCAGTAGGCTATTCGAGCATGCTCTTCTTCGGAGGTATTGGGCGAAAGCGCGAGACGTCGAAGAAATCTCGGGGAATAGGCAACAGCCTGCAGAGCCAATCAGGTCGGAACGTTCTCAGCACGGACAGGGGTCATGCTGTGCCCCACGCTCTTCTCGAACTCTCTCTTCCCGGCGGGTTGCTTTGTTGCCCAGCGACGACCGCGAGCTGAACCGGTATGTACTCACATCACCGTCTCTCGCATGATGGAACGCATGCACCAACCGCCCGCAGGAAACCGATGAGATCGTGAGATGAAAAAGAGCGCATGAGCGAAGCGAGCGATCAGCATGAGATTTTCGTTTTTCGGAACGACCCGATGGCCCAGCGCCCTCCTCCTCCCGATCAGGCTCGGACCTCGACGCTGGGTGCCGGAAGCATATGGGAACGACGAGATAGGCACGTCGATGTCGATGCGTGGCGGCGCACAATACACATGGCTTTAGGCTGGGGCATCGCCGCGTGTCGTAGCCTGGGCGACAGGACGCGCCAAATTCGACATACGATCTGTGGGAAGCCTCTGAAGGATGGGTTCACATGCGATATAACTGCTCGGCCGCATGTAACGAGGTCGACCAGCGCCTTCACCCTCGTTCTGCTCGTATTTGAAGAGCGATCATCAACATCTGTTCCTCATATGTCCCTATCATGTCCCTCAATAACATACGCGCGCCAATTGATACATGCATCTGAATCGCAAGGGACGACGACCGCGTCTAGGCGTCCGGGAGTTTCATACTCATCCCCATCTGCAAGATCATGCATCTGCCAATACATGACGTCACGCCCGCGTATCGACCTGAACGAACGTGAACGTGCTCACTGCGGCCGCCATCGAACTTCCGGACGAGCTACACTCACTCGCAGGACTGATCCGTGCCTTGCGTGAACGGACGCTACGAACGCCAGAAGGCCCAAACGTAGAACGGAAGGTCCGCCCGACATGAACTCGCCCACGTTCACTACATAGCTCGCGCAAGGCACGTAAGTAATTTTCTGTACGTGGAGATGAACGACGAATTAATGCCTTGCGCTTTGCATGAACGCATTATATGAACGTGCTAGCGCCACAGGTGCCGGTGGTAGCAGCGCGCGAGACGTCCCGTTCGAGTATAGTCAGTATCCCTCGCGCGCGCCGGCGGCGCTCGGCCATGTTCTACTTTCATCCGTCGTCTCCATCTCCGCATGCACCTAGCGCAAACGGATGCAATCAGACATCAATTTGAGAGATAGAGTTGTGGCTTATAGGTACGCAATGAGTACGCCACTGATAGCTGGCTCGTCATGGTCCGGCGATCTTCACTACCGTCTCGGACTCGAAAGGGGTACCCAAAAGGGTACAAAAACGTTCCGCCCGCGAGAGACGATCTGTTCCGTGAAGCGAGACGAACGGCGGTCTTACGTTAGCTTCGTTGGTCCGATAGTCGCTATGTCTCGTCTCGTCTCGCCTCAAGGCTTGCACCCGCGAACATGCATTAAACCCAGTGGCTGAGACAAGGGTGACACGAATGAAAGCTTATCCTCGAATAAACAGATCGCGCGCACGACACGACGTGCGTGAACTAACACAGTGAACAGCACGCTCGAAGTTCATCTCCATGTCGAAGTGCGAGACGAGCTAGCCTAAACTCTAAGATCTGCGTCTACACCTTGCATGCGTTTACATAACGCCTTGTCTTACTTTCCATCGATGGGTTAGACTCTTGCCGAGAGTCCGAGACGGAGACAAAGCGCCAGCTGATCCGCTGACGTCAAGGCCCTCCTCCTCCGTATCGATCTAGACCGCGCGGAAGCCCATCGCACGTCGCGGTGCCGTTTGTGCATGAGACAAGCCGAGTCGGTGAATGACATCGCGATTCAGACGAAAAGCAGCAAAACGTGACCTCTCGCGTCATCGAAGGACGGACAGAGACGTGAACAAGTGCCATTTTACGTTGCTGAAACCGAGCGGAATCGACAGCGCTGACAGTGACATGGAGACTCGCAAGGAACGCGCCTCCGATATTCCGGGTTTGTATCCAAGATCCACGGTCTAGGGCGATCGCAGTCCGGAGTCCGAGGAGCTGGCGGGGTGACTGATCCCAAAGAAGACGAGAGAGAACATGCCAGTGGCTGACAGGGCGATTGACCGCGCTCGACGGATTGAACTACTTTCTGAACGGGTTTTGGTTCCACTGACGCGGACGACGAGACGGCCGGGGCGTCTCCTCGAATCCGAGCAAGGTTCGGATTCGTCGAATCGAATCGAAGCTGCGCCCTGAGTCAAACGGAACCCCCAGAGATCGGCGTGCACATTCTCGTGCAGGCGAGTCTCGGCGAGCAGCACGTCACAGACGACGGGTTCTGACGCGACCCCGCGTTGAAATTTCGAAGGCGCCCTGCGGGGGTGGGGGGAAGACTTCGATTTTGCGGGGAATTGTGCGGGCGAGACGGCGCGGGGTGACGCGCTCGTGAGCTAAGAAGCGAAGACACACGGCGAGGGGTGACGCGCTCGTGAGCTAGGAAGCGAGAAGGTTCGCGGCGAGCTTTGCGTCGTGGGCGTGCGTATGTACGTACGTGGCAACGGGATCTGCGTTACGATGCCCCGTTTGGTGACCGGAAATGGCTAGGGTTGGGCATTGCGGTAAACCGTCCTCGGCCGAAAGGTGGTGATGCTTGCTAAGAGAGAGACGGAGACCTGGCGCAGGCGTTGCGTAGGAGAAGCAAGCGGTCATGAATTCGAGGTGAGGGCAGCACACGAACGAAGAATCTTGGGCACGGGTTGGTCGCGCCGGCGTAGCCGGAGGTGCTACCGTGGGTCCCCTTGAGCGGCGAGGATGGAGGCGGTTGCGACGCTTCGAGCGAGGCGACGGGGCTGATCACACGCGTACGGTTATGCGCAGCTGAACTCCTTTACGCGTCTGCCTCCAGTCCTAGTCAAACCCTTCGACCGACGGTGGCGTTCGCGTGAGCCGTTCAGAAAGGGGATGGATTCATCCGGAGGTGCGGAGCAGCCCCCGCGACGATCACCAGAGCGAGAGCTTGGGCCGAAGGTCCAAACCCATGTCACGAACTTTTGAGAGCGCTGATCATACGCACCAGCTGCAGTGCGCGCGTTCCGGCTCTGGGCGGTCGCGATCGTCGCCGTTCCGCGAAGTTTTTCCAGCGGTCAGCAGCAGTACCATACTTGTGCATGTCGCGTGAAGCATCCCGTCGAAAGGCACCATCCAGGAGAAATCACGAGCGCATATAAGGAGTCGAGAACCGAGTTTAAGTCAGAGAGATCGCCGTTTGCATGGAACGCTCTGGAAAGAAAAAAAGAAAACGAATAAAAAAGAGCGAGAAGGATATAGCAGTATCTCGAAGCGCGTCAGCAAAAACACGGAGCGGAGCGGTGCTGACGACGAGACTATGAGAAGGGCATGCCATGCTCGAGCTGATTGGCTATGGCGGGATGGCCGGCCCGCTCGTCACGTACGGACGCTGTGTCTTATGGGGCCTGCGGTCAAAGCCCAGTCTCCACCCCCTGGTCAAGAGACAAACAAACAGGTGAGCGTGTGCGTGCGTTTTGATTTCCTTTTGGGTTTGATGCCGTTTCGTTGGTCGGGGTTTTTTTTTTGATCATCGGTCTCTCGTTGCGCACGTTACACGTATCGGCGGATGCCGAACACCACGGTTCGTCGTCATTGGCACCGGATGGGGGATGGACATCTACCCCGGACGATCCGGGATGTTTGCATAGCATGGCCGTCCCATATGGCGTAGGGGACATAGCATACGGTTTGCATACGGTACATACACGGGATGCGGTTTTTTTTCGTCTTAGCGTACCTTGCCCTGTGTGCCCTTGCTGGTACGGTGAAGAAGTGGGGAGGGAGCGGGTTGCCGGATGCGGACAGGGATGAGTGAGCGCCGAGCGGGTGGGCGGTGGGGAAAGAGTGTGGGTGCGGGCGTAGCCAGTGTACGCGGAGGGGGAGAGATTTCGTTGAGAAGATCCGAGGAGGTAGCGGGAGATAACTGGAGGAAGTGGATAGGACGGATCGGGATAGATCCGCTGAGAGCTCGGGGCATGGGTATCGAGATGGCTTGCGGGCATGTGAGTGGTCGGGATGCCGTGGCCCGTGGTGTGCGCATGTGGCCTTGGTAGAGGATGAGCTGGATGTGACTCGTGTATGTGCGATGAAGATGGGATTATCGGCCATACCATGCACGCCAGATGGAAAGATTGAACGCCGGAAGAGCAGATCAGATGAGATGCGCGAGGACCGTAACGTATGTAGGCCTCGTTGAACGTTGATCTTCCGAATCCAAGGCCTCGCGGACGAGCAGTTGGCGCATGTTTACGTATGTGTCCAAACGCCGTTGACGCGATTGGGTTGGGTGGGACGGCAAAATATCATCAGCCATATTCGCGCTCCCGTTGGCTGACGTGCCGAACTCCCCGCCGGCGCAACGCGATGGAGCTCGCAAAGGGGGCCTAGACCGCCCCGCCTTTACCTTACTCAACTGATCGCGAGCATATACGCGCGAGAGACCTTTTCCCTCGGGCGACGCCGAGCCGAGCCGGTTCGGTTTGCTCGGCCAACAATTTGGCTCTGGGTTTCTCCGCGCGCCCGTTCGCGGGCGAGATCGAGATTCGGGTTTGTATATCCCATTACGAGCGCTGCGTTCTGCCGCGCCACCCCCGGCGTCCGTTTGTGTGGGCGGTGTGCGGAGGCCATACAGAGGCCAAACCACACCGCCGCCGGGGATGGCCATCGACGGTCCCTGGCTATACATACGAGCCACAGGCTCCATCGCCACCGGCGCGCCGCAACGATCGTGCGGTCCGCGCTCGGAGGAGGGGACAAGGCGTCTGATACCGTAGACGTAACCGGGGTTGGCGCGCGTTGCATCATGGGCCCACGGAAATTGATCGTCGTCCTTTGGGCAAGGGCAGGGGTGGTGGACTCGCGAGGCTCTAGCCCTGCGCTCCCTAGCCGAGCTGCACGCGGATTGGCCGACGGCAGGGGCCCAATCGCATCGGAGGGGGGGGCAAGCGGAGGCCCAGATCTAGACCGCCCGGACCGGCGGGGGTTGAAGGGAATTTCCCCGTGCGACGTAATGCGAGCCGAGCCAACGAGCCACGCAGCCCACCGCGCGTGGGACCCGAACCACCCACTCCCTCGCCCCTTCATGTGTCCCTGTCCCCCATCGCGCCCGCTTATAACAGCCCCGCCTCGGACTGCGACCTTCCCCCGAACCCGCAACGCCACATCCCCCCGCCCCGTGCGTCCCTGCCCCACCTGTGCTCGCACTCCCGCCCGTCCTCCCCGCCCACCATGCAGGCAGCCACCGTTGCCCCCGCCATGGAGGACCTCGACACTTCGTGGTGTCCCGTCTGCTCGAGACAGATATTGCCCAAGCGATACACAATCACCATCCCTGCTGCACCGGCACAGGCACCTGCAGCCCCCCCTTCGTCTCGTAAGTCACCTTCGCATCGAGTCTCCGCACAAGATCTAAACGCCCTCGGCCCCGCCCAGCATCGAAGACCGCTGCCCCCGCCGCTCGCCCCAAAACCACGAACGCGCGCCCACGCGTCGGCGGCGGCCTCGTACACGGCACCGGCCGCGTCAAGGCCAACGGTGCAATCAAGTCGGACGCCCCCGCGGCTCCCGTCAAACAACGCACGGTGATCGACCAGTCGCCCGTGCCGCTCTACTGCTCGGATGAGTGCCGCCTCGCGGACCTCACCCAACACCTTTCTGCGCTCGCGCTCCCGCACAATTACCGGCCCGACGAGACGCAGCCGACCCAACCCGCTACCGCCGCGCTGGACGTGCCCGCGCGCAAACCCGCCCCCGACTCGCACGCGGCCTCGTCGCCGCCCTCGGCCCCGTCCTCCGCCTCCTCGTCCTCTACCGCCGCCTCCCCGCGCCTCGCGCCCATCCCCGTCTCCTCCCGCAAGATCAAGTCGATCTCGGCCGCGCACTCGTACGACGAGATGGATCCGACGATCGCCGAGCTCGCGAGGCACTACGGCTTCCCCGCCCTGCCGCCTCCCCCGCCCGAATCCCTCATCGAGCACGAGGTGAACCCCATCTCGGCCCGGCCCGCTTCCTCCTCCTCCTCCCCCGAACCCGTCCGCAACAACGACTACCAGTCCGGCATCATGATGGCCGCCCGGCGTATCAAAGCCGCGCTCGCTCCCCCGTCCCCACCCAAGCGGGGATACATGAGCCCCGCGGAGCGCATGACCGCCTCCAAGCAGGCGCGCGACCGGCGGCCGATCCCCGGCTGGACGGACGGGACCGACGCCTGGCGCGCGGCGGTGTACTCGATGTCGAAGCCGCGCCCGGAAGACGTGACCGCCGACCCGCGGATCAACAAGGAGCGCATGGGCGCCGCGTACGGCTCGTGCGTCGCGACGCCGCACCGCTCCACCAGCGGCGTCTACTCGACGCTCTCCACCACCGCCCCCGTCGTCGTCGCCGTCGCGTCGGCCGGATCGGACGCGCCCTCGGCGCGCATGGAGGAGCTCCTCCGCAGCTACCCGCTCTCGAACGCCGCGCGCTCCAAGAGCCGGCAGCAGCTGTTCCCGGGCGTGAGCCAGAGCGTGCCCGCCGCGAGCCGGTGTCCGTCGGTGGCGTCGACGACTACCGCCAGCACCAGCACCCGCAGGAGGGACGGCCTGTTGCCGCCGTCGGCGGAGGGCAAGTTGCTCGTGCCGGATATCAAGATGCGCCGGTCGAGCAGCGGCTCGAGTATCGTCGCGACGAGCCCGAGGGCGCGCGCGATGCTCAGGAGGGCGAGCGCGATGAGCGAGGAGGCGATCGCCGAAGAGGCCGAAGACGATGCTTGCGTGCGCTCCCTGCCGACCGGTAAGCATCCCCCCCTTCTGTTGCTTTGTCGTGCCCTTTTGCTCATTTGACTCGCAGCCCCCGCGCGCACGCAGACGGAGCCCCTGTACCTCTTTGACCTTCCGCGCCCGATGGAGAAGCGGGTGCGGAAGGAGAAGCGGATCGTGGACGGCGTCGAGGTCGAGGTGGACGTCGAGTACGAGGTCCCGAAGGAGCTCAAGCGGCTCTGGCTCGGGCCGAACGGGAAGAGCGAGGGCCGCGAGCGCTATAAGCGCGAGAAAGCGGAACGGCTGAGGCGCGAGCAGGAGGAGCGCGAGAGGCAGGAGGCCGCTGCGGCGGCGGCGAAGAGCTTGTAAAGATGCGAATCGAACCCCCTCCCGCGCTCGATTATTACCCGCTGCATGAAGATACCTGGCGACATTCTACGAGACTATCGCGCCCCCTACACATCGCTATTCGTTTATTGGACTTCGGCATACGACACTCCGGAGCAACGCATGGCTTACCTACCCAGCACGTCTTTATTCGACTATCTATATCGCGCATATATCCGCGTCCCCCCGTCACTGCCGTCTGCCTGCGTCCCTTCGGCCCTGTCGTCTCTCGCACTCCTACCCTCGCATCGCACCAAGCCCCCTTCCTACACGCCCTCCATCCGCAAGCAACCGTCAAAACATGTGCAATAATCTTTATTTCGGACTCTCTGTTCTCCACGCATGCAAAAGCATCCCGAACCGAACCAACTTTTTTTACGAACGTTACGATCTCCCTAAACACAACACCACAGACATCGGACGCGCAACCACGAAACCCCCGTCCCTCTATCCCCCTCGATCGCCGCTTTCGAATTCGCTATTAATCGCTCTCGCACGTCAACCATCCCAAGCCTCTTTTTTTTACCCTCGCTCTTATCAACTGTGTTATTAGTCTCTTTGTACATGCGTCGGTTTTTGTTTCTTTTCTTTCTTCTGGTATCTTACGCGGACACGGACTTTTAATCTCACCTTCGTCTCGGTTTTTTTTGTGGAATCTTGGGTCGCTTTTTTGGGGGGGAAACGGTGGGATTGGTGAAGTTGTTGCAGTGAACTCAGTTGTACAGTGTGTAGTATTAGCTAGCGCCCCTTTTTATCTTGTTCTTAGGACATCGTTCCAATAATGAAAGCGAAAACGATTTAATGATGCTTCGTGTGTTTGGTGCGCGAAAGTTAGTCTTCGAAGGCTCTCTCGTTCGGCGCCCCCCTGGCCAGAGCTGGGCTGTTACAGCAATCTGATCCACGGTACCGATCAGGGGAAGAAGAGGACGGGGCGGGCGGCCTGCAGGCCCGCTCGTGTGCAGTGTGTGATCGAGCGTGAAGACGAGTCCTTGCATCGATATTTATCAGGGGCGCAGGTCGATTAGATATTATGATCCCTTGCGAGCAAACGACGGTGGCACGTCGGGTTTTCGAGCGTGCCACTCCGAATTTGGTAACGCGCCACGGCTCGGCCAGGCCGAGGGTGAATGTTCACGGTTATCTGTAAGCATGGTCGGATCATCAGAATAGAGGGATGAACGGCTTAAGGTCTCCTCGGACGACGACGGAGGGTGCGATGTGGAGAGCGGGCTGGGGAGACAGCTGCGGCTCAATTCGAGTGTGACCATTTTGCGACCGCCGGGCTGTCTACTTGCCTGTTTTTTTTGGCTCGGACTTGAGAGGCGCGACGTTGGGGGTGTTACCCGGTGGAGGGCTTCGTACTTTGCCTGGCGGGATACAACACAACGTAACGGCGCGGATCCCGCCACGCAACAGAGCGTGCCCGACTCCTGCTGGAGTTGGCTACGGGGTTCCACTCAGGCCCTCACGCCCTGACCGAGGACCGAGAAGAGAACGTCGAGGCCGCTTGTTGACCTGGTTTCGGGTTTGCTTTCGGCACTGTTATGACATGCACGCAAACCCGGGCGCTCTATCGAATTTGTGCCAGCGTTAGCGTCAACAGTCATATGTATGTTTGACGGCGCCGCGCCATTCCACAATATTAGTAGCATTTGACCGCCCGCTTGACGTGTTCGTTGACAAGCAATGGAATGACTGCATCCACGGCTGCAGGTGCATTTGAATTTTCTGCAGAGCCGAACTCGATGGCGAGATGTGTGAGCCGGAAGCATCTGCATAACGCTATGTCGGCGCAAGAGGCGTTATCAACAGGGGCTTTTTGCTACGCCGACGTCATATAGTCCTCTGTCGTCACCTTTGAAGCTTGTTGGGTCGTTCCCCACAGAGATATCAACTCGTTCGTCCGGGCTCGGAGCAGCGAAGTCCGGTAAGTAAGCGTGAGTTTTTGGGGCGGAGGATCGAGGGATATCTGACTTTAAATCATATGGCGACCCTAGTATCCGAGGCACAAGACCATCCGCTACACAGCAGACGGGACGGATAACCTTGAGTCAGGAGACTCGAGCTCGCCAGACGACGCAACAGCTATTCTTGCAATCCGCGGCCGAGTCAATTGCCAGAGCCAAGTTCCGCAGTCGACCTGCTTACTCCGAGTCGAGATATCGGGAGCAGAACGCTGAATATATGAAGCGAGCATAGCACACGGGCATGCATGCACCGCAGTAGAGTACATTCCTGGCCAATCTGGGCAGAGGTTTCGCCGCGCTCGATGCGCCGACACCCGACCTCATGATTCAACACGCGCGAGGTCATGAAAAAAGCAGTTGATACAGGCATAAGCCGGCGAGGTAGAGGTAGAGGTATTTTCGCCAGCGCGGGGGCACGGGCTGGCAGTTCGGTCCGGCACCCCGCCCCGGGAGCGCGGAAGGGGTCAGAGGAAAAGGCATTCCGGTTCCGGGGTTGCTGCAGCGCCCTCCGGGGCTTTGCGCGATGGTCATCGGTCCCCACCCATGGGTTCTGACCACTGTACCCGGTTGGGATCACATGCATAACGAGAATGCCTGCGTGCTTTTCGACCGGAGCATCCGCACCGCCGCGTCGCTCGCAACATCGCATTCGCGAGTTCACGACGGCGCTAGAATCTACGGCGAAGACGGCAGCGACGTGCAACGGTCCTTTACGCCGTCGACCGTCGCCCTCGGATGAATGTAGAAGAAAAACATGGCAATGGCATCGCATCGTGATGCTTTATTATATTGTGTAGAAGGACGTCAAGCTCAGCTCTAGCTCTGTCGACGCCCAATCGCAATATGATGGTTTGTTCACATGTCGTCGCGTCGGTTAGTCAGTATGTTTCATATCAAACAGGCCCTTCGATCCTCGGTTCGCGATGGACGCTGAAATGCAGGCCTAGGTTGACACAAGTGCTATATAATAAGGAACACGTCGATCTCATCACTCGTTATCACAGCTGTGTTACCTGATTGTTTAGCAGGCTCAGACGAGATCTCAGAGCTTCGCATGGACCGCGGGTCCAGGCCTTCGAGAGCAAGAATGAAAGAAGAGGGGGTGATCCACCCGTAGATCCAGCCTCCAACGCCCCGAATGATGTTGGGAACGAAAACAGGATCCACCCTGGAATGTATCTTTGGTGTCGACCAACCTGAGGCTCACACAGACTGACGCCATACCCCTCCCCCCCCCCTCTTACCCCTACTTGAAGCCCGGGACCGGAGTCGAACGCGCGGTAGTACCTCGGTCGCGTATTGTAGACACGATGGAAGGTCGAGCCCGATGACGATACCGATTCAGACCCCCCTCCCCTGGAATGCAAACGACACGGTCTCGAGCAGAACCAACGAACGAACGACTGAGGCTCTCAGGCCGCACCGGACTTGGGCTTGCACAGGCTGGCTTGGGAGGATAGGCGGGTAGGTCTGGGCTCTCGAAGTTTCGCAGTAGCGAGCAGCAGACGAGCCGGTCAGCTCTCTCGTTCACCCGTCCCCCCGACGAGCTTGGCCCTTGTTCATCATTCGTCGGGGAGACTCACGAATCATATTGTGACGTCTTGCTCTGTCTTGCTTGTCGTATCTCCGTACATGTCTCCCCCCCAATCCCGAAGGCCGCAAAGAACGGCCGGGCTAGGTGCGGAAAACCGACAGTTTTGCGGCGGGTTTAGAACGTTTGGCTAGAAATACAGCTTTGTTGCACCGCTCTCCCCTATCTTCGAACTTCGTGCGCACACATCGCGCGGCTGACAGAGCCAGTCCCAGTTTCGAAGTATCGTCGACATCTGATCACGAACTGCCCAAGACGCCTTTCCCCGCGGACAGCTCTGCGCCCAGCTTGTATCCCAGCACCTACACGCCAAGCGAAAAGAAACAAAGAGCACGAGTCAGCTAGATAAGAACGAACCGGGCTTTCGCAGCGTTGCCCGAGGAGGACGAGTAACCGCAGCAGCCGGAAAGGAGGAAGAGACGCACCCTGTCCCAGTCGAGCTTCTGCCTTGTAAGCGGAAGCGCGCGGCGGAGGTCCTTGAACGTCTTGGAACCCATGTCGGCGTAAGTCTCACTCAGCGAGCGCTGGTACTTGTTCTCTTCCTCTTCGATAAGGGCGACCACCTTCGTCGCCGACTGAGGCGAGTCGGCGGAGACGGAGGGCGGGAGCGGGAGGTGCACGGCGTGTTTCGTCTCGAGCTGGACCTGAGATAGCGGCGATCCGTTTTCGGCTCAGCGATGGGGGGAACGGTTTCCCGGGGGGTTTTTTTATGGTTAAAGAGGGCAGAGAACGTACGTTTCCTTGCTCGTAGTAGTGGACGTTCACGAGTATGCGGCCTTCGGCGTGCTGCTGTGCGAGATCGACGACGTATTCTGATCGCCATCGTCCGGACCTGATGAGAAGGCCGAGAAAACACGACGTCCGTGTTCGTCAAAAAAAGAGCGAGACGGGAGGATGATGCAAACGACGGGGCCGTACCAGAAGTTGTTCGGGTTGTACTTATTCGCGACGATCTGGATCACGAAGCGGAGGGGGGAACCTGGGGTCGAAAACACGGTCGCGGTGCCGTCGTGGAAGTGGTTCGAGAGGTAGTCGAGGGTCGCTTTCTCCAGTGCCTCTCTGTATTTCGGTGCGTGTTCAGAGCCTAGATAGCGTTCGGGGAATCTTTGCTACGGACCTCAAAGGTTCTGACTCGGCTTCCGGTTCGTACGGTTGAGGATCGCTGGTTTCCTACTCGACGCATGAGCTGACCGAACTACGCCTTGTTGTGCGGGAGCAGACGTACGAGGGTTAGGTGGTCAAACACGAACGTCTGCTTTGATCGCGGATCGAGGAACCGTTCCTGCTCGTCTTCGCCTGCCAACCGCGCAGCGTCGCTGATTATGGACTGCAGGAAAGGATCGAGAGCCGTTAAGCACAACGTGGACACCGAAGACGCCCAGCACGCGTGAAGCAGCTCACTTGGTGATCGCATCCCGGGACGTCCGCGATGATGAACTGGGCGAGGTTGTACTCTTGCAGCGCGGGCTGCACGCCGGCTTGGAGTGAGTCATCATCCGAGATGATGTTGCGGATATCTGTGCATAGAGACCGCCAAGGGGGGCGCGGTCTAGTTTACCACAAGACGGGGGGCGGGCAGGGCGCGATCGACGCGTACCGTTCAAGACGTCGTTGATCTCTCCCGGAGGGGACTGCAGCAGGAATTTGGACGCGATCTCTATCCTCTCGGCTGGGTCCATCGTGCAGGAGTATGCGATGCCGGAACGAGCAGGTATATGCTGTTGAGACCGAGGATCGAGGTAGAAGAGCGTCCGACGTCGCGTCGAGGTCTCTGCTCTGCCCTCACTACATGATCATCGTACAAAAATGTCGGTACAGCCGTGCCGCTACCCGTACTGCTATCGACGTCTAGACGGTGCTGGATTCCTGGGTCTCCTCAAATCTCTGATCAAATTCTGAAGCTCCGCGTGCCGCATCCTGTTCGCATCGTGAAATTCTGTACCGACATCGCGTCAATGAATGCTTGGGTCGAATGGACACGGATTGACCTTGAAGGAAGGACTCGAGCATCGCAAGCTGTTCCCCCTTGTGCGCCCGCAGCATACCCCTCAACTCCTCCAGCGACAAGCGGGCGTCGGAGGCACCTAGAGCAGAGAAACCATCACAGGATCAGCATACTCATTCTCCATGTACACCGGCGCCCCACACGGGCACGACCGGTAAGCCGCTCCTCCCCTCACCTGATGGCGTACCGGGGACGCTCCGCCTCAGCTGAACCAGCATATCCGCCAGCTCGCGTGCCCTCGCATCCTCGCTCGCGGCCTGTTCGTCACACCGCGCCCGGCGCGCCTCCACTTGGGCGCGGCACTCCGCCTGGGATTGCGTGCTGCGCTCGAGGAGCTCACGGAGGCTTTTCAGCTGCTCGCTCGCTCCCGTCTTCGACGGCTCTTGATCAGCTTGGCTCTGGCGTGCTGGGGCTCCCTCGCCCATCGTCCGACATGAAGATGTGGCGCAAGGCGCGCTTCGCGCACCACTGGCCGCAGTTCCGACCGGGCTCGCAAGTGGGCAAGCCCACGTGTTTATCTATAATAGTCCGTGAGCGCTCTGGTGGTGCCGATTTCGCGTCTATTAGTGAACTCTGGGTATCTCCACGACCGATCCCCAACGTCTCGAAAATATACCCGTCGCGTGCAGGTGAACTATACCGAACCCGGTGGCCGGCTCTAGTTGAACTGGCGCAAGAATTAACACCTCCATTCCGTCAACAAGTCACCACAAACCCGAGCACGATCATGTCTACCGGATTTCTATGGGGCTTCCTTCTGCGACATCGTGGAAACTTCAGATGACGCTTCGTGAATTTACCCCACAAGCATCTCTTCCCCGCCGTTCGACTTCGTAATATACCATACCTTCAGTCGACGGGAGAACCACTCCGTCGCAGGCTCAAGCCGCAACTCATTCGGGTACAGTGCGGCATCACAAACAGGACGGCAATCGGGTCGTTGTACCCTTTCAATCCAGCGGGGATGCGACACATGACGGCGATTTCCCTGTGCTGCGTCTAAACGCCACCGAATACGTGCAAGGGCCGACCATCTAGATCTAGTCTCCTCTGCGGGTCACCGCGATACGCCGTTACACCGCGACCCATCTGTTCATCCCCCACTTTCCCTTCAACGGACGTCGGCAACTCCAATCTCAAGAAAGGCATACGAAGGATGACGACGTCCGTTTCCGTGCTGTCCTCACCAGTCTTCGTCATACACCCTGGTTCTTCTCGTGATTAACGTTATTTCACCTTGAGATTATGCGCATTGTACTCGTAGCACAACGAGATATCGTACATCCCCGCAAGAATTCACAATGCTCGTCTTGTCCCGTCATGGTATTGTGAGGGCCGAGTGCGTCAGAAATCTGACAACATATCCGAGAGCCCGCCACCGCCTCCTCCTCCTCCTCCTGCGCCATCAAGCGCACTCGGCAGCCCTCCGCCTCCCCCGCCCATCCCGTCCAGCCCTCCCATCCCACCACCACCCGTCCCGTCCAATCCTCCCATTCCACCACCACCTCCCATCCCGTCCATCATACCGCCTCCTCCGCCCTGCCCCATCCCTCCCATCCCATCCATCATACCGCCGCCCTGCCCCATACCGGCGCCACTGCCCATCATCCCACCTCCGCCCTGACCGGCTTTCATCGCGTGCTTCATCGCCATCCCAGCCGCTTTGGCTGCCAGTTTGCCGCCTTCGCCTCCGCCTCCACCGCCTCCTCCCATACCGCCTGCTCCTCCCATGCCTCCTCCACCGAGCATCCCACCACCACCGAGTGGACCACCTAGGCCTCCACCGCCTCCGGTCATGAACGGATCGCCCGCCGGCGGCGCAAACATGACCACGCCCGGTCCGCCTCCGCCTCGCGCGCCTCTTGCATCGCCCGTCAGCGGCTGTTGCTGTTGCCCCTCCATAGACTGCCGGAGCTGCTGCTGCAATTCGTATCATGTTCAGAGAGATAACGAAGAAGAAAGAAAGAAAGAAAAAAAACGCACGTCGTTCTTCTCCTGCTTGCGCGCGTCGTGCGCCTCCTTGATCCCCTTCAGCTTTCCCATCATCCCGCCTCCTCCACCTTGCCCCCCGCCGCCCACCTCCTGCGGCGCTCTCGCGTTTTGGACGTCGGCCGCCCGCTCGTCGTTCGCGCCTATGTGGTCGCGCGCGGCGGGGCTCGCGCCGGGAGATCCGGGAGGCGGCGCGTACCGCGGCGCGCGGACGTCCGGGTGCGCGTCGAGGAATCGGTCGTCGTCGAACGGGTGGTGCCAGATCGAGCGCGGGGGCGAGGCGAGCGTGTCGACGTAGAAGTCGTGCGCCTTGCGCGGGTCGTGTTGTCGTGTCCAGCCTGTTTTGCGGACGCGTAAGGAGTGAGCAAAAAGCTGAACGTCTACGCGGGGCGGATTGATCGGGCTGACCGTCGGGGAGGTGTGCGTCGTCTCTGTTCATCGTGCCTTTTGTCGTTGGTGGATCTAACTTGGAAGGTCTGCCCGTGTTATATATGTCGTACGGACGAAAGCTATTTCGAGGAAGGAGCCACCGAAGGACGTCATGATTTCGCAGAATGGGAGTCGCGAGTACCGGTTCGGGGTAGAGAAAGCGTTGGAGGTGGAGTATGCTGCGTAGTGGGCCCGGGGACATGGCGAAACTGAAAGCTCCGTGAAGCTCGGGCTTGAGTACCGTTGGAGAGCATGAACAAGGATATACCTGGATGGATATATGCACATACTCGAGCGAGTCGAGCCAGATGCATATGCATGAGCTCTGTTGCGCGTGTCGACATGGAATACATTCCCCATACACGCTCCCTATACAGGCTTGCAAGTTTCACAGTGTTGTCCGTAGGGGAGCCGGTATGCACGCTGCTTCTTCAGGGCCCTGGCAGGCATTGGGCAGATACTACCGCTTCGTGGATCGGTGACTGGGCGTGGCATCTCCTACTGCAGGATCGCCGAGAGCACCGATGATCTCCTCCGCCCGCTTGACGATACCCGCACCTGGCGCCCCCTGTCCGCTATCGGCCCATCCGCCCGAGCCATGTGTCCGTCTCGGCACAGCGGGCGGCAGGCGCATGGCGGGGTCGTGGCGATAGCATGAACTAAAGGCGAGGCGTCGTACGTGTCGCAGTCCGTCACCGCACACCTCATATCTCGAACCCGTCCAAGCTCGCCGCTCTTGTCCTCGTTCTCCTCAGCTCCGTCCTGCTCTCTGCTTGGAGTAGCTTAGCGACACTCAGATACTGACTTGATATCGGTGCGATCATGAGCGACACATCGCAGGTGTCGGACGCCGTCTTGACGCAAATCCTCGGGCAGCTGCAGGCCCTCCAGGTCTCGCAACAAGCTTTGCAAGCCAAGGTGCGCGCATATACTCTCCCCCATCCCCCTTGCGAGTGCGCGCCTCCGCCGTCGTCGTCATACTCCTCGCAATCGCGGCGCACGTTCGCTCGTTCATGGATCATAACTAACGCTCGTTATCTCTCCCCCGCAGCTCGATGCGCTCACCAGCCCGACCCGCTCTCCCCCGCTCGCGCCAGTCGCCAACGGCATACCCATCCCCGGCGCCTCAGGCTCGCCGTCCGCCGCGCCGCAGCCGCTCTCGCCCATCGGCTCGCTAGTCCCCCTCTCCTCGTCCGCGCCCACGGTCGGCACCATGCCACCCGAGCACGACAAGGACAAGGTGATCAGCGACAAAGAGCGCGAAAAGGCGCTCTACCCCCAGCGCGTCATCCTCACCAGTCAGTACTCCCCCCCCTTCCCCTCTCCCGATCCTCCTCACATCTACCGAAACGAAAAACGTGTGCTGACGACCGAAAAACCCCGGTTCCACCCCGTAGCGTACCCCGACCAACACGGGATCAGGCCCTTCCCGCTCCAATGGGGCGCCTCCGACCCGAGCGTCCGCGGGCCCGTCATCTGCTCCCGCCTGCCCTCGTCCATCAAACAGCGCAACGCGCTCGGCGCCCACTCCGGCTCCTACTCGATCTACCGCGCGCTCGCCATCGCCCTCGGCACGCTCTCGCCCTCGCACAAGCCCGACTACGCCCACACCGAGCCGCCCGTCGCGATCCCGCCCGTCCCCGCCTGGGCCGACCCCGCCAAGATCGTGTCCTTCGACCCCTGGGGCCACCTCGTCCCGCAGGTGTTCAAGAGGGAGCTCGAGGAGCTCGGGCTCGACGTCCGCCCGAGCATCGCCGTCACCCGCGCGCATATCAAGCTGAGCGAGATCGACGAGAGCGTCAGGAAGGGCGAGATCGCGGTCGACGGGAAGATCGTGATCAAGAGCCGGCCGCTCAGGAACGAGGACGGGAGCGAGAGTCAGGCCGATCCCGGGGTCGAGATCAGCGTGAGCAAGGCGGCGGTCGACCCGGTGTGGTATCTGCCCGGCGTCGCGGAGCGGTTCGGGATGTGCGTATATGCGCCTTCTTCTTTTTTTTTTCGTAGGCTGCTAGACCGACGTGTGCTGATGGGAGTGTGTTTGTTGGGACGTTTATAGTTCAGAGAGCTTGCTCCGCCGCGCGTTGTTTGAGGACACGGGAGGGATGTACCCCGAGCTTATCACCCGTCCGGACATCAAGGTCTTCCTCCCGCCCATCGGCAACTTGACCGCCTACATCTGTCAGTCCAGCTTTCGCTCTTATTTGGGGGGTCTATCAGCCATCTGACGTAGCCTGTCATAGTCGGCAACCCCGCGTATCTGCGCGACGAGTCGAAGGAACTCACCCTCCGCGTCCACGACGAATGTAGGTTCTCCGCGTTTTGCGTGTTTGGACGTCTGCGATGGATCTGACCCGATGGCGGCGACCCAGGTAACGGCTCAGACGTGTTCGGCTCGGACATCTGTACCTGCAAACCCTATCTCGTGTACGCCATCGAAGAGTGCGTGCGCTGCGCTCAGCGCGGAGGCGTCGGCGTCGTCGTCTACTTCCGCAAGGAGGGCCGCGCCCTCGGCGAGGTCACCAAGTGCGTTCATGGCCCTCCTCTCTCTCTCCTCACTCATTCCCGCACTCACGCTCACGCCGAGCGCAGGTACCTCGTGTACAACCTCCGCAAGCGCGGCGGCGACTCGGCGGACAAGTACTTCAAGTCGACCGAGCTCATCGCCGGGGTGAAGGACATGCGTTTCCAGGCGCTCATGCCCGACGTCCTGCACTGGCTCGGGATCACCAAGATCCACAACATGGTCTCGATGAGCGACATGAAGTACAACGCGATCGTGCAGTCGGGCATCCCCATCGTCAAGCGGTACGACATCCCCGGTACGCACCTTCTTCTTTTCACTCTTGTCCATGGTTCGTCAGCGGGAAGGGGGGCTCATGTTGCGCGTTGGGGGTCCTCAGAACACCTCATCCCGCCCGACTCGCGCGTCGAGATCGACGCGAAGATCGCCGCGGGCTACTTCACGAGCGGCAAGAAGGTCACCGAGGCCGACCTCGCGAAGACCGTGGGCCGCGCCTGGGAGGAGACCGAACATTGAGATTTCGGATCGGTTTACGTTTGGATCGTGTATTTTCTAGCTTTGGACGTGCCGGAATCGAAATCTTTCGACGTTCTCGTGGCTGATCGACTACCCTGCTCATCAACCGAATATGGGATCGTTGACTGATATTATCATCAGGTTAAGTACTCCACTACGTCCGATGCTTCGGAACCGCTGTACTCGGTATACTCATCTTCCGGCGAGCGTTCTTCTACGCGATCCGTGATGAACTCGCGGAGATGCTCTTCTAACCACTCGAAGGGCCGGGTCGTCGTCACCGCGCATTCGTCGAGATTGATCGACTCGAGCGGAGTGACCTCTCCCCTCGCTCTGGTCGGACCCCGCAACCCCAGAGGCAACCTCGCGTCGACCAGGTCCACGAGCACATCCGGCTCGATCGGTACGTCCTGCGTCATCCAGAGGCTGAGGCGCGTCAGCTTCTTCAGCGGGACCGTCGACCCGTCGCGCACCGCGGGATCGGCCACCGGGAAAGAGAGCAGACGGAGCACGTCGTTCACGTCGCGGCGGTAGGCGCACAGGTCGAGGAACTCGACGTTCGGGCAGCGGAGGATCGTGTCGTACAGCGTCTGCGCCGGCCAGGTGCAGAAGGGGAGCTCGAGCTCGCGGACGGAGTCGAGCCGCGCCCGGAGGAGGGCCGGGGGCTGCGGCGAGTAGTCCTCGAGCATCTCGAGGTGGACCAGGTTCGGGCAGAGCAAAGGGCCGAGCAGGTCGCAGTCGATGCCGTCGATCTGCAGGTCTCGCACGGTCGGGAGCGTGAGCGCGTGCCGGGGAGGGTCCGGGTCGTCCTGGAGGCAATCGGCGATGGACAGCGCTTCGAGCTTGGGGCAGCGGACGAGGAAGGCGACGATGTGGGACGGGTAGAGGCGCGCGAGGTCGAGCTTGCGCAGGTGGGCGAAGGTGAACTCGGGCGGAATGTGCAGCGGAACCCATCGCGGGTGGAGCTCGGAGAAGTGCAAGAAACCGAGTTCTTTCACCAGAGGACCCTGGGGGGTGCTGAAGAAGTGACCGAAGATGCAGTTCCAGAAGGCGGAAAGGTTCACGGGCTTTTTCGAAGCTTGGTTGGTGAGATAGAACCAAGCGCCTTCGAGTTGGGGCAGCGCGCGGGTGCTGAGTGGAGCGAGAGATGTGTTCAAGGACCACACCAGGTGCTCGGTGGAGGGGCAATGTAGAGACAGCTTCTTCAGAGCTGTCGGGTCAAGAGTACGCAGCTCTTGCGCCCAGCCTAAGGCGCTGGCGAATGCTTCTTCGTGGATACGCAGACATCTGATCCGGTTTCCGGAGCAGTCCTTCCAAAGCCTCGCCAGGTCGCTCGAGTGGCGGCTTTTGAGCTCGAGCACGCGCCACAGCCCGGGGGTGGTGCGCACGATCCAACGCCAGTACTTGCAGACGCCACCTATCCGGAGCATGACGTACGGCCAATCTTCTTTGACGAGGTCGAAAACCTCGAGCCATACGTCCGGTGGCAATCTCTCGGGATGAACCATGTTTGAGAATCTAGCGTTGTCCCAGGAGGTGCCAAGCTTGGGTCCGGGGAAACGCCGTCGTCACTGGCGTGTTCGTCGACGCTACAAATTCTGGATGAGAGCACTTCAATATCTTGCGCGATGCGGGATAGATAGTGGTACTTACTGAGAAGGCCCTGAACGTGCGCGAAGCAGAAATACAGCTGAGCAACAACGCAAGAGATTCTGAGCCAAAGACCCGGGGATATAAGGCTCTCCTTGCACAAAGGGAAACCCTCAGGAACGGGATCGAGGAATACTAGTCGAACAAAGGCAGAAATTCGAGGGTGTCCTGGCTCGCAAATAACAAATCTTAAGGGAGAAAGAACAAACGGGCGAACAAATCGTTGCATGCCGAAAGGGGAGCAAAGACCGTGGCTTCGCCCTTGATCAGCCAGGATACGACAGCATCATTCGGCACCCACAAGCCACCACCACGGCTATAGAGACATCTCGATGACAACAAGGGCAGAGGCAGACCCGCTTGGACAACAAGACTGTTGGATAATGGGATGTTCAGTTGGTATCATCCATTGACTCTCATCGTCTGGCCTCCTGGTATATGTGTATGAGCCCGCAGCCGAGATTCGACTGGAGGAGAAACTACTAGACCCGAGGTTTCTAGGGAGGGGTTGTACGCGTACTGTTCGATCGATCGATAAAATATCCATTGTGCAGGAGCTGAGGCACAATATCACTGGCGCTTGCTTGGACTTGATAAAGACTCGGCGGATTCGGAGGGGCACCAAAGGGCGAGAATTCTTGGAAGTCTGGCGCGGTTAAACGTGGTCTCACACATGCGAGTCGTCCGCGGAGGCAGGCATATTCAGGTTTAGATAGTGCCGGAGCATGACTCTGGACCACAGCAAGCTTCAGGCAAGCAACCTGACGAGCACTTCGGTGTCGGAAGCCAACACGAAGCCGTGAGAAAAACCTCTTCACGCTGGCGAAACCCGTCACCTCACCTCATGATCTCTTGCACAAGAACTACACCATTCGCGCTCGAACTTCACTTAGTCTCAGATATGCGAGCGTTTGCGCTAAGTCTTGAGCATCGATGCTTGAAGCACGAGTCTTTTTGCTCTTGAAACGGTCGCGCATTGACACGTCCGGCTTAACTCGTTGGGATGCCCTCTGACAAATCATCGAATTCCATACAGTGGCATGCTATAGGCACCTCTGTATCCCAGCGATCCCTGTGAAACTTGCGACGACTGCTTCCGCCTCCCGAATCACCGAAATTCCTTCAGAAATCAGGAACGAGCACGCGGAGAGCTTGGTGTACATGCGTAGGAATGGGTGGGGTTCAGCGTATGCCCGTAATCTATGCTCGTTCTCGCAATCGGCGTTATGACTGACTTCCGGTGTATCAGATTGCAAGTTACAGTTCATGACAGAAGGTTGCCGCATTGCACGCAGCATTATATCACCGTCACCGGCAAACCCCCTCGACGATTACTTGAATCCCGGTTCTGATAGAAAACTCGAGCAGAGCTTGGTGGACCTCGGGAGCGGATCGTGGTCAACACACGCGATTCAATCGCTATGCCGGCAGGCCCTCGGCAGGCACGTCGTAACATCGCGAGCGCTTTCCACCGCATCTCCGCAAGAACTGTCAAGGGCGTATCCGGTGAATTTCAAGCGCCCGTTCTAAGGACGAGGTGAACTGGTTCGCCGTCTTCATCAATAATATAGGCATACGCCACCCCCCTTCCGGTGATTGACCCCGCACGCACTATGCCAACAGCATCATATCACGCCTCTGAACGCTCGTATCAACGTGTTACATCACATAGCCCATTCGTCGTCGCACGTCAGCGATCATCTCTCGCTCAGCTCCTGAGTGTCGGTGACTAAAGTAGCGGTACCTCACCGCAGTTATGACGGTGCTGTCAAGCAGAGATCCCGTAAGAGCTTGAAAGACCGGTGCGGCAGATTCCGAACCTTGTATAAGCATCATGAGGTTTACTTCCGTTCATGTAGGATCCCGGGATCTAATTGGCCGGCGACAGAGTTCAAATCCACAAATCAGTACACAGAGTTGAAGTACAACGGCGATGTCACCCAATCGGTTGCACTTACAGTGGGTTTCGGCGCCATCCGCGTAGGCATTTCATCTCATTGATTTGCTCAGGTAGACTCTTTCATTAGTTGGGATTCGATGCTAACTCCTTGTAAAGGATCGAGTCGGACAACGATGTGAGCATCATCCAATGACCTTTCCAGCTCCGGATTGAGAATGTTTCACGCAAGATCACAGATCGTTTTGCCCTATCTCACAAGATCAGGGGTGCAGGGCACGAAACCGAAGCTCTTATTACCCCCTCTCGTCCATTGGCGGGACATCTTCACACCGTACATGGCCCGCACGGACTGCCAAAGCAGTGTACACTCGGATGCGTTTTCCTCTTGAAGCAGCGTGCGCAAGGAAAGAGCCGCGAGCTATCCCGCAATGGAAACCTCCGAGATAAACCCGGCACATGGGGCGCTGACCCGTGGCTGTCAGGGTCAATGTCGTATGCCAGATGCCTTCCATCGCTGTGGCTTGGTGGCTGAATTCGCCGGCGAAAGCATCCTCCGTAAGCCTTTCCCACCGACTCAATATGTCGTAGGAACGTTCAAAAGACGGCGCAGCAGCACTGCCGACAGTCGCACTCACCGTATGTCAATTCGTTCATGTTCATCTTGAACTCGAAACGTCTCTGTAGATTAACTTTGACTACATCAGGGTACAGTGCTGCCCGCAACACGCTGTTGCTATGTGGGTTATTCACCATCTGTTTAATGCGATTGCGAAAGGCACACTTCTGAGGAAACCTGCGCAATGCGATGATTATCGAGGCAGCGCGTTTCAACTTGCATAAGCCGGCATGACCAAGCAGGCGCCGCTCGACGTGCTGAGTGGTGCTCTGCATCTGTCAACCTCTTCCGCGATGCAAGAGCAGGTCGCAAGCGTATCCGGTACGTGGCGTAGGGCATGTTACATATATAGAATGAAATGAGCCAACTCGCTTCAAGCGCAGGCATGAGCATTAGAGGTGTCCGGGAACCTCGGCGTTTGATCCTTTGAGCATCCCCGCATCCCCACATGTACGCCGCCCCGAGGAGCAGCATCATACTGGCTGTGCGCGCGCTCATGTCATTCTATGACACCAGGTAGTCGTCTCAACATGGGCTTCCGTCTGTTCCTTTTATGTTAGGGTAGCAGGGCTCATTTCCTGCGGGCGCTATCCCACTTCACTTGGCGGAACAGGGAGAGGTGCGTATATTCGAACGAAGAGATAGATAGTATCTGACTTCAGGCCCTGCGTCTTAGGATCCCGATCCTAGGCTGAATGCCTGAACACCCAAGTCTTACATATCGGCACCAGCGTCCAAGGGGAATGACAGATATTCCAAATCTTCTTGGCCAGGATGTAGCAGAAAAGCCGGATGACATGACACACCGATGAATTGCGGAGTTAGGTGCATCCAAAGGAGGATCCATCCACGACAACCTTCTTCTGTTGTCAGAGTGGAACGCGCACCAGGCCAGTTCAACTAGGTGAGCAAGTCTTCGCACGAAAGCTGCTATGGGCCTGTAACACCGGACATTCTGAGAATCGAAACGTTCTCAGACTGTAGAGATTACCGCCGGCAGCAGTAACGGCTATCCATCTACGCACAGTGTGCTGCGAGTCGACCCGCGCACAGCAGATCGAGTTGAACGCGAGCGCGTGTAGTCCTGTTTGAATATGCATACGGGTTCTTGAGTGCTTGGCAGCCACCGCTGCATCGTGTTCGGTTCTGGCCCTACGTATACTTGGTTCTCGGAGCCGTCATCACCCCGCATCGACATCGCCACATGCACTTCCACGGCCGCTCGGCCCTTCCCCTCGCCCCCAACATTATGCAGTTGATCCCGGAGGTCGTTCCTGTATTCAGCTCGTCGGGTTGCTTACAAGACCTCGCCCGAGGAGCCTGAGGTGAGCTTCTTCTCAGAGGTCAAGGGTATCGCTCACTCAGGTTCTTCATCTTCCCTACGCTCGTTCACTGCTGCCGTAACAACAGATCATCTGCTACTGCATAATGATCATGTTTCAATCTAGAGCGTTCGAACAGCATGCGTGTTACGAGAAAGACCGGTCGATTGAAGGTCCAGGTCAATCTATGATGGTAGGTTAGCATGGGAGCGCAACCTTGCGCCCGCGTCATGACCCCCCTTCTCCTGGAATTTTGCTTCCCAATTCCGCTCTCACCTTCTTGAACGGCTAACTGCTCCCTAAACCCAAACGCGGTTGCCGTCAGTTAGGAGAGTGTGAATCCTAGACCGTGTCCATCTCCACTCCTAGAGAACGCAGGAACGTCTTAAAAAACGAGTCACACGAGCGGTGATCGTGTCCAGCACGAGCTCTTTCCGCCCTTGATGCCAGTCCGTAGCACGAGCTGAGGCCCAATACTCATGACTCATCTTGATTCTGGATGGTAAGCCCTGCATGGTCACGTTTCTCGACTCATTGAGGGCGCCCGCCGACTCGGCGAGCCCCCATTCACCCGGTGTTGTTCGTACTGGCGGTGATGATATCGGACATGGATGCGGGAGAATTGCCGCAGGCCGTCTTCCTGCAAGATCTCCGTCATACGTTATGCAAGGCGCCCCTCGAGCGGCTGAAAGAAATACTTCAGCTTTGCTCGCCTGCAACACCCCTCTATATTCGATACAGATCGATGGATCAGGGGGCAGGCATGCTTGGAGAGCGTGTTACTGTGAGGCTGCTGAGCTGAAAGGAGGCCAGAGGAGCCGAGAAGAAGCAAGTCTCCGGAGCGTTATCCTGTTTGCTGTGATGAAACACCATGGTTTGCGTAGCTGCAAAACTACTCAAGGCAAGGACTTAGCTGTGTCAACCGAATAAAAATCAAAGCTACGCTAGCCCCGTCGTGCGTGATCGGATGAGCCCTGAGCGTAAATGTTACATGTCCTCTTCACGATGCAAAAGCCGCATCTCCCTTACGACGTCGGCCGCAGACGGTCTGGCGGAGGGGACAGAATTCCAGCATTGCTGCATGAAAGCCCATAAACGGTCACTAAGGTTTGGGCCAGGGCATTCGTCACTTGCTGGACGCGGCATAGTCTGTCCTTGTATCGTCATGCAGACAATGGCGCCATCTATCTTGATCTTCCAAAAGGGCGCCTTGGTAGTGTACGCCTGATATTCAGTATCAACGAGTTTTCAGGACCAACAATTAGGATGAAATTTACTTCGCCACATACGTGTCCGAACGCGTACACGTCCGATTGATACGTCGGGAACCTCTCCGTCCCCTCAAGTAGCTCCCGCGGAAGCCACCGAACATTGGACTGGCCTACGGTGCTCAACGCGGCTGTCGCGCTTGAGACGATGGAAAGTCCGAAATCGGATATACAGGCTTCAGGACGATCGTTGACAAGAATATTAGCCTGTTGGCAATTGGTGAATAGCTCAGAGGGTCAGTGAGGGTGTCAAGCCACTTACAGCGCGCAAATCGCCATGAACGATGTTTTGGCTGTGGAGATATGCTAATCCTGATGCAGCATCTACAAGCTAAAGCGGATGTTGGATAAGGAATTTTGGGACATCACTGAGGTTATCAAACCAATTTATTGATCTCCCGCCTTGTGCACGTGCAATCGAGGATGAAGTCTACGATATTTCCGTTGTTCAACCATGGCGAAACCAACGCATGGCAGGAATTGAATGTTACGCGATCTACACCAATGAAAGGGAGCACGTTGGGGTGATACAGTTGTCGCCATAGTGTTGCCTCGCGGCAAATCATCTGGAATAACAATGACCAAACTGACCGGTATAAATACAAGTAGAGGGAGGCTGACCTCGTGGACTTTATCTCGTTCGCGAGGTGCCAGGACGTACGTACGCAGACGCTTCACGGCGACCTGCGCACCGCCCCATTGTCCGATGAATATGTCTGCGAATCCACCGTGGTACGCGGGATCAACCTTGTCTTCGCAAACGATGCTATCCACGTAAAGCATGCTCGGTAGAATCCCATAGTGTTTGCTTAGGCGCATTAAAAAGCGAATCTTGGCCCGACGAGGCATCTGATCCTCGAGGAGGGTGGTGGAGGAGAATGGGGCGTCAGGTAGCTGTCCCACGCGCTGTCTGTCGAGGTGCTGTGCGAGGGCAATCGACGTGTGAGGCCAAGGTGGAAAGCCTTGTTAATCGGTGGATATACCTCTTGCAGCCGGTCAAGCAGGCCTTGCGCAAGATCTGACGGGAATTGGGCATTGGTCGCGGGGTCGGTAGTGAGACTCATGGGAGCTGACGTCCAGACACGGGCTATCAGCGCCAGGTCTGCCTCCGAGAGAGAGATTCCTTCGGTAGATTCGGAGTTCTCCTGCATACTCGCGGATGTCACCCATCTTTCATCCAGGTTTGGCATATCCGAGGTCACAGATTGTCGACCCTTTGGTGTGTCCATGGCTCTCATTTAGACGGCTACACACCGGATGGTGATATAGAGCGCACAGTCACGGTGCTAGCGTCACCTCAGTGGCTGGATTGCTGTTTTATCTGCACCTAACTCTTGATATAAGTATGTTGCCTTCTTCTTGATCATCGAATTCATCGTCGGCAAAAGTAGTACTAACGAAATACCAAGTCCAAGGTGGATGCAATCCCTGAAGCTCGCTGTCACTTGGCCGCTTAGCCTTGAGTTGGCGGGGGCGACTTGAGCTTGTGTACTATGTATGCCTTCCCTTATCGTGGTGTAACGCAACGGTCAGAGAGTGTGATTAAGAATTGGACAGTTGTTTGTGCGACGCATGGTGGTCTGTATACGTAAGGTGGCACCGTGAGTGCACCGTGGCGGGAGGTGATGGCTGTGGCGTGTAAACGACCGCCGAAGCGCTGATACCAACAATATGTGGTCAAAGTCGTGTCAAGTCGTTGCGTTAAGGTAGTACACATAAAAATGAAGCGTGATGCGCGAGTATGGATAGTAGTAAATGCGGAGGCATGAACGATTGAACGAATAGTATGCACACCCAACACCGAGATCGAAGCTCTGACCAGCCCTCGAAAAAACAAAGACCGCGGTTCAATGCGCCGACGCGCTCGCGGCCTGGACGACCACGAGCCCGGCGTTCAACCCGGACAGCACGAACGCCGTCGCGACGTCCCCGACCGTCTTCCTCACCTCCGCGTTGACCCCGCCGTGTTCTTCCACCATCGCCTTCAGCTCCTCCGCGTGGTTCTCGACCGCGAGCCGGCGCGAGCGCCCGGCGAGGACGAGGAGCCGCGCGCGCTCGTCGACACTCACGGGCAGCAGCGCGGCGACCTGTTGCACGACGGCGTGAAGGGGTCGTGGGCTCGCGAGATCGACGAACTCGACGCGCGCGAGCGCGGCGGACAGGCTCGTGCCCGTGCCCGAGGGGTCCGCCGACTCGACCGAGACGTGCTCCGCGTACTTGCTCCAGAGCACGTTATCCGCCGTCTCGGACTGCATCCGCGTCTGCGTGTTGTGCTGGCCGTACACCGTATCCGGGAATCCCGTCATCGTCTATGACGCAGGCCATCCACGTCAGCCATGGAGACCCCAAGCATTTTTGGGGGAAAAAAATTAGAGCTCGAACACGACTCACGGTCTGCAACGTTGCGCCCCCCTGCTCCCTCACGTACGCCTCCGCGCCTTCGCCGAGGTACGCCCTCTCGGGCTTCTCCAACCCCTCGCCCTCCTCCTCCGCCCCGACCTCCCGCTTCGTCACGCGCACCACCGTCGCCCGCGTCTTCCAGCTCCGGCACAGCCGCACCGCCATCTCCACCGCCAGCCGATCGTCCGGCCCACCAAAGAACGGCACGTAAACGTGGTGCCTCCTCGCGCCCGCCGCCGTGCGCGCCTCGTCCGGCGCGTGCCCGCGGTCGACGAACAGCGCCACGTCCGCGCCCGCCTTCGCGAACACCGAGCGCACAAAGTGCGCGTGGTGGGCCGACGCCGCGCCCTGGTGCGGGTGCTGCGGGTGCTGCTCCTTGCCGCTGCTGCCGCCGCCGCCGCCGCCGAAGAGCATGTCGAACGGGTTCGACTCGGCGGCGGCGCCGGCCTCGTGCGCGGGCGCGTGGGGCGGGAGCCACGGCAGGAGGATCATCTGGCCGCCCGTGCGCGCGGCGTGCTCGACGACGCACGCCGCGAGCTCCTCGTACGGCGCGATGGCGACCGCGGCGGAGACCGCGAGCCCGCGCAGCTCGCCGTACATCTTGAACACGGCCAGGAGGGGGTCGGTGCGCGCGAGCGCGTCGGCGAGCGAGCCCGCCGCGCGGTCGAGCTCGCGCATGACGGCGGAGGTGCGGTCGGAGAGCTCGACGAGCCTGAGCGCGTCCACGCGCGTCGCGTCGTCCTTCTTCTCCCGCCGCTTCTCCCGCCCGCGTGGGGCGGGGACGAGGTCGGTGCTCGTCTTGGACGAGGACGAGCTCGGGTCGCGTTTGAGCCGCGGCTCGTCCGTCGTGTGCGCCGACCGCGCGTCGTCCGCCGAGGGCAGACGCAAGAGATCCGTGAGCGCCATCATGCCGGGGACGTGCTCGATCTTGTCGAGCACGACGGTGTACTGCCGTCTCCACTCGCTTCCGTCGTCGTCGCTGTTACGACGCTCGCGAGGGCGGGACGTGCCGGCCTCGTCGGCGGCAACGCTCGCGAAGTTGGCGCCGGCGCCGGCCGCGCGCGTGCGAAGGTGCGGTGGGTATAGGACGCTGACGGCCGGGGTGGTCATAAAGGTGAGAAGCAGCGCTTCGAGGACGAACATCGAGAAGACGCGCTAACAGAGCGCCCACATAGTCAGTCGATATGATCACACGCGACGTTGAGAGGGGGGTATGGGGTAGCTCACAGGGCTAAGGATGCCGGCGGAAAGACCGACGTTGAGCACGATCAGTTCGACGAGTCTACGGCGATGAATGGTGCGCGTCAGATAAGCACCCGGTTAGCACGGTTTAAAGCGCTTTACCCTTTGCAACTCATCAAGCTGCCGATCGTGCTCGCCTCTCGCCACGAAAAGCCGGCCCAGCGCGCCGCAAGCGTGCACCCGCCCATCTTGCCCGCATACGCGAGCGTGCAGATCGCGACCGTGAAGCCCCACGTGATGCCGTTATCGAGCAGGCCGAGGTTCGTGCTCAAGCCCGAGAGCGTGAAGTAGAGGGGGAGGAAGATGATGGAGACCATGTCCTCGAGCTTCTCGGTGAGCTGGATGGCGAGGTTGCCGTCGCGGGGGACGATGAGCCCGGCGAGGAAGGCGCCGAAGATGGCGTGGACGCCGATGATGTCGGTGAAGAAGGCGGAGCCGAAGACGAGGAGCATGGTGCATGTCATGAAGAAGGATGAGGGCCCGGCGCCTTCGAGCGAGCGCGTGCGGAGGGCGAGCCAGCGGAGGAGGAGCCGGATCGGGAAGAGGAGGAGGAGCGTCCAGCCGACGCAGACGAGGAGGATGTAGAGCGCGGTGAGGCCCGAGCCGGCGTTGACGAGGGCGACGGAGAGCGCGAGGAGGGTCCAACTGGAGCGGGGCGACAATCGTCAGACATATATGCGCATACACTTGAGAATATGTAGCCTACCCGACGATGTCGTTGCCAACGCCGGCGGAAAGGACGACGATACCGACGGTGGTATCGAGTAGCTTGAGCTCTGTGAGGATGCGACAGAGGACAGGGAAGGCAGTGATCGAGTACGCGACACCCGTGAATAGCATAAAGTTCGTGAATTTGACGCTTTGATCAATGAATTGGTGATAGAGTGGGACAGACAGTGCCGCGCCCAGGCCGAAGGGCAGCACCATCCCTGGACGAAACGGACGGCAGGATAACGTCAGCTCTTGGATATGGAATACGATGCGATAAGGGGCGCACCGGCTAGAGCTACTGTGGCCGAAAGACGGGCATTGCGTTTGATGACGGAGGACTCGATCTCGAGCCCGACAAGGAAAAGGAAGAGGACCAGGCCGATATTGGCGACAAGGGAGAGGTATGGGCGGGATGCGTCCGGGAATACATGCTTGGTGAAACCAGGTATGCGACCGCACGCTGTAGGACCTGCATATACGCATATCGGTCTATGATCTCGAAGAAAGACATGACCCAGGCGTACCGAGAATGATGCCACCCAGAACCTCAGCGATCACTCGGGGTTGTTTCATCCTGCGAAGACCCAGCGAAAGCAGCTGGGTCATCATAATGATGATGCCTTGAGATCGCCGCCATGAGTGTATTCCGAATTGGCCAGCCACGCGAAGCGTTCGACTCACCGACTTGGATGATCCATAGCCTTAAGGGATCACTGGTGTTGAATGCGGACGGGTCCTTGCCGCTCAGCAGCCCGCCTTGGTCAGGCGCCTCCCTCTTGGTCCCTGAGAACGCGGACGCAACGTGCGGGGCAGTCCATCTTCCGCTTATATCCCGCGCGACATCGAGGACCGCGCGAGAGAACTCGGGCATCGTGGAACGGATCCTGGTGTCCTCAATATGATGTCATCCAGGATGCGGGGTCGTCGTGCTCGTCGTGCTCGTCGGCGTCGACGCGCGTCGCGTTGGTCGGGGGCGAGGGCGATAAGGTCGGAAGACAACCAGCAACGACCTCGGAATTCCGGGGTAAGTAGTCGATATCCACGCAGAAGGGGTTCTGTTCTCTCGGTTAACCTTCTCCGGCGCGCTTGTCATGGAGCCCCTCAACCTCGAAAAAAACGTGCATCCAGCGCCATCCCCCCTCCGCGCCGCCTGCCTGACATGGGCGTCGGCGACACCACCTCCCCCCGCCGCCACGGCCCGCCGATCTCGGCACAGCTGCCCGTCGAGACATGGGCGCACATCCTCTCCTACCTCCCCGCCGCCGAGCGCATCCCCGCGCTCTCCGTCAACCGCCTCTTGCACGACGTCGCCCTCCGCTTCGTCCACTCGTCTGTGCACATCCACCTTGGCGCCTGGGAGACGGTCCACCCCAACTTCAACGACCTCGGCATCCCCGCGCCCGAGCTCCTGCGCCGCAACGCTCAGCGCTCCGCCGAGATCCTCCAACATATCGTCACCAATGCTCGCTTCGCGAAGAACGTTAGGAAGCTGTCCGTATATGCGTTCGCCCCCGGCGATGCGATGCGCGCAGCCGCGATGAGATTGCTCAGTCCGTGATCGTTTGCCCTTTATCCCTGCTAGCGTGTAATAACCCTAAAATTTTGTTCCCCTCCCTTGGCTCTCTTCTGTGCATTGTGCAGATATATTGACGCAAGCCCTCGAAAGACTGCCCAACTTGACGACATTCCACTGGATCGGATGCGAGCCTTTGCCCGTCGATGCGGTCATCGACTATTTCGTGTCGCGGATTCCGCCCCTCAAGGAGCTTAGGATACCAGCGTCAGTGCGATTTACTCAATGATTCGAACCCAACCTCGCTCGATATTCCTGCTGTGGTCGGAGGCGCGTTGCTTGAATCACTAGAGACTCAGCTGATTCGCATGTTTGATCTCCAGGCGCCCCTTCGATGCCTTTCCCCGGATGCTAGCTTTCAACTCCTTGGCATCCCTATGTTTAAGCTCGAAAAATTACATTGAACATATGGGCGGCTATAATATCGTAAGCAAACCCTATTTAGCAATCGCTTTCGGAGGATTCACCGTATCGATCATATGCCAGGCCGACCTTGATGCTATAGCCGATACTACGCGTTCGATCATCCTCAACAACGTCGGCTCCTTGCTCTCGCTGACGGTCTTTGCCTCCGTCTTCGACCATATAGCCCGTACGCCTCCCCTGTGCCCCATGAGTCGTCGTTCACACGGCCCCTCTGACAGCCGACTCTCTCGGGCGCTCGCTCGTCGAGCTCGACGTTTGGGCCTGCGATGGCCTCACGGCCATCTACCCCATCCTCTCCCACTGCCCGCGCCTGACCGCGCTCGCCCTCCTCGAAGTCACCTGCACCGACCCGTCCTCCTTCCACCCCCTCGCCCCCGACCCACCGCCGCTCCCCCGGCTCTCCTCCTTCAAGCTCATCGCCCTCGACGAGGTCTCCCGCGCCCAGTACGCCCAGATCGCCGCGTTCCTCGCGCAGCACCCGGCGCTCCGCCGGCTCGACCTCGACATGCCCTGCCGCGACCTGGAGCCGATCCTCGCGCTCCTGCCCGACCTCGAGCGCCTCCAAGTCCTCGGCCTCGACGTGCGCGCCTACCCGGACCTCGCGCGCGTCGCGGACGCCCTCCCCCGCGGCCTGCGCGCGCTCCACGTCCAGACACGCTGGGATCTACTCCCCGTCGAGGCGGAAGAGCTCAAGCCTCTCGTACGTGCCCCCATTCCATCGGCCTGCTCTCTACTTCTTCTTCTTCTTTCTTCTTTTTTTCCCACCTTGTTTTTTTCTTTTCTTCTTCTTCTGCTGCTGCCCCCGGTCTAACGAAATCGCCAGGTCGACGCCATCTTCGAAACGAAGCCCCTCACGATGCTCCACTTCGAGAACGTGTTCATGGAAAAGCAGCGCTCGGCGGAGACGTTCGTCAAGAGCCTGCCCGAGCTCGAGGTGATCATGCTCCGCGACGACTGCTGGACCGTCTACCGCGAGCTCCCGCTCGTCCCGGACGCGCGCGGGCAGCACGTCGTCCGGGGGCAGGCGGTCGCGCAGGCCGCGGCGGGGATGAGCACGCGGCCGCTCCCGGACGCGGCGACGGCGGTGCAGGCCGAAGCCGCCCGGACGCGCGTCCGTTTTTGGCTCGAGAAGTGGCCGAGAGGGAAGGTCGTGTTCCGGACCGCGGACGACTATACGGACCCGGACCACGAGTGGTTGTTGAGGTTTCACGGGATACAGGACGATCTGACGGATTTGGGGAGCGAGGAGGGCTGACGGGGCGATGGGGTAAGGGGGGATTTGAATGGGGCTGGGAGGTACGAAGCGGCGTGGAGGAGCGCGATGTTAACGCTTGGATGTGGCAGGGTTCCTTGCGACTATCTTGCGTATGTACGGGGCGTGTATCCTCGGGGAAAAAAACCCCCCCGATACAACACGTGGATGTAATGCAACTCCAATTGTACGAGCGTATACATACATACTACATGCGCTGTGAGACCTGAGGGTTTCCGTGGCTTGGGTTTCTATCGTGCCGACGTCGCCAGCGTTGACAGTAATGACCTGCGCCGTCATCGTCTGTTCACTTCCACGATATATCGCCGAGAAGTTCAAACGAAGCTGTTGCCGCCGGGCGCGCTGGAAGGAGGAGCAGGTGGTATGGTAGTGGCGTAACCCGTAGTAGAAGCGAAGGATATGGAGGCATAGGCGTAGCTTGGTTGACGAGTGAGAGACCTAGCACGGTGAAAGCCTTCGCTCCTGTCCTCTGGCCGTGTTGAAGTCAGGTCCGTCGAGCGGTGCAGGTGACTGGATGCACCGACGGGGACCGTTTCAGGCTCGTTCGTATGCTGGGATCGACCAAGACCGAAGTCGTGCTGAGCGAGATCCGCGATGAGCCGGGAGATCTCCTCTCGAGAGACATCGGCCGCTTTGCCTGAAGTTTTGTTGGTACTGTGGCATTCTGCGACGTTGGCGGTACGAGAAGGTTGGTTGCCTGCGGTATGAGACTGAGAAACGTCAGGGCGTGTTGGAAACAACCTGGGGAAGGTGTCCGGGATGTATCCAAGAGATATAGACGAGACGTTGACGGCAGGCTTGCGTGTGGTGCCCAAGCGAGTGTTCTGTACGCGTCCGGCCTCGCCGCGGCCTTCTTCTTCGATGTTGGACTTGGTCGAGCTGCGTGTGCTTATAGGCATTCCTATATTGCCCTAGAGCAGCGCAATGAGTAGATAAGTGTAATGGCGACAATCTGGTTGGAGCGAGTTTGTCGAAGCAGGAGAGAGAAACTCCTCGCGCGAACCTGTCAATTCTGAAGCCTCATCATCCAACCTTGGGGCATGAATATGTCACTCATTGATAGTCGCGCAACTGGACCTCGGCGCGCAACTCGGAATCCGGCGCCAGAGGCCCAGAGGTGGAGCAACCGGTCTTACTTCGCTGCTCAAGTCTAAACTGGGCCCGTACTGAGGTACGCCGCTCGTCCCGATCCGTGATACGGTGACTCTTAAGTCTTCCCTCAGTCGAGTTGTTTTCCTCCGCCAGCCTCTTCTTCCGCACGTATTGACCGAGTTTTCCGCACGTGAACGATTATCCGGAGCACATGAAATTCGATGTCCTTCGTTCTACTTTACAGTTGCTGTCGTTTTCAGCTGGATGGGTGACGGGCCGGAGCCAGGATTCCGGACGCTGAGCGCCGTTCAGAATGGCATCTATTGGTCGGAAAGCATTACCACAACACCGCGCTGTCTTAGCACCGCGAAGTGCGACGCGATCAAGCCTTCCACGTCCAGTGGAGGACGGAGGGAGCGGTGCTTGGGGCAGCTGATGTGCAGTTCTCTGAGTCGTTCGAAACGCGGATCTGATAAGTTGTCGTCCAAGGTTCGCAAGAAGACGGTTAGCGGCGTTTCCGTCTCCTTGATTGTGATTCTCAACATGAGCGAGTTGAAGGCGCTAGAGTCGATTGTAGACAGCGAGACGGCAAGGTGCTGAAGATGGATGTGAAGAGGAATGGGTACCACCCCCCACATTTCTACGTTGACTTCCGTGAGGGAACACAGTGCCGAAAAATCGAGGGTATCTTGAATATGCGCGTGAGCGGGCTCAAGCTGGTAATTGTAGGCCAACTCAGGCTCATCTCCATGTTGCACGACGTTCTGGACAGACTCACTTCTATAGGACACAATGTTCTGATACTTGCTGATTTTGAGTGAGAGCAGTTTGTCGTTTTGCCGCAGGAGCGGGTTGATCGTCGATGCCCATGACGGGAAAAAGCCAACACCCAACGACAGCTTTTCAAGCGCGAGAATGACGTCTCCTCTGCCGCATGACGCGTCAGAAGCAACACTTCGAGACCCGCCTCTGAGTCTGTGTTGTCAGTCTGCAATCTCGTCAGATGAAGCCCGGCATTGGAGACGGGCATCGTAGCAAGATCCAGCCCTTCGGTGGTGTTGAAGTAGATGTCGCTCAGGCTGAGGGATCGGATTGTACGTGGAAGGGAGATGATCCACTCGACGAATCGGCGCGGTGTGTAGCAATCCATGTGAATTTGTAGGTCGGTAAGGCTAGGGAAAGCTGATAGAGGTGCCCATTTAGTCACATCTCTCCACGGGGGCGAGTTCTCCCCCCAAACCGGAGAACTATCCACTTTTATCACTTGGACATTCGGGAGGTGAAGATCCGCGAAGCGGCGGAGGGATGCGGCGGTAATTGACAGCACCCTGATGTACTTGCGCAGATGAAGGCTGTCTGCCAGGAGACAGTAAAGGCACTCTACATGTGTTCTCTCCGTGATGGGGTACTCCGTGATGGGTTCCAAAAATATTCGAGCCTGACTGGCTCTGAGCCAACTTCGACAGGTCAGTGAACAGGACTGTAAAGAGGTGTCTTCATCAACGCTTGCGATGATGTGGTCCCAGATCTCCTGCGGAATTTTTGCTGGATCCATCCGATGGTGTGTCCGATGCCAGCCAACAGATGCTGATTGTGTTTCGTATTAGACAGCGCTAGTGCACGCAGTGGCAAGCGGCTGGGACTGACCTGGTGAGCTGGTAGAGCTTACTGGTGGGGACTGCTAGTAGGAAGCGAGTTGTCATTAAGGGCGGACAGGCCTGCTCTTATATCCTACAAAGGAGTGGCTATGCAGGGCTGTACGCTATGGAACCAGTGCAGATGGCTATGAAGCCAATGATGTGAAAGGCTGTGTGGAACAGCCATGCTGTGTCGCATGTGACCAAGGCTGCATAGAGCCTGGTTCAACATTTCGGATTCCCGTTCTGTTGTTGACCGACAAGCCGCGAGGAGTGATGTGCTGCGCATGCGCAAACCCGGCTCGTACATGTAGTGCCACGGAGCTTTAGGCTGCGTTTATCAACACCTGATTCTGACCTGATTTTGGCCTGATTTGACTTTTTCTGCACAAACCTGGCAAGCCCCTGTCCGATTAAATCCATCTGATCTTACAGTCCTGCCTAGTATGGCAAGTAAATCGAGTCAAATGATCTCAGAATCAAGTGGTCCCAAATGCAGCCTTAGTGAGCGGGAAAAAAATTGAGATCTTATCTGCACGCTATCAAGGTACGGACTACGGGTATTTGGAGCATGCGGATTCACAGAAGTAAGAATGCAGCCAGCAACCAAATGACAACCATCATACATAGCATGGCGCGGCGCGGCATGTGACTATCACATTGCCGCAACGCGCGATTAAGTATCAGCTTTTCAGCGCTGATTGCGTCTGCAACCGAACAGGCCCTAAGCGACTGAATCGTCGGCTGGCCAAAGATTTATCAATCAAATAAATCCCAGTGTTTGCATGTAAGTAATTGTCGCCGTTCTATTTAGCACTACCAAATTCGTTACCAGCTTCCTTGCCGCCGGGCCCTGCGCCTCGCTCGCCATACCGGACCCCATTTCAATATAATCCACAGCGGCGGGGATGCGATAACACATATCCCTGCAAGAAGTACGTATGTCCAGCCCGGGCGAAGGGCCTTGAGTATAGGCTGCATAATAGACACCATGGCAGCGCCAAGGGCACATCGAACGAGATTGTTCTGAAAGGAATGCAAGGAGATGAGAAACTGCAACATTCAGACATAAATCTCGAAGTACGCACGCAGGCAGTCACCGACGATCCTCTTCCGGGCACGAGATCGATCATGAGAAGCCCGATATCGTTCATGATCCCAACGCCCACAACACCGACTATATGCTGTGAGCCTCTTGGAGAGAACATACACACGATTGACTCACTGATGAAAAGCAAAATCAGAGGCACGGATATGTGCATCCTATCCTGCAGACACCAACCGTATCCAAGAACGCAACCAGCATATATGATGAGCAGGAACGGAATTAGCCGAAGACGTGCTTTCTCGATTGGGAAGTTCTCCTCCTTGGTAACTTCGGCCTGCGCTTGGGCGACGTCCCCCTTCTCTTGTTCTGCCAGGTATTTGCGAACCAAGCCATTCCGTATACGACGGTACTCCCAGTCGAGAACCTTGCCCATCGTCGCCGTTCCGACAACCATCCCGCCACCGATGGCGAGGAAGAGAAGACCGAGGTCTGTCTCATCCAGGAATGGATATGCCACCGCGAAAAGCGACGACATGGAGGCGATGACTCCATAGAGCACGGCATAGACGAGGGCGAAGAAAACGAGCAAGAAGTCGAGATCGGGATAGAGGAATAGTTCGAAGGGATTGGCGAAGTGTTTGGCCGGAGCACGTTCAACGGCATCGGGAGAATAGCGGCCGCCTATCAGATTGACAGGCGTCCTGTAGATGCGAGGGGGAGGTATACTGCCGTTGCCGACCATCGACCTGAGCGTCTCCGGGAGGATGCTGTTATCGTTCAACATCAGCGAAGGCTCTATAAAAGTCGAATATACGCACAGAATAAAGAATATAAGTGATACACCAGATGATATGCAGAGAAACCAAAATATGGCCCTGTAGCGCCTTAAGATTCACGTTGCTTGACTCGATGGAGATTTACTCACCTCCATCCGAAACGCTGGGTGAGCGCACCTCCAATCACGGGCCCTATACACGTTCCAAGCTATCGAGAGGCAATCATCAGAGTCGGTAGGTTACCTTGAAACAGACACTCACCAAAGATCCCATGCTAGATACGCCGAAGAAAGTGCCTCTCTCCGCCGGTGTGGCGACATCGCTGACGACCCCAGCAGCTGTGATGTCGCCGTGTAAGTCATGGTACAGTGGTTGAATGACAGTCATACCTAGTGCGACAGTACTCGCTGATCCACCCGCTTGGAAAAGCCTGAGCAAGATGAGGAGCCAATATGCGTTGGTGGGAACCAGAGCTAGTCCGACACACGATACACATAGTAACAGCATGCAGCCCAAGAACATAGGCCTCCTGCCTAGCTTGTCTGCGGAAGTTCCCCTTGGAGGATGTGACATGTGAACTAGCAGATCTCTCCGCTCGCAGAGAATTAACCATACCATATCATGGGTGCTGGAGCAAAGCAATGAGCGCATGGACTGGAAAGGCGCGACGGTTACTCACATACTCCTTGCATAACCATGTATACCGTGACTGTCAGGTTGATATTTTCTGTACTTGTATGAAAGACTTTCACAAGCGTGGGTATCGCAGGTAGGTATATGTTAGCGGTGAGCGGACTATATGCACACGTACAGTCAGAATGAGCCGGGTTTCAGCGTCGGACACCAACCCACCTGAAAAGTGCGGCATAGGAAGTGAGGGCGACTATCGCCCACTTTTCCGCAATCGTGAACACGCTATATGGCGCCTTGTCCCCTTTGGCCGGAGGACTAGCGATGTGAGTCTGGGCGTCGTCCGAGGAGTGCTCCCGATCTGAAATTTCAGACATTTTCGCCGGCTCAGCGTTTCTATCGGTCGCGCCGTCGATCCTGTCCTGTCTTTCAGACATGAGAGGCTTTCTAGGGATATGTCCAACAGCAGGGACCACATTTTGGCTTATAAGATAAACGCCAGGCGATGCGGGAACGTCGGGAGCGAAGGCGGCAACGATGCGCTTCGCCTGCCTTCGTTCCCACAGCCTACCAACGAGCGCACCCTGATGTACTTGCGTAGATGAAGGCTCTCCGCCAGAAGACCGCAGAGGCGCTCCATATCAACATGCAATACTTATCCCGGGTAGAGCCCGATAGGTTATGAAAGATCCAAGAGCGACTGGCCCTAAGCCAACTCCGACAGGTCAGTGAGCAGGACAGTAAATAGGTGTCCTCAACGCTTGGAATGGTGTGGTCCCAAATCTCCTGCGGAATCTCTGTTGAATCAATTCCATAGACCGTGGGTCCTGTGCAAGTAAATGTGATCGTGATTGGGTCAAGAATTTCCGTCTGTTCTTGACCGACGAGTCGCGACGATAGAGTCGATGGAAAGCGGGGTTTGCAGCGCCACCGTGCCGCTCCGACCGTTGCTTCCGTTCCACTAGCAGGCGGACCGACGCGCTCTCAAGCTCCTCGCGAGGACCTTTTTATATCCTAGCTACTACTATTGATTGTCCGCCTCACTCTGCCTTGGACACACAGAGCGATGATACCAACTTCATATTCTGTCTTACAGACTGCGTCAGGACGACTGCGATTATTATGGACCATGTGGAGTCAGGGCTATGCGACACGTCAAGGTATGAATTCAGGTCGGGATGTGAACAAGCACGAAGGGTCCAACTCTTCCTACCAGGTGCTCATGTAGCACATCAATGTGCGCGACCGACCGAGTCTCTGCAACAATTGAAACCCTATCTTCGGACGTCCGAGGTGGACCCATCGGTGCGCTAGGTCTTTGTCTCGCGAGAGTTATTCTCACTAACTGGGGATTACGCACCGCCTGTGATAGAAGCCCGATGACGGAAGATCTGGTCACACATATAGCTAGGAAGGAGTACCTGCCATAGGCTTCTAACGCATGCCGCTTCAACCTCTCCGTGACTTTCACCCGGGTCACCCCGGTTGCTATGTTGCAGGTGAGACTTGCTGCTGAATCACGAGCGATATGTGCATTCGAGTGTTACTCGGAATCACGAAGTCAGTACATGCAGGCACGGATGATGGTCGCCCTGATGAACTTTATATATTCATAGAGAATCCGTTCGTCGTGCGATGAAGTACTGGTCTGGCGCTGTCAAAGCGGTGCCTAAAATCCCTCTCAAATTGCAGAAGCGAACCTTGTTGGAAGTGTCTTTAGCTTCACCATCTGACTCCCGGAACCGAACGCGATGGGGCGCCAAACATAGACAACCATGTCCTCGATGCACATATTAAAGCCGATTAGAAGGCTTCAATGCCGTATCGTCGTCAACTATGCCGGACGTGTCATTGCCCGTGGTAGGACTCGCCTCCATCGTCGTCGAATCATCGCTTTATGGTGTGTAGTCCTTCAGTTTCTGTAACTTGTCTGATCATGTCAATGGGCAGGGCTCTTCTTGGCTACATTCCTTGCTTGTGAATACGTACTTCTCCACAAGCGGACGGGCAGATCTCGGGGGATCAACCTCAGATCCAATGCCAAGTTACCTGTCCTCGCGAGCTCGATCGTACTGTTCTTCCTCATAACAATGGTCCGTTCACAAGTCTTTATTTCATTGACTCCTCCACTTACTCAGCCCGCCAGCACTGGGCCATCGATATCTTCCGGCTGTTCAGGGCTTTCATTGGCTCTGGCGCGACGGTGAACGGGCCTCTGCTTTTCTACGCTAATCTCGGGGACAGAACCTACGTCGCCAAAACGGCGGTATTCGCCATCACGGGAGTGATTGCGGATGGCCTGATCGTGAGTTTGATATTGTTTGTGCGGGGAGTGTGGTTCACGACCACTCTAGATCTATCGTCTCTACATTATATGGAACAGGAATTTGTGGATATGCATTGCACCGATCCTGTCCTTGCTCCCAATGTTCGGTGCGCCCATTATCCGTCTCCTCTGGACTCGTGAACTCAGTATGAGAGTTTGGCAGGGTGTTCCGTCGGGGTCCTATATCATCTCTCCACCTTCAAGCTGGCTCCCGGCGGTAATATATTCATTGCTGCATCTGGCTTCAAAGTGGCCTTTTACTCGGTGTGGTCCACTACCCTTGTGTAAGCATATCTTCGCCTCCTCGATAAACCATTGGACATTAACCGGTATATGATCCAGAACAAACGTTCTTTGTACCGGTGCGCGCGAGCATCGTCGTAGGTATTTTGCCGTGATAATAACCCAGTCCTACTTCAGTCCTGATTTCTCTACGAATATGGTCGACAACTCGAAAGGTTCGAAGCATGGGAAGCAGCAACTTGACAGTGCGATGAACCGTATCCTGCAATCATGGGTCGATCCTCACGAGGACTTCTTAGCCCATGCTCAGCATTCTCATAGAAAGCGCCGCGCTATACACGTACGTGAAGCTCCTCTTCTTTCTTCAATTCTGTGGAACTTTCTGTTCAGATTTTCGATCGTCGCCATACTGGCGAGCTACGGCGCCAAATCCAACGGACATTTCGTCGCTACTGACACGGTTAGAGATGCCTTCCTTGACCATACATAGCTCCCTGCTGACGCAATGGAGTTGTAGACGCCAGCCATCATCGGCATCAGTTATTGCCTGATCATAATCCGCGTCGGACTTGGCAGAAGCTACGAACACAAGAACGACACCACGCTAATGGTCTCCTCATATCGCGGTCACTCCTCCAACTCACGGGCAACTGGCTTGAGGGGGACAGACCACGCTAACATAATGCCTATGGCACCAATCGCCATCAACATACCCTCCGAGGTTGATATCGACCACAGGGAAGGCTCGACGTCCGAGATTCGCAAAGTATCACCCAACTGAGGTATGCAAATCATAGGATAGATTGTACGAGGTATACAGTAGCAATTGAATACAACAGACACGGTTACATCGTGGACAATGCAAGGCAATGAGCGAGTGAGAATGACGGAAGGCGAATGTCGTTGCATAAGAGACGAGAGGCAGCAGCAAGAGTATTCCGAATTTTCATTGCTTGGCGAGCAAAGATCCGGGTTCGAACACGGCGGCAGAGGCAGCGGCGACGGTGGCGGAGAAGGGGGCGGACACGGTGACGAGCGGTTCCGCGGGGCGCTTGCGAGTGCCCGAACGAGCGAGACCGCCTTGATTGCCCGTGGTGCTTCCGCTACTGCTCGACTTGCTGAAGAGCACGTTGCGTTCTTGATACAGAACATACGACTGCAGATGGAAAGCATGAGTATATGCGCGGGAGCCTGGCAGGACGGTGTCAACTCACACGTGCGAGGAGAATCTTTTGCACCCATAGCGGGCCGTCCTTGTCAGAACACGAGAAGAAGTGGTTGTAGTCCGCGGTGTTCTCGAAGAAGGACAGGGGTTCTGTGGACTTGACGGCGAACACGAACGGCTTGGGCGATTTGTGTTGACGCGTCACGGCGTAGACGTCGAAGTTGGACAACGAGCAGAGGAACTGATCGTCCCTCGACTATTCACATGGCTGATTAAGAACCCGACGTGTCCTCGTGAGTGGAGGAAGGGACTCACGCTGTCTTTCTTCGACAACCATAGGCCGTGCTCGCGCAGATGAAGCCAGCGTTTGTTCCACTTGCCGCGCTTGCTTTCCCACTCGACGTAGCCGCCGTGCGTAGGCGAGCTTGTCGGTAGTGCCTGAACACATTGGTCAGCACAGTTATCAGGAGAAGTATTCGAGGCGATCACCCACCGATCGACTGAGGACGGACGCCAACGGAGTCTTCTTCACCAGCAGCAAGTTCGTACTCTTCTCCTTATTCCAGGAGCCGATGACGTCCATGAGCTGTTCGTACTCGCGCACGGGACGTTCTACGATACAAAGCCCACCATCAGTACTGAACATCAGGCGCATACATTGCGCGATACTCACCCATCCCGAAGTCCTGCGCGACTTCGAACACCAGCCATGACCCGCTGCCCACCCACCCGTCGAGCGCGCCCGTTTTCTGTATCGTCTCCAGCGCCTCGGCGGCGCTCGTGCTCGGGCCCAGCTCGACCGTATGGAACCGCTGCAGGTCGCCCACGAATATCTTCTGCTGCACCATCGGGCCCTGCCTTAGCACCGCCGGGGGCATATGCTCGACGGACGCGCGACCCGGCACCGGCGGCTGCTCGGAATGGCGCGACGGCGGCTGCGGCGGTAGCGGCGGAACAGGGGGACGATGGTGCCCGTCCGACGTCGACGGCCTGCGCGCGCGCTCGTCCGACGACCTCCCCGCGCGCGAACGCGAGCGCTGCAGCTGCGCCATCTGCGGGCTGCCCTCGGGCGGCGTCACGTTCTGCGAGCGCGAGGGCCGGTGGAAGGAGCGCATGGGCCGGAGCCCCGACGGCTCGCGCTGGCGTTCGCGCTCGACCGACGGCTGCCTCCGATGTCCAGGGTTCGGCGAGCTCGGGATCACGGGAGACGGCGGGACCGACGGCGGGTTCGGGCTGTGCTGCCGCAGGCCACGCATGGCGCGTGCCCACCCGCCCGATCTCGTAGGCGATCCCGGGCGCGACGTCGACGCGCGGGGTTGGAGTGAGGCACCGCGATGGGGTGTCTGTGGTACCGGTACGGGCATCGCTGGCACCGGCATCGGCGCCGGTTGGGCATACGGCCGGCTGGAACCACCTGTGAGCGTCTGCGCCCGCGTCCGTCTGGGTATATGCGGGGGTGACGACGAGGACGAGGACGACAGATCGCCGGGACCGTTGTTGAGCGATAGCGCGGCCATCCTCCGCGCCGCGTCCGCCGCGACGGCCTGCTGCACGACGCCTGCCATGGACGGGAGGTGCGGCGACGCCCCGGACGTCTGCCTCGGCGGCGATCCGGAAGTGCGCGGGTTCGCGCTCGGGCGCAGCGTCTCGTTCCGCTCGCGATGCATCGACGGCCCGTGGGCGAGGTACGCCTTCTGCGCCTGGCTCTCGGCGCGCTCGAGCAGCTTCTTGCGCTTGCGCTCCTCGCGCTCGGCGCGGACCTGGCGCCGGATCGTCTTCTGCGCCTTGAGCGCGGTCGGGATCTTCTGCGCGAGCGGCACGTCGTCGTCCGAGGTCGTGCTCCCTCCCTTCTTCCTCCCTCCCGCCTCGTCCTCCGAATCCGAGCCGGACTCGGATTCGCTCGTGTCCGAGTCGGTGTCGAGGAAGCTGCCAGACGCGCCCCGTCGGTCACCGCCGTCCCCGCCGCTTCCGCTTCCGCTCCCGCTTCCTCCTCCCATACCGCCGCCGCCTCCTCCCTGCCCGCGACTCGACCGGCCACCACCGTTTCCATTGCCGAACCCTCCGCTAGCAGCCCTCATCGCCTCTGCCCCACTCCCTCCGTACCCATGCTCCCACCCTCCCCCTCCGTACCCACCCCCAGATCCATAAGCGTGCGAGCGCACATCACCCTGCTTCACGCTCACCCGGACCTTATTCCACGCCTTGGTCAACCAGCCGCGCGGCATCGAGATCGAGCGTGCCCGAGGGACGTCGAGAGGAGGAGGAGGAGGAGGAGGAGGCGTGGTCGTGTCCGAGCCGAGAAGGAGGAGGCGCCCGTCCCCGTGCTCGTCCGGATTTACATTAGCATCGGCCTCGTGGGCCGGGGTATGAAGACCGTGGGCGAGTTCGTCATGTTGGGTATCGATTGCAGAAGACCGAACGGTATGCGATGGAGGCTGGGTATGGGAAGCCGGGTCCGCTTGGGTGGGAACGGGCGCGGGAGCCTGCAGCGAGGGAAATGGCAAGGGCTGCGGGGACGTGGAAGGCGGTGAGGTCGGGAAGGCCGATGGAAGCGATCGGTTCTTCATGTCCGGAAATGAATCGAGCGAAGGCGTGAGCGGCGCTTCGGGTGGGTCTGAGCAAGATGATGTCGATGTGGACGGAGACGTGTCCGCACACAGAGATGGGGGGTACGAAGGTGCGAGTGGAGCGTCGGGCGCCGGTGTGGAAGAGGGCGCTGAGGCCGGCTCATCGCGATCTGACATCCCGTCGTACGCGCCCTCGTTATCGTCATCGTTGTCGTGCTCCGTCTCCCCGCCCTCCTCTTCCTCCTCCTCTACGATCGATTCGATCTCGTAATCCGACACGGACACCGAGCTCGCGAACGACGACGTGGCCGAGTTCATGTCCCACGCGCGGTACGGTCCCATTGCAAGATCACGCTCTGGCGGCGGCGGCCGTTGATCCTTGTCCTGGTCTTTATCCAAGTGCGCGTGCAGCTGTGCCGAGTCGAAGCCGGAATACGCATATACGCCGTCGAACGTCGAATCCGTCGGGCTCCTGATCCGTACTTCATCGCCTCTGTGTACGTTCCTGGCCCAGGGTTCCAAGGGCAGTTTCGCGCCGACATGTCCTTTGGGCATCTATGCATATACGCGCGTATATTCAGTTTGTTTCTTTCTTTCTTTCACGATGAGGAGAAGAAAAAAGAACGTACCCGTGGGACGACGGTGAGCTGCATCTCGGCGAGCGTCTTGAGCGAGGGTAACGACGGCCGTTTCTGGACTGCCGGTCTGGCCGAAGCGGGGAGCGTCTGCGTGTGCGGGAGGTCTGCGACTCCGAGGCCGTTCGAGGTGCGCGGGCGGCGGTGTAGGCGCGGGCGGATCGGTCGGTTGGGTTGGACTGGTGATAGTGCTGGGCTTGAGTGTGATGTAGAGGTCGACGCTGTCGAGGATGCAGCTAGTGGTGAAGTCGCCGTAGACGACGAGGATAGGGGTGAAGAGGAAGGCGATGATGACGATAATGAGGAGGAGGAGGAGGGTGTCGTAGATAAAGATGGGGTCGACGCTGCGATACGCGAGGGCGGTGTGACACTGACGGTCGCGCGGGCGCTTGTAGGGCACGACGTGAGAACCACGTGCTGTTTGCGCGACGCGCCGTCAAGATCGTGATCGTGATCCAACCCCGCGTCACGGTCGTCCAAACTCAAACCTGAGCTCGAAGCTGCCGAGCCCGGCGCGAAACCCGGAGGGAGAGGCGAGTCGAGTTTCGCGAACGGGTCGTCGTCGAGCAGGTCCGCGAGCGGGGGCGAGGGCGCCGAGACGCTATTCTTCGCGAACGCGGGAGCTGAGCGTGGTGCGGGTTCGACCCGAGATGACGATAACGACGACGATGCTGCTGTTATATGGGCGCTGCGGTCGAAGGCCTGCTGTGGGGAAGAGACGCGTCGTGCCGACCCCAGTTTTGGCGACGGCGAGGGCGCGGATGCGGAAGAAGACGAGGAGGGGCGCTTGCCGAGCGTGGCAAGCGACGGCTTGGGGATCGCGCCGCCTCCTCCGGGCGCGAAGAAGGCGGTGAGTGAGGGCCGCTTCTTTGGTCTTTTGAATGGCATGGAGGGCGATGGCGACGGGGGAGGAGAAGCGAGGGACATCTTGTCTTGCGTTCGTGTTGTATGTTATACGTAATGAGAGACTTGCAGGTACGTCGTTTGTTGAACGAGCGGTTCGGTCTTGGATTGATCGGGTCTATAACGCGTCTATGTTTGAGCGTATGGCCGTGAGCTAGATAAACAGAACGCGGCTTCGATCAGTCAGTCAGTTGACTCGGGCTATGAGACACGGCGACGGGTGATGATGAAAGCGGGAGGCATGGGAAGAAGAGATGCGAGTGAACTGGGTATTAAGAAACAGCCATACAGGCGGTACGAGCGGGACAGGGTGGGGAAGGCGCGCCATGACGCGTCCGCGCTCAAGAAAAAGGCTCGACGGCTGGGCGCTGCGATGGGCGCGCAGCGCGCATGTAATTCCGGTTGCTCTGACGGGCACTCACAGGTGGTTCACCAGGTCGCAACGGTCGAGAACTGTATCACGCGAAGCCTCGCTGAGCGCTGTTCCCGCTTTGGACGCAGGGGCGCTTTCTATACGGGATCTTGCGGGCGAAGCGCCGGGCAGATTTTTGTGCGGACGCGTCGCGAGCCGCGAATTCAAACGAAGGGAGGGAAAGCGAACGTAGGAGCCCAAGGGAAAGAGAGAGAAAGAGAGTGTCGTTTACGGGCGCGAGGGCGATACCCTCTCTGCTGATATATTTCTCGTGACAGATTTTGTCCGCACGCAACAGCTCGCGGGTGGTAGCGAGCAGATGGGCGCGCGGAAGTCCGAACGGGCGACCCCAGCGTGCGGGAACCTTGGCGTAGCATTCGGTCTCCCGGTCTGGACCTGCCCGATTGAGGAAGAGGGGCGCCGCAGTCGCCACTCTCGTATGCAATCCTTGCTCCGGGCGCTGATATCGATATAAATAAATATCCTTGGTGCCTGGCATCCTATATATCGTCCCTTCTGCTCGCTGAAAGCAAGGATGAGGACGAGAGTGAATCGGGAAGATGCGCGGGCTACAGCCTGCAGTCGCGACCGGGGAATGTGACAACCACAGGCAACTTCCGTCGGCTGTCGGCAGAAACGTGTCGTGTGAGGTCGTGAGGCAACCGTGACGGGGGGATCGACCGCGTCGTGACGTTTCGTGCCTGAAAGCGCGGACACACCCTCATTTTGGTCTTCGTCATACAGTAAATCCGTTGATCTTCCCCATCGATCTGGATCTTCGTTTTTTTTCGTTTTTTTTTTCTTGGAATCGGCGCGACGAATACTACATCTCGAACTGCCGCTAACGGAGAGGAGGTCCAGCTCGTGCACACCGGCGGATACAGTACAGCTGCATGTACCGACGGCACGCGCGGGACCAACCACCGCACGCGGGTTTTGCTCGGTCGGACCGTATTGGCCATCGCGCGCCGGACGTACACGTTATACGTCGCGCTCTCCCTTGTTTCTCTGATCACGCAACGCCGGTCGACCTCAGTCGACGTGATGTAAAGCTGATATGAGCCTTCAAAACACGGGTTCAGCAGTCCGCTGGCGACAGGACCGAGGCTACAAAAAAAAACACATCGTGGCGATAGCCGGTACTGCAATATCAGAAATCCAGGTGACACGACGTTCATCGTACGCACACGGCGTTCAGCGGGCTACTACTTATCGCACGGCGAGCGTCCGCACGCTGCCCACTTGTGCCATCAATTGCTAGCCAATTGGGGGGAAAATTCGACCCACGCCCAGCTTAGAATGATGCATGATGCACGCATCGCTCGGAACGCCGCTAAAAGAAGTCGTCCGAAACGGCTCCTTCCTCGCTCTGGGTTCATGCGAACGTGACTGTAAATTCGTTGACCTCCTGTGCTAGAGTGCACGTACGAGATACCTTCCCTTGCATATACTTACTACTGTGGCCTCTATCTCCATGTCAGGTCATATTTCATAACGACCTGACGGTGGCGCTACACGTACAAGCTGAGCGCATGGATCGTCGCAACTTGTTGGTCGAGAACGGTAAGTTAATCCGAGACCCAATCAACATCTGTTTACCGGCGTCGGACGCACGATCGGAGGGATCCAACAAAGATGGGCCCACAGGAGATCTGGGACCACATCATCGCAAGCGTTGACGAAGACACCTCTGGCACGGTCCTGCTCACTGAGTCACTGACCTGTCGAAATGTGCTTAGGGCCACTAGGGCTTGAATGTTCTCGGAACCCATCCCGAGTCGTATCTCCTCACGGAGAAAACACATGCGGAGCGCCTCCGCAGTCTCCAGGCAGACAGCCTTTCATCTGCGCAAGTACATCAAGGTGCTATGAATCACTGCCGCGCCCCTCCCTCGTAATGTCCAAGTGATCACCGCGGATAGTTCTCCGGTTTGGCGGCCGAACTCGTCCCTGGCTGGCGCGACGTCACGAAATGGGCACACCGGTACCTCCATCGGCTTTCCCTACTAGGCCCTACCAGCCCACCAACACACGTGGACAGCTACACACCGCGCGGATTCGTAGATTTCTCCCTTCCGCGTACCGTCCGGAACCTCAGCCTGAGCGCGACATCGACATTTCGACATCAACGAAAGAGCTGAATCTTGCTGCGATGCGCCGTCTCCAACGCCGGGCTCCGTCTGACGGATGTGCAGATCGACGAAACGGAGGTGGGTGGTCTCGAAGCGTTGTTTTTCGATGCTCGCGGTGAGAAGAGATGCCGTTTCTCGCGCTTTGAAAACCTGTCGTTGGCTTCTTGCCGCCCTGGGCATCGACGATCAACCCGCTTCTACGGCAAAACGACAAACCGCTCTCACTCAAAATCAGCGAGTATCAGAACGTTGTGTCTTGTAGAATCGCGCCGTTCCAGAACGTCGTGCAACATGGAGTGTGTACCTGACTCGGCCTCTACGATTCCTAGCTTAAACCCGCTTACACGTACATCGAAGATGATATTGAGGAAACGACGTCAACTGTAGGCTGCCCAACGACCACGCAGCCTGAGAAACGCGAAGATCGCAGGTCACTGTAACTACTTACTAATGTTATGATCAATACATACGAAGGTCGCATCTGAATGCAAGACACAGCGATAACAGGTACACTAAATCCGAGACAATGTCAGCTACAGGGCATGTGGGTGACTCATACAAGACAAACGCGGAAGTACATACATTTGGGACCGGCATAAATAGAACGAACGAACATATGACTGGCAAATTCGCCCACAAATCCAACGTCAGGCAGGTCCACCATAATTTCTACTGTTATCGTTCCCGATAGCAAATCGCCTTCATATAGTCGGATTTCCCGAGGTCTGATGCGCAACCTTATCCCCGAATCAACCTATAATGCTGCTCGCTGTGATGGCTTTTGAACTATGGTCCAGACAACCAGTCACGCTGGCAGGCATACCTCTGGATACGTCCGGCGAATTTCCGGTGAACAGCTTCACCGCGACGCCTTGCTCTTTGATCGCTCCGAAGTGTCTGTCAATCGAACGGCTTGCGTTGGGCCGTGGACCCGGAAGAATGAAGCTAGTCTTGGGGTCCGGAAACTGAATGCGCAACTCCGTGAGTCGTCGGAAAGGCGGCTTGGCCAAGGCTGCCCCGATTTCGCCGAAGATCTCGTCGATCAGTCCATCGTTGATCAACATCCGATTCATCAGGCGTAGGACAATCACGAACGGGTTTAAGGTGAGAGAATTGATTGTGGCGACTGAACTTGAGAGATTTCGGAGAAGGTCCGGGGTGTAATTTATCGGCAAAGATAGCTCCACGGTAAGGTCGTGCAGGGCGTGCAGTCCTGAGAAGTCGAGGAAACCTATACAGCCAATGAGCCAGATGTCTATGATCGCAGAGTAAAGGTTCACGAAGCTCACTTGTATGTCTTGAGATATTCTGGAAGCGACCGAACCAGAGACTGTGGATGTTATTGCGTTGCATGAGAGCGTTCGTCGCGGTTATCCAGGCTTGGGTAGGAACTACATCCAACGATAACTTTTCGAGCGCGAGGATCACATCGCCGGTGAAAGTTAGGCTCATGAAATGCTCCAGAGTGTCGAGCCCGTCGCCTTCTTCGATCCGCAATTCTGTCAAGCGAAGGCCAACAGGGGGACCAGATGACCGGGCGAGGGGCTCGGTTGCCCCATCATCGAGCCATGATATGCTGTGTAAGCCGATGCAAGAGATTGGAGGAAGAGGCCTGAGAAGTCCAATGAATTCGAGCGCGGTGAGCGAATCATCATGGATGTGCAGGTTGCGAAGGCGGGGAAACGCTGTTAAAGCCGCCCATCGGTCGACACCACCGATGTGTACGCGATCCAAGCTGCCAAGACCCCATAGCCCCGATCTACCGCTCAGACGAAGGTCTCTCACATTCGGAAGGCCCAGCTCTGCGAGCTGACCAAGGTGCGAGAGCTTGACGGAGAGAATAGTGATGTGAGCTCGCAGATGAGGAGACGCGGTCAGGACTGCGCAGAGGCGATCCATCCGGGATGTACTCGACATATCACCCTCCCGTACAGGCTCCGAAAATAGCCATGATTGACTGGCCCTGACCCATCTGCTACAGGTTAACGAACAAGTCTTGAGTGCGGATTCGTCGTCCACGAGTTCGATGACATGCTCCCAGATCTCCTGCGGGATTTTGAACGAGTATTGAGTGTGGTCCATTGTTTCTATGAGTGATCGATCAACACATGTTCAGATAGAGCATAGAGCGTTTCTGAACTGTCGTGGACAATGGCACTGACAGAGCGCAGGGGCCTGCAGGGGCGGGCAAGTGCGTGGTCGCTCATGTGACCGAGACGCGATGGTTGGTTTGTCGGAGTTTGGAGTTGCAGCGCGCGTTCTTCGCCCAGTCCATCCTGGCAAGGCAGCAGTCAGCGACACATATACCACACAGTGAGTACGGAATGATCTCCGGTATAGAACATGCATAACGGGATCACTCTGTAGCGTAAGGTAAACAACATGGCAAGCGTACAATCCCTCACCCGCCAATTCTCGGCCCTGGACATTCAGAAGCAATCGGCCAAGCCCGCACTCACAAAACAAACCTCTCAAGCCAACGTAGCCAAACTCCTCACGAAATACGCCGCGCCTAATGGAGCCGGACATGCATCTACCTCCGCGAAACCTGCCCCCTTGGGTCATGCCCGGACGAACTCTATGACGACGAAGACGCAGCCGGCGCCTTCGGCGTTGAAGAAATACGCATCGACGACCTCGGTTGTCTCAAGACCTCCTTCTCCGACGAAAAAGGGAGATGGGATAGATATCGGAACGTATGACGGGGCGTTAGAAAGGGACGTGGGCGACTTGGTGTATGGAGAGGCAGCGGAGGACTTAGCCCTGGATTCGAGCGCCGACAAGTCAGTATGCACGAGCCATAGGGCAAGAGATAACGCTGACACTGCACGACAGAACGAGACCAACGCGAGAATGGCATCTCACCGATTTCGAGATTGGACGACCGCTTGGCAAAGGCAAATTCGGCCGTGTCTACATGGTCCGCACGAAAACGGAGCCACGCTTCATCATCGCCCTCAAAACGCTTTACAAGTCAGAACTCGTCCAGTCCAAGGTCGAGAAGCAGCTCCGTCGCGAGATCGAAATCCAGCAGCACCTCCGCCACCCGAACGTTCTCCGCCTTTACGGATACTTCCACGACGAGAAACGCATCTTCCTCATGCTCGAATTCGCGGGCAAGGGCGAACTATACCGCCAACTGAGCAAGCACGGAAGCTTTTCTGAGAAGCGCAGCGCACGGTACATCGACCAAATGGCGGACGCGCTCGGCTACCTGCACTCAAAGCACGTCATCCACCGCGACATTAAACCGGAGAACCTGCTGTTGGGTATCAACGGCGAGCTGAAGATTGCCGACTTTGGATGGAGCGTGCACGCACCCGGCAACAGGAGGACGACGCTGTGCGGCACGCTCGACTACCTTCCGCCGGAGATGGTGGAAGGGAAGGAACACAACGAGAAGGTCGATCATTGGGCGCTCGGAGTTCTCACCTACGAATTTATCTGCGGCAGTCCACCTTTTGAAGATCTCAGCGGATACAATGGTACGTGCTAGTTGGGCTGTTTTTACAAAACTCGTCGCTCACTGGGGATACACAGCGACCTACAAACGTATTGCGCGAGTGGACCTGAAGATCCCACCCAAGGTTTCCGCGGAGGCAGCCGACTTGATCCGCAAGGTATTTTCGCTTTTCTCCATTGCTGTTGTAGGGCGCTGACTGAGTCCGTCGCTCGTAGCTCCTGAGGTATAACCCGGCGGAGCGTCTTCCCCTCGCGGACGTTAGGCGTCACCCATGGGTCGTCAAATACCGCTCTAAGGATGGTTCCAATGCGGCGCAATCCTAACCCTGCCTCTGAATTGTTCCTCGTCACCTCGGACATATACGCACGCCGCATGCACCCTCATCAGTGGTTTCGGTAATTCATTTGTAGATTATGATATTATGAGCATGCGTATCTATGGCCCACCTTCTAGAGGTACGCTTCGGAAGATCCGGCCCTCATGCCCAAACGAAAAATGAGCAGCGTGTCAGCGTATGCTGAAAACCATTAGGTGGTTATACGTCCTTCGAGTCGGGATCGAACCAACGGCCTTGGGATGACAAAGTTAACCATTACAGTCCCACGCTCTTCCAGCTGAGCTATCGAAGGTCTGCTTGTGGGAGCGGCCTTGGTACGTCACAACGCTGTCTGTGGCGCTGTGGCTTTCCTCGGTACGTCACAACGCTGTCTGCGGCTTTCCAATCTTGAACCCTTGCATCACCGCCTAGCTCCTCCAGTCTTGTTGAGCATAGCGCTATCATGACGGTAGAAAAGTCCGCTTCAGATCTGAAGAGTGGTTATACCATCCTTCGTATCAAACGCAAGCGCAACGAAGAACCCTTGGATGCCCTTGGTGCGTCCAATCTTTGGTCGTCAAAAGAAGGCTGAGACTCATGCCTCGTGTCATGCAGTGATCGAATCCACTACCAGGAGGAAGAAGACGAAGCCGGGGCTCTTCCAATTTGCTGAGACTGTTGAGCAGAAAGCATGGGAGAACGAAGGAGAGCGGCAGAGCTTGCAGGTGAGGTTCCCCCGTTCTAGTTCATGCATTTCTGGTTGGAACCGTGTGTATGCTTCTTGTTGGCTCATATTTTTCTTGTATTTTGTAGGACCGTATATCCGCGTTAGCCAGCACTGCTAGCTCGAAACAGCCGTTGCCGGCACCAGCTACGGTCCCTGCAACCCCTATCTCCGCTTCACCGTCTAAAGACGGGGCGGCGCGGAGGTACCAGATTGTCAAGAACGACTCAGAACCTATGGTACCTCGGGAGGATTCGACGAAAATACGTCAAAAGCCCCTCAAAGAACCGTGCGTCGTGACCTTTGTCCGTGCCTTCGTCGCGGCTGAGATATATGCGCAGGCCGAAGGTGTTGTCGTCTCGAGAGCTGCAGGAACAGAAAGCGAGGGCCAAGTTCACGATGTACGACGCGGTCTTATCCGCGCCCGAGTCCTCCGAGGTCGATTCGGAGATGGAGAAGTTCATGCCGATGCTGCAGGACTATCTGAAGAGTACGCTACACCCAGTGCATGCGTCGAACTCAGTGCTCATTGTATGCATTATTTTCAGTTAACGATATCTCCCTCCCAGCGCCTGCTGAGACCGCAAAACCCTCACCGTCGGCTCTCCCCTCCAACGCACGACACGCGAACGCGGCGGACAAGGATGACGCAGAATCAGATTACGTCTACGACGTCTTCTATCGCCGGCCGATGCCCGACGCGTACGACACTAAGACGTGGGAACACCTAGCGGCGATAGGAACGTTGTCGGGCCTGCCACCTTCCATGAACGATTCGGACGAATCCGACTCGGAAAGCGAGGAGGAGGATGAAGCCGATGAGGACTCTAATGGTGCGCTAGTATGCCCCGATGCGGCTAGCGATGGATGCTGATGATCTTGCTGCGTACAGATGAGAATTACTACAAAAACGAGTATCCAGATACCGAAGAGTCGGACTCTATGTCAGGCTCTGACGATAGCGGTGAGAGGCCTTGTCTCCGCCCAAGTATCTCCAGAACGAGATGCTAACGGACAATCCTAGATATGTTCCATGACGGACCTAACGATGACGACCATGATTGACCGTGAAAACTTATATCATCTCTTGCATGCATGAAAACCCGATCTTTTGAAGCAATTGTACAATATCACAGCATACACACAAAGCCTAGAGACGCATGAAGTTACATTCTGTTTATGATCCGTGAACTTGTATACAGCCATTTCGTGTCAGAAAGACTGTCCGCGAGAGCCAAACTGGTCGCTGTACCAGGCCTGGCCCGAACTTGGGTGCCCCGAGTTAGTAAAGACGCCCGATGAAACGATGGGCACACAACGAGAGACTCACTCCGATCCAGGGAGACTCGCCGCCCAGCTCGCAAACGTTTCGTCCTGCCCTTGCCCCTCATTCCCCTGCGCGACAGCCTCCATCAGAAAATCGAACGATTGTGACTGTATCCCAACGGCTTCGCCGGGAAAACTTGGTAGCCCGAGCTCGGACATGGCGGAGCCGTATGCCTGCACGGACGATGCGCTCTGATGGGGTTGGGGGTGGTCGTACCCCTGCTGCACCGCGCCGGGCAGGTTGTGCGGCGCGTGGTAGGCGCCGACCAGGTCTGCACCGACGAGATTCTGCTGAGCCAGGAAGTCGTCGAACGCCGTCCACACGTCAGAGCCGAGCGTCGGCGCGTAGAGCTGGGGCGCTTGGTCTTGCTGACCCTGCCCTTGTTCGTGCTGCTGCTGCAGCGTGAAGTGCACGTCGTAATCGGGAACGCCGAAGGACGACCTATCTTGTGTGGGCGGGAAGGATGCTGTCACCTTTGGCGGGGGAGGGGACATGGAGTCCACTATGGGCTGAACTTGGTTGCCTTGACCGGAGGACTCAGGAGCCATAACCGCCATGTCGAGGACGTTGGTGGTACCCAGCCCTGCACTCAAACTAGTACCGCTCATCTTGATCGATTTCCCCTTCTTCTCTGCCACGCGGCGGACGACGGTGATCATCTCGCCCAAGAGGTCGCTACATCCCGTGAAATTAGTGCTCGCAGGACAAATCGATCAAAGACAAGTCTTACAATAAACGGCCTGCGAGGTTCCATCTGCCCATTGATGCAGACACGTCAGACGACGCTTTCATCGGGCGCCAAGAAATAACCATTGAACGACATACCTGCGCTCGCCAGATCTGATGAAACCGAGGAAGACGAGCACATCCCGCATATCCTCCTGCGATGGCGGCTCCGCACCCGGTCCACCGTCTCCCCACCGCGAAAGCAGGAGAATACTGGCCGCGGCGAACGCCGCGATCTTGCAAGACGCAAGGATGAGCGATCTAGCAAGAGATGCGTAGCAGGTCTAGCGGACATACGATATGCAAACTCATCGGCGGGTAATCGCGCATGACCACTTCGAGAATACGCGCGAGGCAGCGGGCAGAGGAGCAGCAGATCGCAAGCGAAGAGATACCGAGTGGGGTCGCACGCCGGGCGGAGATGATGAACGGCCGGTGGATGATGATTCGCGTGTAGTGGTACATGCACCAAAGTGAGGCCGCCTGCCGGAGGAACACCGCATTCGGTTGGGACGGGTTCCAGCGCACTGCATATAAGCATGCCATTCGATGAGCGTTCTGCTATGGCAAAGAAGGGACCGACAATCGACACGCACGATGTTCGGGTATCTTCTCCTTCCACTTCTCGAGCGCCAGATCCAGCCTAGCTGTGATGCGCTCTTCCCACTCGTAGCTCTTCGGTCGGGAGACAGCGAACTATAACTCGTCAGCGTTCAATTATTCCCGGGTTCGAGACAGCCAGGGGTTCATAAACTACTGACGAGGGTGCGGGTAGCGAAGGCCTGAATGGAGCGGATTTTGATATTCCAGATGAGGTGGGACGCCATCGAGGGTTTTCCAGGCGGTTGCTGGAAGTACTTTCCGTCCGGAGTACGCCAATACTCGTCATCGCACTCGTGAGGCAGGGGCGCATCGATGCTGTGGTTACGGGGCATCTTGTTAGGGTTGCGTCGTCGAAAAAACCGCTCTTATGGGAGTGCTCACTCATCATCAAGCATTGCGAGGCTCCGCCCCAGCTCGCTGCAGGTTGTTCGGTCGAGGTTAACCAGTATCCTGCGTCGCGTTATGAGATGAGACGACATGGCGTTTATCCCACACCACGCACGAGGCTTACCAGAAGACGCGTTTCCACTGCTCCTCCACGATCTGGCCCTCGCCCACGCCTCGATACACCCTCCCCCGGTGGGCGCTCACGTCTTGACAAAGGCGCAGGCCGAGGCCGATCATGTTCCAGCCCACATGAGGAGCCGTGCTCCCCAGGAGGAACTGTGACGCCAACTAGGACGTGTTCGTGTCAATGGATGCACATGACACCGGGAAGGGATCACGTACACAGTACTGCTGGACGTCGTACAGCCGCGGCGGCGCTAGCGGCGACTTCCGGATCATCTGCGCCTGGTTGTACCACTGCCAGCCGGCGGACTGGGACGCGGACCGGTCGAGGAGTATGCGTGGATCGTCCGTGTAGCGCGCGCCGAGGGCACACACGAGCAGCAGTACGGCGCCGAACCCGTTGTCGCGCAGGTGAAGGCCGTCCCGGAGGGCGGACTCGAACGTCGGGCGGTGGAGGATGGGGGAGTAGATGTTGAGGTGATCGAAGTAGAGCGCAACGAGGAGCGGGATGAGGTCCGCGTCGGGGAAGACGAAGCGTTGTTGGGAGACGGCGGTTTCGTAGATCGTCAGCTGCGCAATCTCCCACTGTGTTGTTCAAGAGAAACGTGAGCAAGAGTGTAAGGAGAGTGCATGTGCGTATATATGCGCTCTCACAGGCCGGATCTGCCAAAACTCCTGTCGACGGGCACGCATTGCTTGCTGGAACACGTCCCGATAGGGGCGCATGGCGGCCTTCACGAGCCGGGCAACGTCCGTGTTGTCGTTCACGACCTGGCGCGGCATGAGCGGGTCGAGCTCGAGCTTGGCGAGGAACTCGGAGAGCGAGACGACGGTATGCGCGTCCGCGTCAGTGACCGCCTGCTGGTCGGCCGAGTGAGCGGCGGCAGTCCAGCGCGCGTCGGGATCGTCTTCGCCATCATCGTCGTGGAGGAGGCCAGGACCGTCGCGCTCGGCGACAGCGGTATTCTCGAAGGATCCCGGGATGTTGCGACTGAGAAGATAGGGAGGTTGGTCGGGCGAGGAGGACTGGCGTTGAGCGCAAGTTTCGAGGAGGATTAACGAGCATCAGTCGTTTCGGAGATGGACGTGAAACGAAACACGCACCTTGGAACGGGATAGATCAGAGGGTGTATCGGCCTTGGGCCTCTTGGGAGGGCCGCGTTTCTGCGGAGGCGATGTACGTGTATTCAAGCAGCCGCATATATCACATATGGTATACGCTCACCTTGCTTTCCGAAGAGAACACGCATTCGAGACCAAAGGAGATACATGTACTGCACTTGAGGCGTTCCGGTGTAACCCCGTCGCCTAGTGTAGAGCAGAGGATGAGTCCGACGCTAGCTCGATGTCACAGGGATGAACGGCAAAACGGACACTTGACTGTCAGAAACAAAACGACGTTCGTCAGCTCTCTCTCTCTCTTTCGCGCGATCTACCCTCGGCATGTCGCAAACACGCACCTTTCCGGCGTTTACAAAAGTCGCAAGCTTTGGCGATGCGCGTCCTCTTTCGGGCAATGTGTGCGACCGCGGAAGGTTGGACGACCTCTTCGTCGTGTGAGTCGCTCTCCAGGCTGACTCTGACAACCGACGACATTTCTTGCGATATTCGTTCACCAGGTAAAGCGCTCAAGACTCAAAGGAATGGTGGCAGGCCCACGCCTCGGCTCAGGCAAGGAGTATTACTACAAAAGCCAACGAGAAGTGGGTCTCCCTCTTCTTATAAGCTGCCCCTAACAAGTTTTGCGTCTGTATCTCTCCGCTAAACCTTCTCAATCCGTCTCGAGCCGTGTGTGGAGTTTCGCGCGCTGTGCTTCCTTGTTTTTGTATAGCTTCCAGTTCGTGTCCTGGGGACGGGCGCAGCGGGAAGCGGGGTCCAGCAACTCTATCCCTGCTCGCATGGCACTGAGAAGATCGCAGGGTGATCGCCACGCTCGTCGGGGCGCGAACGGGAACAGTGGCTATGTGCTGAAAGTGGGGGTCAAGAATAGATCAAGGTCGCTGCCGGGAGTTATTATCACATAGTGTATTCGCAAGGTGCTACAGTACTCCGCAGTGGGCAAAGATGTCCGCGGGGAGCCCCGCCAAACATGCTATGCATAGTAAAGGTCCCACTCCTCTTGCCCGTACGTGCTGCAAATCACTATATTGTACGCGTCATGGACGCCAGTGACCGCCAAGGTTAATGCTAGGATGGCGGAGGACTGACCTTGTTTCCTCGCAGTTTGAAACTTCTATGCATCATCGTTGAGAGCACCTCAGACACGCCTTCGTGTAATGATGGCTGGAAATAAATCGGAACCAGCATCCATTCCGGAGATTCTTGTGTACTATTTGCCCTTAAACGGCATAACGATCAGCTCGCGGCAAGCGGGTTACATCCTACAACCCCCTGAACCCCATGCACGTCGGATACTATTGTGCTCCAGTCCATAATTGTGCTTAAAGAAATGTATACGGTCACGATGAAACATGCATAAAAACGCTATTAACAACATTGCCGCTTCGCATCCACGCATTGTTATCAGCTACCAGCCTCCAGTCCACCCCCTCAGTACGCGCGGCTGCATTCAACAGCACATTTTCTGCTCGCAAAAATGGCGAAGATTCCTGAAACCAGTTCGCAGTTCTCATCCTTTCATCTGAAGTGCGGCTGATTGTGTGCTGAGCGCGTGGTAAGAAGATCCACCCCTCCACCAAAGCAGAACTTCGGTATCGTAGTCATTTTATTGTTCAGGCTGTGAAATCAGTTTCAGGGGGGTATCGGAAAAAATGCGCTGGCTGTGGCATTCGTTGAGCGTGGCGGGACGGCTGGCGTACGTTCAGGTTTGACCAATCGGATCACCGTGCAAAACACGCGCAAGAATGCAGCAACCAGGCGCCATGGCGAAGATATGTAGTAGTACTATGGACAACCGAATTGGGCCACGATCGCTTGACGCTTATGTTGTTTCTGTTGTCTCACGCTTGTTGGCATGAAGTGCTCATTATCCTTCCCCGTCTTAATATGTCTAGAGCAGGACCATAAGAACGGCACGTACCCTTGGAAACATGGTAGCTGGCAATTCTCAAAGCTTCCATTCCAGTGCCCTTGAGGGGCGCTACGGAACGGCATTAACCAAATACTTCACACAGTGATCTACACCTTCGGCCACAGCCTTGCTTCCGATATTACTCGCGGCAACATATACCCAATCGAGATCTGAGCATTCCCGCAACTCTCCAGCAATCTGTGTTACACACCCCGCAAACCCGATTTAGGTCGCAGAATAATATCACGGTGTCTTGTTTATTTCCGGATTTTTCATCCTCAAGGTTTCATTCCCGATTGATGCGGAATTCTTGCAGACGGCGCCTTTGACGTTCCTGGAAGCAAGGCATTGGAGCTGGCGAACAGTAGTAGTGACTTCCCCGTGAACGTTGCCTGAGCAAAACAAACGCAGCGACGTCAGAAAACAAACACAGCTTACAATCATAAGACTCCGGCTAACATTTCTCCGCGGCCGCTGACTAGTAAACCGTTGATTTAGCGCGACATTGGCTGGTGTACCCATGATCCTGTCAACATATAAAGTCATGGTCTAATGCCAATCGTTTCTGAATCTAAACTATAATATATAGTTCCAACTGCCATAACCACGTTCAGCCCGGAGTTACAGTTATAGAAATACATGTAGCACATTTATCCAGCACGCAGAACGGAGATAGTCTCCTCTATTACCCATACGGATCAAGAGGCCCAGCCCCATATACGAACAAAGTCAAATCGCCAATGTCACAACGCATCCGAGAAGCCAGCGGCCCATCCGAGGATGGTCTCGTCCGTCACCATCGCTGACGACGAGGCCGCTCCCATAGCCATGCCCAGCTCCTCCTGCGCCGCGGCGCTCAACCCCGCGTCGTGCTGCCCACCAAACGCAAACGAGAACGCGTTCGCGTAGCCGGGCAGCGTGTTCTCGCTGTACATCGCGCCGAGGATGTTCTGGTCCGCGAGGAAGCTCCCGAGCGGCGTCCAGGGGTCCGCGCTCTGCTGGGATGCTGATGACGACGGGTCTAATGGGGTCGATGACGCCGAGATGGGGGCGGCGAGCGCTCCGGCTGCGGCGGGGTGGTCCCCAAAGGCAGATAGCTCCCGATGTGCCCACACCGGCAGGGGCGCGTGCCCGCCGAAGTCGATCTGGGGGCCGATTGCCGTATTCCGAGGGGAAGGAAGCGCGGCATCAGTCGTTAGAAAACTGGTGGTCGCGCAATTCGTGGCAGTGTCCGAGGACGGCGCATCAGCCAGATGCATGCTCGTATTGTGCGCAGCGGTCGCCGCCCTCGAGGGGGTGATGTCGGCCGTCTGTGCCAGGAAGCTGCTGCTGCTATTTCCGGCTGCAGCGCCCGTGGAGCCATCGGCTGTGCCGTCGGGGGTATGGCTGTGCGATGGCGTGGAAGGCAGCGCCTGTACGACTGTGACTAGTTCGTAGAGTATGTCCCTATCAGCCCGCGTCATCACAGCATTGTCAGCCATAATGAGGTCATCGGATGCAAAGTCAATGGGAATACATACCATAATCGGCCGGCGAGGTACCATCTGTATTTGCCATCACGCAAGTTAGAATTCGTAGGCGTGGTCGACATATGAATGAGGAAAGAACTAACCGTGGCTCGGAGGTCTTGATGACGTTCATGCAGGTGTACACGTGCTTCAGGTCTTGCTCGCTCGGAGATTCAAGTGTGCCATCGCCCTCACGGTCCTGGGTCCACTTCATGAGGAGGAGCACGCTCGCTGCCGTGAACGCCGAAAACTGTCATTCCGAATCGACATTGAGCTCGTCAACGTCCATTTAGCGGAAGGATAGGTGTTCACCATGTGCAGCCCAAAAGGCCCGCTATCCCGTTTGAGCAGGTCCCGGAACATCCGCGCGATCTCCCTGGCTGAATTGTAGCACACCTCCACGGACGCCATACCAAGTGGCGTATTGCGGCGAAGGCCGACGGCGAACGGGCGGTGAATGATGATCCGGGCGTAATGGTAGACGGTCCACGACGCGGTGCATTGGCGGAAAAAGATCGGATGGTCATCAGCGGCGGCGAGCGCGGTCTCCCATCTCACTGAGCAACGAACGCGAGGATCATCAGAACGAAGCGGGGAGACAAAGAGGAACGAGCGCACGGTGAGACGGAACAGCATCACGCCAGCGATCGAGATCAGCGTTCAGCTCAGCGACAACCTTTACCTCGTAATCGTAGCTTTTTTCGCGCAAGGTGGAGAACTGGATGGTAACAACGTTACCCATTATCAGCTTGTGCGATACCATGGACAACATGTTATAGAATGCACCCACCAGCGAACGCTGAGCCTTGAGCTGGATGGAACGTAGCGAAATCATAATGTTGACATAAGCGACGAGTGACGGCTTCTCCGGCGGCTGCACGAAGTAGCGCGTTCGGTCCGGCGAGACGAAGTACTCGTCGTCACACTCGCACGGGAGCGGGGCATCGATACTTGCATATCAGATCAGCTAATACAGCACAACACCGGACACAGGGACATCGACGCTCACTCACTCCTCATCCAGGACTGCGACGACGCGGCCCATCTCGTTCGACGCGATACGATCCATGTTCACCAGGCCCCTGCGAACACATGATCCGCATTAGCGTGTGCGAGAAGGAGAGGGCACAGACTATCCCCTGTGACGAACCAGAAGGCGCGCTTCCACTGCTCCTCGATGATCTGGTCCGGCCCTGTGGCCTTGTAGACCTTCTTCCGATGCGCGCTAACGTCGAGGCACATCCGCACGCCAAGGCCGATCATGTTCCACGTTACGTGTGGCGCGGAGCATCCGACAAGGAACACCGACGCGAGCTGTCAAGGAAAGAAGGACCAAAGTGATGAGCAAGAGAGATGAGCGAGAATGGACGCGATAAGCTCACCGCGTACTGTTGTACGTCGTACAGCCTCGGCGGCGCAAGCGGCGACTTGCGGACCATCTCAACCTGGGAGTACCACTTCCAGCCGGCGCTCTGAGTCGGCGCGCCACGGAGGAAGACGCGGGGATCATGCGTGTACCGGCTCGCGATCGCGCACACGAGTAGGACGACGCCGCCAAAGCCGGTGTCGCGCAGATGCAGGCCGTCGGCGAGAGCCTTCTCGAACATGGGCCGGTGCAGGATCGGAGTGTAGACATTCGAGTGCGCGAAGTAGAGATTGGTGAGTTCGTGTAGGAGATCCGGGTCGGGGAAGGTGAGGGTGTGGGTGGAGAGCGAGTGAGCGTAAATGGAGAGCTCTTCCATTTCCCACTGTCGTTACGATGGTCAGTGAAGAGACTAAGGACGGGTGGAAGGGAGGGGAACGTACAGGATGCACCTGCCAGAATTCGGGCCGACGGGACTTAGTCGCATGCTTGTATGCGTGCTCGAGTTGCCTCGTCTGTAACGCCGCCTTGAGCATGCGCACCGCACTATTGTCGTTAGAGCTTTGGCGCGGGTGCAGCGGATCAAGCGTAAGCTTCTCGAGCCATTCGGAAAGGGGCTCAACCGGATTCCCGTCGTCGTCTTCCTCGTCCTCGTCGTCGGAGGGAGAAGCAGCGGATGGAGAACTGCCGATTGCTGAACTCGAAGCGGTGGAGGCGGAGGCGGAAGGGATGGCGCTACTGCTGGCGATGAGCGTGGGACTGGCGCTGACGCTGGAGGTCAATGATGGGTCTGTCAAGGAGTTTCGGGGCCTAGTAGAGTAGCATTAGCCTATACGCAGTGTCGCTGCATTTCTTGCCTTCACTTTTTCGGCGGCCCCCGTTTCTGCGCGATCCGTATGAGTCGTTATATACTGCAGAAAGTGTTCCGACAGACCTTGCTCAAAGTAGCAAAAGTACAATCAAGGTCGAAGGATGTGCATGTCGTACATCTGGGGCGTTCTGGCGTCGTACCGTCGCCTGCGGGTCCACAGTCAATCCTCCTTCAGAGCGCTGAAGCTACAAAAGCGTCCTCACATTTCACTGTAACAGATGTGAACATGAATGAGATCCAGTAGAATAGAAGCTTATTGGAACCAAACGACCTTTCCTCCGCTTGCAAAAGTCGCAAGCCTTCGTGATACGCGTGCGTTTGCGCGTTCCGTCGCCGGGAGAGGGCCGCCAGTCCTCCACCGCGTCGCTCTCATCGCCAGACATGTATCGCAAGTCGGATGCAAAGGGCGGATCAGCAAATCAACCAGGCTCAGGAGGTTTCGGGTTATATGGCTCGTCGCCGCCGCCGGGACCGGAGAGATGAAAGCTATAGCCCCGAGCTGCGCGCACAGTCGTCACTGGAGTGTGTGTGCTATTATTAGGTCAAGGCGCGTTTCTGCCGCGCCCTCCGGCTCATTGATATTTGCACGTGGAAGGCACTGACTTTAGTGGCTTTGGGCACCGACTTGTTTTCTGGCGGCCACTACAGTGTAGCGTGCACTGTACACTCACTCAGCGTTGTGTATATTATCCTCCAAGGCGCTCGCGATGGCGGCCAGCAGCTCTACCGCCCGCAAACTGGCGTCGGACACTTTCGAGGACTACAACAACGGCGCGCAGACCGCGGCGCTCAAGGCCATCAAGTCTTCCATGGCAGCGCTGCCCCAGGACGTCGGCTTTCACCGCTCGGTCGACGCGGGATATGCAGACGCCATAGATGTGTGCTCTGGACGGGTGCTGGGTCTGATCAACAAGATGCTCGCGCTTGCGACATCCGCAGATCCATCGGGTGCACGGAAGGGCAAGGCGCGGGCGGAGAGTGGGGAGGACCTTGTTGATCGGTTCCAGGCGGTGGCAGTCGACGCGATGGACCAACTGCTCGAGCGGGCTGTGAGTAAATTGTGTCGTGTCTGGACATCGAGAAAGGCTCAGTCGTGGCTACACAGGATATGAACCTCGACGAATTTCTGGGCAAAAACAAAGCCCCGGCCATCGCTGTCAACCCGTCCGTCTCACGGACACAGCAACGACAACCACCACAGCAGTCCGAATCCAGTGCACCGAAGCCGAAGCCGTCCCTTGGCCGTCTGGACCCTGCCTTGCAGCATGCCAGCCACCTCCGCAAGCCACAGCTTTCCTTCACCCGCACGGTGGATAACGCGTCCCAGGACCCCTGGAAACCAACGCTGAAGCACAAGTACAACGCCCAAGTGCCGCTTGGCTACCGCTTCCAGGACGAGGAAGGCGGCGATGCCACTAGCGCCGGGTATGTGCTGGATTGGATGCTGACAAGCACGTCGCTCACCGCAGACTGCTTTGTAGGATACATCCCTACCACTACGAAATAACACACGTATCTTATCCCGCACACCTCTTCTCTCCCGGACAACCGACGCCGCCCAAGTCCTTCGCCGAGACGCCGTTCACGTGGGTCGCCACTCCCGCCGCGTTTGCCTTAATGCTCGAAAAGCTCCGCCTAGCGGACGCGATCGCCGTCGACCTCGAGCACCACAGTTACCGTACCTTCGCTGGCTTCGTGTGCCTGATGCAGATCAGCACCCGGACGGAGGACTGGATCGTCGACACACTCGTCCTCCGGGACGAGCTCGAGGAGCTGAATGAGGTCTTCACGGACCCAAGAATCGTCAAGGTTTTCCACGGTGCCGAGTCAGACATACAATGGCTCCAGCAAGATTTCAACGTCTTCGTCGTGGGCTTATTCGACACCTTCCATGCGTCCAAGGTCCTCCGTGCGTCGTCCGTTTGCTAGGTATCGCTCTTTCGCTGATATTCATTTCTCCCGGGATCAGATTTTCCCAGACATGGTTTGGCGTCCCTCCTCGAGATGTACTGCGACTTCATCGCGGACAAGCGGTACCAGCTCGCCGATTGGCGAATAAGGTGAGGTCTCTTATGTACCATCTCATCCCGAACGCTACCGCTGACCCTTGTGCATTCGCCTCTCTCAGACCGCTTCCGCAGGAGATGCTCGACTACGCGCGCTCGGACACGCACTACCTGCTCTACATCTACGATCATCTGCGGCACGCCTTACTCGAGCGCGGCACCTCGCCCGCCTTCGCCGCCTACACACCCGTTGACATCACGCTTGAGACGCCCATCTCGCATCTCACCCCATCGGACGGCGCGACGTGGCTCCTCCGCGAGGTCCTCGCACGCTCGGCCCAGACCACCCTCCGGACGTTCGAGCGCGAGCTGTACGACGCCGACAACGGCACCGGGCCCGCGGGGTGGGACACGCTCGCGCGCAAGTGGAACAAGAGCGCGGGCGCGATGCCCCCCGTGCAGCGCGCGGTGTACAGGGCCGTGCACGCGTGGCGGGACCGTGTCGCGCGCGAGGAGGACGAGAGCGCGCGGTACGTGCTCCCAAACCACTACCTGTTCCAGATCGCAGAGAGCCCGCCGGCGGATATGCCGGGTCTGCTGGCGGCGTTCAGACCCGTGCCGCCGGTCGTGAGGAGGCGCGCGAAGGAGCTGTTGGACATCGTTCGGGCGGCCGTGAAGAGCGAGCTGGATAGCGAGGGGGGTCAAACGAAGGCCGTGGAGGCAGGAGAGGCAGAGATGATTCCTGATGAACCGCCGCGCACTACAGGTAAGGCATATGACGTCGTTGAAGGATCAGCGTCGGATGCGTCATCTCCTTCGACTGGGCTGTGGTCGTTCGGTAAGCTCTGGCGATGCCCTAGAGGGACGTGGTTTGATCGATTGCTCTCTCTTCTTCGTTTGTAGCTCCTGCTTCGTCCAATGCTCCGCTGGCGACCACCGCTTCTACTCTTCTCGGGCCTTCGTCTTCTACAGCTTTGCCCTCGGCTACTTCAACTGTCGCTCAGGAAGCCGATACGGTCAGTGTGCGAAGCAAAGCTTCATGCTCGACCACTCGCAGCTCTCTCTTTGGCTCGCCCAAGCGTCTGTTCTCGTCCTCCTCCTCTGGCGAAGGCCAAACGTCACGCATCAGGCACGTCCTCGCGCGGATACGCGGGTCGCTCACCGTTGGCGCCTCGGTGCCGAAAACGCCACCACCGCCACCACCGGCAGCGGAGGAGGACGCGAAACCCGTGCCGGAGCAGATCGAGGTGCCGTTCGTCCCTCTCGCGCAGCGACAGCCCGTCGTGCGCGAGGTGGTTGACGACGCGATTGTCGTTGTCGGACAGCGGCAGCAGAAGAAAAGAAAGCGGAACAAGGAAAAGAAGGATGGCAAGGCCGAGGTGGCGCCTGGTAAAGCAGACGCAGGAGGTGTCCCGGACGATGGCGTCGTCGAAGAGTTCGACTACGCGACGGCGTCTAACATACTGGACGAGGATGGAGGGGCGCCGGAGCCGGTGGGCCGGCCTAAGAAGAAGCCGAAGGCAAAAGGTGCGGCGTGTTGCTCTCTTGCCCTTGACTATAGGGAGCTTGCTGACTCCAGGCTTTCGATCTCGCAGGCGCCGCTGGGTATCAGTATGGTGACTTCCCCGCGCCGCCGCGAGCACATCGGGATGTCAAGAGCGGCAACCAGTCGCATACGTATCGGTAGTTGCGATGCTTCTATGACTCGCGTTATGTTTTCCTGCTTCACATCATCTTACCCATCGACGCACTGCCCACGTGCATCGTATGTCACCAATTAATATCAAGGTTCATGCCAAGAGACTACCGCACAACTCGTGCAATACCAGAAATCGGTCCCGGGGTGATAGCGCGTGAAATAACACCGACGTACTTGCTCATCATAAGCGCTAAAAATCAATATCCCACCCCGCGCTTCATCCAATGCGTTAGACCTTGGGATATCCCGTCCGCCTCTCCTGGAGCAGAACTGAGAGCATAAATCAGAGAAGAGCCGGGTCGACGGTTCGGGCCCACACGCAGGAATGACTAGCGGAACTGCTCTGGTGTAGCTTATATAAGCCTTAGGTACAAGGGCGCCCTTCGCCACTGCGTTTCTTTCGTGCCACCACCGCCCCCTGCAGCGTTGAAACCGTCGCCATCTATACCCCGATCTCCTCGATCTCCCTAGAACATCTATTGACTCAAGTCTTGCAGTACTGATGAATACTGGCATGGGATATCTTGAGCGGCTCCCCAGGAAACCAATGACCAGCTCATCCTGCTTGTCGACGACGAAGCCACTTTAAGGGCGTGCTCTCTGACATGCCGGACCTGGCTTAAAGCTAGTCAGTCTCAGCTCTTCTCAGAGCCCATCACCGCGGATAAATCGGACTCTTCCTCCTTGATGGACCGCTTGTACGACGTACTGAGCGCGTCCCCTCACCTGCGCGTGTATATCAAGGCGTTGCGTCTTACCGTTGATCGTCTCGTTCCGTTCACCCAGTTGAACCTACCGAACGTCCGGGTCACACACGTATTTTCGGATCATGGACTCTGTGACGCAGCTGCGAGCGACAACGCAACATAGAACTCCCTTCATGCTTTCCCTCGCCTTCGAGCCGTGAACATTGACAATATGGAACTCGCTGCTCGCGATTTCGCCGACTCCCTATGATCATCAGGTCTCTCCCGCCGATCACTCATCTTGGCTTGCATGACCTGGATTTGGAGGGCGAGCAAGAATTCTCGGAGCCCTCTCCAACGCCTAGGCCGACTAGGCTATGCATTACCAGCATCGAGATCGAACAGCTGAGTGGGTTGGCGGAACACGATCAATGCAGTGCCATAAACTCCTTACTATGGCTTTCCTCTCGCGGCGAGATCGCTCTCCAGCTTCATACACTATCATTGAATATAGTGCCAGACGAACCATGGATAATCGCGATCAACACGCTACTGCGACAGTGTGACAGCCTTCGTTCGTTGCGACTTGGCGATTACACATACGTGGAGTGGAGTTCGGGTAAGTTCTGCATCATGCGCCAAACCCACTCTCATCAGCGATTGCAGAGTCCCTCGACTTCTCACACACGCATTCCCTCCGCACTACGGTCATCGAGATGGATTTCAGCCACGCAGAATTCGAGTTTGACTGCGTTGATCAACTGGCCAGCTCCCTCGCCACATTGGGCTCCCCGCTGAACACGCTGGTGCTGAACGTCGAGATCTCTGCAAATGATGCGCCATGGCCAGTGACCGACTTCTTGCCGGGATTAGCAAAGGTGCTCTCCCAAGCGCCTTTCAAGATGCTTACAGAGTTGAACATAACCTGTAACGATTATCGTCAAACCGACGGGGACAAGCAAGTTGAGCAGCACCTTGGAGTGCTCGCGCAGCAGGGTGTAAGGGTACAGTGGCTGGGGTAGTGGCTAGCGCTGTTTCCCGTCAGATGCTACGCCATGTTAGGAACTTTGTACACAACATAACTGAAGCACATGTATACAATCATCTATTGGTGTACTTGATACGTTCTACGGTAGTTGGTACGCCAATGCGTGAAGTGGTCATAGCGAACGAGGCACCTCGGCACGTCTGGGCCATGACGCGGGTCACGGTCGTGCGCGGCCGCATCGGATCCTTTCGCGCACAGCGAAATTCTCGAGCCCGCGATCCTCATCCTGTCTGACCTGTACTCAAGGTACGTGACAACTACATACTACGCATACGCATACGCATACGCCGATACATCGTTTCACAGTCAATATGCACGCAGTGAATTTCGAGCGCCTTCAACGGCTTCCTCAGGAAACCTGCGAGCAAATCATCGCAATGATTGACACCGACAATGACCAGGACACGCTACAGGCTTGTGCGTTAACATGCAGCAAGTGGCTACATGCAAGTCAGTCCAGGCTCTTTTCCGAACCTATTCGTCGGAACGCTGTCATGGCATCAGTCCACATGGACCACATCTGTAGTGTCCTGAACAGGTCTCCGCGTTTGCGGGGTTATGTCGCGGTTCTTTCCACCACCAGCGCATACCTGGGCAGATTCGCGCGCTTAGGGCTACCAAACGTTCGGACTGTGCATGTGCATACAACCTCGCGCTCCAACTCGGAATTCGAAGATGGGGCTTGGGATTCTGGAGCTGGAACGACGACGGCCGACTTGTACGCCGCCCGGTGGTTGCCGTTGGGAGCTTTCCCTCGTCTTCTCGATGTGCACGTTCACGGAGACATGGAACTTGACTCTTTCAGGCTTCTGAGGATGATAAGGACCTTTCCTCCGATCTCCCGCCTAGGATTGCACGGTCTTTCGTGGGTCGGAGCCAGTCGCTTTTTGCCATCGCCGGAGACCCCCGCTGGCCTCCGTCTGAGGGCCCTTGAACTCATACGAGGCGATGTCATCGACATACTTCAGGGTTTATTGTGTTTCTCCGGAAGCAAAGATATCATTTTCGCGCTCGAAGAGCTATCATTGAGCGTTAGCCCCCTTCGCAAACGCGCGTGGATCATCGCGGTCAACGATCTTCTGAAACAGAGCGAGGCGCTACTCGCGCTCCGAGTTGGTGACTATGACCTCATGGCAGCAGACAGCAGTACGCCCTACATTATATTTTCAATGGTATCTATCTTACGACAAATGCAGCCCCTCTCGACTTCTCACGGACACCTCACCTCCGCGTATTTACCGTGGTCATGGACCTATACACGTCGCGCACACTTCGTGCTCTTGAGCATCTCTCCACCTCGCTCGGCACAATTGGCACCTCCGCATCCACTTTGCTCGTGATGAATTTGACCATCACGCAGGTGGAATGGGGCCTTCCACTGGTCGATTTTGTGCGAGATATCGGAGTCATGTTCTCCAACGCATCTTACAGACGGCTCGCAGTGTTGTATGTTCGGATTAACCACGAATTCCTTGACAGCGCGCTGGAAGGGGTGGGCGACCTGGTTAGGCAGCACTTCGGAGTACTCGAGCAGCGAGGGGTGTTGGTCAGACGAATAGACTAGTCATTGTTCCGGCAGCTCTCTGTCCGCGCCCATATATGCAGCTGAGCTATGCAGCGACGAGCCGTGTGGTGATGCGTCTGACCAGGCGCCGCACTTGCATAGAATTATCAACTTGCAGGGCTTCGTCGCACATCCGTATGTGACTGACATCACCAGCCACTCGCGGTAGAAAATGGTAGTTACATGGCTTCTGGGCCATCTTGTAATCGTTCCTCAGAGTTTTAAGCTCTGATCACGCCTGTTGTTTGGGGAATAAGCCAGATTAACAAGATGCCCAGAATGGCAACCCCGACTTGTCTAACGCGTCCACGTCATCGCGTACCTAATCACCTACCTCACCTCTTCCCCTGCATCAACAAGGATTAGTTCTAATCCTAGCATGTTGGATCCCGCTGAACGTGTATCTCGGATCCCGCAAGAGATATGGGACCAGATAATCAGCCTCACCGACGATCAGGCTACCTTAAGGGCTTGTTCTCTGACGTGCCGAAGCTGGGTTCATGTCAGTCAATCCCAGCTCTTCTCTGACCCGGTCGAGGAGAAAGGCCCTAGTATGGACGATAACCTCATGGACGCACTCGTCTGTGTTCTGAGTGCCTCCCCTCATCTCCGAACTTACGTCACGGTGCTGTCCACTACCACTTCATTCATCAACTTGTTTGGAGAACTTTGCCTCCCGAATGTCCGGATCGTGCACGTATGGGAATCTGACAGTACCGAGGGCAATTTCAGCATGTGGACAACCCTATGGGCCCGTTCCCCCCTCCTCCAAGGTGTACACATCCACAATTTTTTCTTCGGTCCACATGAGTTTGTCCTGTTGATTAGGTCCCTTCCTTCAATCACTTGCCTAGGCCTGCACGAATTGTCATGGGAAGGGGAAGAAGATGAAGCAGAACCCGATGATCCTTCTTCGGTCCCTGGCCTTCCTGCTCGGCTTTGTCTGACCCAGCTGGAGGTCGAAGGGGGCAATGTGGACGGCGCTATGAAGCACTTGCTATGCCTTTCTTCCAGCGGGGATATTATTCTCTCGCTCAACACGCTGGCATTAGATGTCGCCGCCGATCCTGGATGGCTGACAGTTGCCAATGCTCTGCTGCAACAATGTAGCATGCTGCTCTCCCTCCGGATCACAAATTACGCCTACCTTGCTTTTTACGAGACTGAGCTCGGTAAGCCTTTCGTTCATACCAATGGCTCACCTTTTACTCACGTTACTCACCCCTCATGCATGTCAGATGAGCCATTCAACTTTTGCATGATGCATGCTATGCGAGAGATCACGATACACATGCACCAGGTGGCGAAATTCCAGTTTGCACTCAATTCTCTACAACACCTCGCCAATTCCCTTAGAACCGTTAGGTCGCAAGCCTTCAGGTCTCTCACATTGATCCTGCAAATATTGTCGGAGGAGGAGGAGGAGACTGCACTGAATGATTTCTTGGCCAAGTTCAGGACCACTCTCTGCGATGAGTGTTCTACATGGTCCACGGAGTTGCACATCCGTTTTCCCCGACACTCCCACCAGACGGGCCTGGTACATAACATGGATTCCTCGGTCGAGGAACACCTTGGAGCGCTTACTCGATGTGGTGTGGTAGTGAGGCAGTTCAGATGACATCCCTTCATGAACGACTACGGGGCGATAAAGCGGGGTCAAAAACGCCTGCAGTGACCATTGCTTCGTATCGAATGCCTATCCCATAACATGTGCCACACGTCTATGCGCAATCGGTGTCACCGCGAGTGAATCAGGTCAATGGATTGGGACGCGAGACTAGGGAGGGAGACCGGGCCGCCAGATTGATCTGCTGGGGGAAGGGGAGCCCACCAGGACCCCAACTATCAGAAGATTTTATCCCTTATGTGCAATTCACAAACACTTGGGAGGTGTCGTGAGGTGTCGCTCTGCGAATCTGTCCATGCATTCGTCGCCAGCGACGCCACTTTACGGGCTGAGCGGGTTCGATAAAAGCACGATGTAAGATAACAGCAACAGCGATTAGACAGTTAGGGTACACGAGTGTTATAAGTACGTATCAGGGGGAGGATAGCACCGCCAAACTATGCATTGTACTTCGCAGCCTCCGCGCCTGTAGGATCGTAGTTGATCTCGACCAGCGGGTCCGGTGGCACCTTCCCGTCGAATCCCTTGTTAGGGCACGTCCTCGCCAACTTCTGCTCCCACCCGCCCTCCATCATCTTATACTCGGGTATCACCACGCGCTGCGACCCCGACACCGTTTTCACCCACTCCCACCCCGTCCTCAGCGGCGCCTCCGGGTTGCCCTTCGCCCACGCCCAAGAGCCGTCCGGCGTCGCGCCCGCACGGAGCTTGAAGTGCTTGAGCGATTCCGGGTTCCACTCGTTCGTGCCCGTCGTCGGGCCGAGGTACCTCATGCGGAAGCGCACGGAGGGGTGCATCATCTCGTACGTGTCCTTCGCGACGTGGTCTTTGTCCGCCTCGTTGTCATCCTCGAGCTTGTACTGCCCCGGCATGCGGTGCTCCGAGCCGAGGGCCATCATCTCGCCCGCGAACGGGTCCTTGAACGGGCCCAGCGCCCATCCCGACCTACCAGCGACGCGCGAGCATATGTCAACGAGAGTCTCGTGATGAAGAAAAGGGCGTCTGGCAGAACGAAACGTACCTGACGGGCGGATACGACACGAACCAGCTCTTCGCGTACTCCTTCCCCTCCAACCGCGGCTTCTCCGGCAACGACGTGATCGCGGCCGTGTTCTTCGCGATCAGGCTGTCGAGGTACGTCTTATCTAGGACCAGGAACGGGCTGATGAGATCCAGCATCCAGAACAGGCTGATGTTCGCGAGCTGCTCCATGTCCGTCAGTCCGTCCGGGCCCAGCGGGTTGCCCGCCTTGTCGACCCGGAGCTTGCCCTTCTTGTCTTTAGGGGGAAGGGACTCGGTGCTGCCGCCGCCGACGTTGATGTGGAATCCGGGGAACCAGCACTGGAGAAGGTTGGTCGAGGAGGGCATCTGAATTGAAGGGAGAAAAAAAAAAAGAAGAAGGATATGGTTAGGATCCGATATGAACGGGGTTGGCGCGAGTGAAACACACCGATGGAACCCGGTGTCCGTCCTTGGGAAGATGCCATACACAGGGCGCGAATGGAAAACGGTGCTCGTCGATGGCGAGAGCCTGAAAGGCGTGGTCGACGCCTGCGATGCGGATCAGCGGGGCCGTTCACGTCGATTCCAACACCAAACCTCGCAGAGAGCAACAAGACTGACTGTGGCAGAGCGACGCGCGGTGGAACTTGTGCTTCGCGTTCCAGTTGAATTTCTTCACCAAATAGTACTCGGGCACGCCGAGGCTGCCTACCGTGTCCCACACGCCGACGACCTTGATCCGCGTCGACCGCCCGAGGATCCCCGCCTCCTTCTCCTTGATCAGCTCCGCGGACTGGTTGCTCTGGTACCGCGCGTAGAGCTCGTGGAAGCGGTCCATGTCCGTCTTGGGCAGGACGCCGACGCAGTCGATGAGGCCCGCGAGGCAGCGCGCGGTGTAGGCGCCGCGCGAGAAGCCGAAGAGGAAGAGCTCGTCGGCGGGCGAGTCCTTGCCCGCGGGCTCCCAGTTGTTGACGACGAAGTTGTAGGCTTCGACCACGTTCTCGTCCAGACCGTTGCCCACCGAACCTATCGCACGATGTTCGTCAGGATTTTGAGAGGCTCGGGCGAGAATACGGGGCACGGAAAAGAACCGCACCTTGGATCCCGGCGGCGATGCCGGTCATCGCCTCGGAGCCGACGCCGCTTTGGTAGTAGACGATTTGCTGGATCTCGGCACCGTTCAGAACGTCGGAGTGCGCGATGGCTCGCGCGAGCCTGGTCACGTTCGACGCGGAGTATTGGGTCGCGCCGTCGGAGGATTGCCAGGTGCCATCGCAGCAAATGATGAGGCGCTTGTAATCGACGCTGCTTGTGGGTACCGGCATTGCGCGTTTGTACGTGTGAATGGGAGACGGTCAAGCTGGGTTTGAGGGGGTGAGAGTAGGGCAGGGTGGGTTGGGTGTAATGATGTTTTTCTTTCGTCGACATCGGCAAGAGCTGCAATTATACAGAGCGGCCCTGGGACCATTGGAGCGCGTACCCCGGAACCAAGGCAGGGCCGACGTGCGCAGGAAGGTACGGACCGCGCTAGTAGTGACAGGCCATATTGTTCCTCGACCTCCGCGTGTGGAGCTAGACCCAGCTGAACGCCGGCATACTCCGTTGGGCGCAATCGCACCTCAGCCTGGCGCTTGTATGAATGCCATGCCAGAAATTCGCCGTCTTATAAGTCCTAAGTCTTAATCTCGTCAATGACCATCCATCCGAGCGACTACCTGAAGCGCGCGACTGCCAGTGGAGTGAGACCAAAGTACCGGAGTCGATCCAGCCTCCAGGTACGAGCACAACGGAGTCTGATGGGAGGCGACGTTCGAGCTTGACATGCTTGACAGCTCGAAAGGAGAACGCCGAACGGTGTGACAGCCCCGCCGCCCGCGCCACCCCGCCCCCCGAACCCGCTCGGTCTCGACCGCCCGACGTTTTCGGCTCCGATCGCAAGTCCCAAGATAACCCCTGATAACCCCTCCATGCAGCTCGCCGATACGAACGACGATCATGATGCATAAGTATTCATGCATGCATGCATGTGTGTGTGTGTGCATGTGTGAAAGAGAGATATATATCATAATTAATGCATATATACCAACACAACGTGTCATCCGTTACCCCGACTCTATGCGGTCAGGTTGAAGGAGTACTACTAGCATACTAAGGGTATCTGTTCCAGCGGTCAACAGACGACGCGGTGTCATGACAGGATCTGTTGGGAGAGAATAAAGATACGCTCGTCAGCACATAGCTCGAGTCTAGATCGCGAACCCACACGAGAGGGGACGGAGAAAGAAATCGCCACTCGGAGCGCCCGCGCGGGGAGTAAAGGCGTAGCGTCCCACAAGGGGAAATAAAATCAAAGACAGACGTGGTACAGCACGCAGACGATAGCGAGACCGGTACGCACCGCGAGGAGGACGACGCAGACGACGACGACCAGAACGAGCATGAGGCACGCGGCGCGCCGGCCGGCTTTGCGCTGGTACTCGTGCGCGGTCGCGAGCTCGGCCGCAGCGCCTTGGGTGTCCACCGCGATGGAGGAGATGTTCGATTCGATGTTGTCTGTTTGTTTTTATATTTTTGTACCCCCACGTGGGTTAGCGGTCGTTTCGAGGAACGGTGGAAAAGGAAAGGGAGGAAGGAGGAAGGAGGAGGGTGAAATGAAACGCACCTATCATCTCGCCCTGCTCGTTCACGAGCGTGCCGAGGTCGCGGAAGATCTCGTGTAGCTCGTGTATCCCCGTCTCGATCTCGCGTATCTCCGCCTCGCGCTCTTGGATCAGGCTCTCCTGGTACGCGAGCTCGTGCGGAGATAGCTGGGACTGGAGCAGCTGCGCCTGGCGCTGAGCCGGGGACGCCGAGGGGGATTGCGAGGGTTCGGGTTCACTACTAAAAAAAAAAAATAGGAGCACGCCGATGAGTGAGTGCGGAAGGGCACATGGGCGGAGGACGCACTGATGATGGTGTTCTTCGTCCGCGGCGATCTTCACGCCCTGTACGACCGTCCGCTGCCGCTCGGCGCTGACCTGCTGCGCGCGCTGGAAAGCGACAAGCGAGAGCTGGAAGTCGTGCGAGGTCTTCGAGAGCGCGGTCTTGTACTGCGGCTTGTCACCCTGAGCGCAACGCGTGCGCGAGTCAGCAAAAACGGGGAGTCCAATGTTCCGTGTGCGATGACGTACCAGCGTCGCCTGGATGCCCGCGAGCTTCTTGAGGTCGTCGGACCCGCGCTTGGCCATCGCTCGCGTCGTCTCCGTAAGATTATGCCTGCATCAGTATCCCCGCCCAGTGAGTGAGACGATCAAACAAACAAAACGGAGGGTAGAGAGGTCGTGAAAACGCACAAGCTCGTCCGGAGGTTGGCCGAGTCCCTGCCCGTCCCGAGCTGGTCGACGAGCTTGAGGATGCCCTGCACGTTCGCGTTGATCTTGAACACCTGCAGGCTGAGCGACGACTGCAGGCTCGAGAACGCCGCGTCCTCCGGGGAGCCGCTGCTGTTCGCGAGCGGGGAGGCGAACGCGGGTCGCGAGGTGCCGGATTCGATGTCCGCGAAAGACATGGTCGTCTAGAGGGAGACTTGGTCCTAGTAGGGTTGCAGAGGGTGAGTTTAGAGAAGTTGACGATCCGAGGAGGTGGTCGAGGGAGGCCCGGGCTATGTGAGATAAACACGAGGGGGGTGCGGGGATGGAAGGCGCAGTCGTGAGCCGTGGTCGCGGAGCAGAGTCAAGATCAGCTGCATGACGTTCTCAGGCCCACCTGCCTCACTGTAAGATAGGCGTAAGGGGGCGAGGCGGGCGGTGGCGGTGTCACGACGCGCCTCGCAGGCAACAGAGCAGGATCCGGTAGTATAGCAAAATAGAATGTAGATACAGGCGTGCAAAGAGTCTTTTATAGTCGAGACGCCATAGATATCGTAGATAATCATATCTCAGATATCAGGCGCCCGGAGGAGTAAAGTTAAGCACGCAAGGTTTGTATGGTAACCGAATGGGGCACGCTCACAACCGCGGAGTTCGGACCTGATGCCGGATGGCGGAGCTCAATAACTGCCATGTGGGCACAAACCAGACTGCGGTGGACCTCTGGAACCTTAACTCACCGCTGTTTTATTATAGCTTGCCTTCTTCATGGGTCGCCGCTGTCCCAACACCTCTTAGGTCATGGACCAACCCTCCTACACATCTCAAACATCTCCTATACAGTCTTGTTCCTATATTCCTAGCAAAATCATCTCTTTTGTCGACGTATCATAGTTACACTTGAGTTATGGCATCACTTCAGGGATGAATTGAACAACTGAGTCTGTATCGCTATCGCACTGGTGAGCTGATCGGGACCTGGACAGATTGCTTTCGACGTATCCCCCATTTTCTCTCCTCCCTGCTACAACCACCGCCATGTCTCAGCATGCCGCAGGTCCAGATCAACCAGCTATGGCTTTTGCTGCCTCTCTGACGGAGGTTAATCGGGAGTGTCCAAGATGCAAGGTCGTGTTTCGTCCTGGAGAAACGACATGGACCGAGTTTCAAAATCTCAATAATTCTGGCGACCCTGCCCGTCTGTATTGCACCACCTGTACGGTGTACTATAGGGCCAAAGCAACGACAGTTCGACGCCCTGCTACTCTCCGTCGAGGTAGATGATCAGGTTTCTGTGGCTCTCCAGACTTACACCACTATACAGATGATCCATCGAGTATTCACTCCAACAATGCACCCATGGCCCCCCCTCATCTACCATCACCTCAGTCTACCTCTATCTACCATCCTCTGATACATGCTCAGACATCCCAAGCGCAACGCGGGCAAGGTGAGAGGGTCATTGTGGCTATGCCTGCTACATCCAGCTGAGCGCACATATCAGGTGCTTTGCCTGTCCGTGAGATGAGCTATGCCATTGGCACGTCCGGTGCTCGTGTCTCTGTCATACCAGCCAACCCCACCGCACTCTTAGCTGCATCCCAGTCACCGCTAGCCTTAGGCTACACAGAGGCTCATAAGCGGATGAACATGCATCTCGACAAGTGGTCTGGAAGGGCTGCCGGTCGCCGATCTTCAGAAACTTTTGATGCCAAGCTATTCATGGCGAAGTTTACAAAAGGGCTTAAGTTTCAGCTGTTCGAGGTGAGTTACATAGTTTCTCTGGCTATATACGACAATAATAATTGAGTATTCAGGACGTAGCCACTGCTGTGACAGGCATCGATGCCCACATTGGGGTACAAGCTCTTCACGAACGTACATTCTACACCCTTCTACCGCTTTTCAAGGAATGGTCCTTCGATTTTGACCTCAAGATCGAAGACACTACCCTTCATTTGAAGAAGCCTGTCGCTGCCCTTGTAGCCAACCCTACATCTGATAACGATGCGGTGTACCACCTTCTCTTGACGGAGAAAGGTGCAGGCTCTAAGGCAACTCCGCGCTTCAAGTATGGCACCGAATTGGATATCTTTTGTGTCATCAAACGCAACAAGCTGGAAGAATGTGATACTCACAGAATTAACCGCCACCTCGCGCTTGAAGACACAGAGGCTTTTGGCTTTGCCGCATCATCCCAGCAAGTCGCTTCTCCATCGAAGGTTAGTATCTCCGTTATTACAGTAAATACAATTCTGACCACGCTTTAGCCTCTCAAGCGGAAGAATGATACACTTTTCTTATCGGGATCTGAGTCTGAGAATGACAAAACAGATACGCTGCCTTCTCCTCATCGTAAAACAAAGGTAGATTTATCCACCCTGTCGTTTGGGGCGCTCAGTAGCTCATACACCTACTTTAGAACTCTTCTACTGGGAAAGGGAAAGCCCGTGCAAGCCCCAAGAAACCTATTCCCGTGAGTTCAATTCAAATCGCTGTGGTTATAGTATTATAGATGAGCAAGGTCTCCCAGGTGCAATACTCCACTAAAACAGGTCAGGGACGTAAAGACATCTCTGATACCACCCAGGTAGCTCTCTCCACATAGAGATCATCCCTCTCCTGATGTTGACTTATCCAGTCTCTGTCCAACGACCTCAACAACACTAAACTGGTCCTACCATCTACGCCTCCATCGAACAAGTCTGCCGTGGTGTTTGTCTCACCTTCCCGCTATAAAGAGCACCTTAACGCTGCTCTTGAAGCTCAGCATAAACCTGCCAAAGAGCGCCTCCAAGAAGCGAGTGCGTGACTGTCTTCCTGGGTTGGATAATCTATTGAGTGAATATTTCTAGTCACAGAGGCGAAGAAGTTCCCCCTGGTCAGCTTCTATATACCACCCCAACGAACAATTGAAGAAATCATCAAGGACGCCATAAATGATCCCCTACTCTCCACGTCGCTCACCACCTCCAACCTAATGCGCCGATGTGAAGTTATCACGGTCGCTCTAGAGGTCAACCTAGTGAAATCTCTTGGCGATGGGTCCTTCAAAACAGCACATCTGGGCAGAGTGTTGAGCGTTATATCGGGTGACACTCTGATAAAGGAACTCACTGGTGATATCTGTGTCAAACAGTTCTTCTGGGGTGCGAATGGCGGCGCTGTACGCAAGCGCTATAGAGGCCTCAGTGAGCTTTCAATGGTCTACCTGGAGCTCATCTGCGTAGAGTGGGCTTCCGCCCTTCTGGATATGGTTTACATGTTCATGAAACGGGAGGATAGCAAGAACGACATAGGAATCCCTCCCTTCGATGTCCCCCAGATGGCATTTGTGAAGGCGGCATTAGCGATCTGTCATCTCGGCAAGGAGGAAAAGATACTGATTATCGAGCAAATGATACCTCAGTCTGTGGATGGGGAGAACTTCTTCCTCTACATTCACAATGGATCCGCCATTCCTACCATGTTCGACGATCCTGGCCTTATCGAGCGGGCAGAATTCCTTGCATTTGCTCAGCATGTACAGTGGCTCAAAACCGAGGGTGAAGTCTTCATATCAGACCTTCAGGGTAAGCTGAATTACCTTTTGCTTGATTATTATAATTAACAGAGGTACAGGTGGACGAACACTTCTCACTGATCCCCAGATCATGACCAATCCGTAAGATTTACTTTTTGTTAGTTTGCTTCCCAGCTGACAGAGACAACAGGGAGAGAGGAAATATATTTGCTGGAGGCAATGTCGCTCAAGCTTTCACAGCATTTCCATATGAACATGTATGCAACAAGTTTTGTGACCACTATAGGTTGCCTTCGACGGAGGAGACCTTAAAGAGCTGGTCGATGAACAAAGTAGATGACAAGGAGGTCCAGAGAGAGGTCATCAAGCAACCCGAGGGTGACAGTCCTCGGGAGTCTGGCGCAGGCTCAATCACAGCCTAGGGAGATGAACTTTTCACATAATTTATATGATTTGTATGTCTGCAACAGACACATAAACAATACAATGTAGCTCAACCTACAGTTCTTACCAGCTGCTCGTAAGAATCGTGTCGATGAGCTGCTAGGCTCCAGGTATTCTCACCATAGAATTGAACCCTCTTGTGTAGTAGCTGTTCCATGATGAAGTTAGCACGGAAAGTCGAGGAAGTGTTCAGTCACACGGCCTCCACACGGTTGGCAAGTAGGACGTCTCTAAAGGATGCGGTGAGGTGGATGTTTAGTCGAGATGGCGGGGCACACACACCTTGATACCTGCACGCCACACTCGCGGAGAGCATTGAGCATTGAAGCGTCAGGGATGTGGAGTGCGAACACGCAGTTGTTGGTGTGAAGTGCGCCTGCATCTTGCACGACAAGCACGCTCACTTCTTACATGGCGGGTATGCCCAGTTCTTGCACCGGACAAACTGATTGCGAGTCCGCGGGACAGGCCTGACCAGACCCGAGATCGAATATGCATGCGCAAAGGCTAACAACCGAGGTGAGAACCATGTCGTGTGTGTGCAACTCGGATATAGCCTACCGGAGCTGCACCGTCTTCGATGGCCAACACAGGAGGTTCGAGGCTTCGGGAGAACCCTGGCAAGAAGTGTTCTGAGATCCCATGCACCGGCGTGACCTCCTCGATGTACACGTCGACTTACGTCGTGTCTGGCGGCTCCACGTTTCGGCGTTCATTGTCCCTCTTGAGCAGGACGCGGAGAGCGAGGAGGAGCAAGGGGCAGATCACGTAGCATATCCCGATCACGATCCACGGGACGTGGTTTCTGCGGAAAAAGTACGCAGCCGTAAAAAAAAAAAAACAAGACGATTCGCAAGGAGGGAGGGAAACGGACCTTGTACTTGGCCTGCGGCGTTGCCTATGCAATACGTGCAGAGCATGATCACATTCGTCGTGATCCGCTTCGTATGCCCCGCCATGACGGACGACACCGGAAAAGCGAGAGCACAAATCCGGTCGTGCCTACACCCGTCAACCACTGCCTGAACAGCAGCCAGACCTTATCGCTCCACGGCAAAAACCTGATGAGGAGCACACCCAGGAGGTTGGGGAGAATGCAGAGCGTCGGGAATTGCGAGCCGCACGTAGTCTTCAAGGGAGGGCCGGGGTCACGTCATCGTGTGCTCCCGGACGGCCACGGTAACCGCATGGGCAGCGACACGTTTGGAGCATCGTATCGGCTTGTTGATGTCCGCGGCGGGAGAGGCAACGGCGGCAGCGTCGTCGTCGACGGGTTCCGTCGTGGACATCGTGCACAGCGCGTGGAACATCTCCTCCTCGGTGGGGCTAAGTGGGGTATCTGTCGCCAACACGTCTTCGGCAGCGAGCGTTTCCATGTCGAGTGAATTGAAGGGTGGGTGAACCGAAAGAATATGATCCTCGACGATGTCCCGTCGCGGCACGTCTTCTTCCCACAGAGCGTCGCCAGGCCGTACCGTTCTGATGGACGACTGCGACGTGCGCTTCGTTTCCGTTGTCGAGCGGGGTTCTGGTGCGGAGCTGTCGCCCATTTGCGAGCCTGTGGATGCGAATGATGCCGAAGCTGTAAGCCGAATGAAGTCAATCAAAGGCATGACGTAAACAGAGTAAATAGATGCGAACCTTGTCGTGCACGAGCATCCGGGGAGGACGCCGCAGGACTCGGCTGGAAGAAGGGGGAAGAAGCGCTCTCTGTGAGAACCTCCGGGGAATCCAAGGAACGAACAGAGGACGACAGCGAGGGCATCGACGACAGACTTGGGGAGGGAGAAGGTACGTCAGGTTTCGATTCCACGGGGGCAGTGGGTAACGGAGTGTTGACGCGACTAGGAGGAACGGCCGTGTCCGTCATCGAGAGCGTAGGACGCCGGCCACCTCTCCACTCGCGATCATCGAACTCGCGATCTTCCACGGTATCGGGCCCGAGAAGCTGCACATCCGTCCACTGGAGTTCGCTGGGTTGATGGGAAGTCGAAGGTGGAATTCGGCGAGGTACGGTAGGTGATACGGGGGAGTGAAGGGTGAGCGCGGTAAAAGTCGAGCGTTGGCGACGACGAGCGTCTGCTGCTATCGGCCCCTGCAGCGAATGAGACGTCGGCAAAGTACCCATCGACGTCAGCCTCGTCCTCCTCCTTAACATGGGCGGCGTCATCATCGTCCATGAGCCATGTCGGGACTGCGTGCGGTACTGCTTCCAGTCCCACGTGTCGAAGTCCTCCGTCTTGACCGACGACAGTCCGCCAGCAGCAGCCTGCATGACGATCTCGACAACCTTCGAACGTTCGTCCATGGTCGCCTACGCGCTTGGATCAGTCGGCTCCTGCTTGATCGTCCACGTCCGCAGCGGAGGGCGGCGACTGAGGCGCAGGGCTATCCTCCCAATGCGTCTCGATATCGCTCTCCTCGAATTCCTCGTCCTCATCCGCGTCGAAGCCCCCAGTCGGCATCCATATCCTCATCATCGGAGAAGGGCGGCTCTTCGGCAGACGAGTACCGCCGAGCCCCGGCCGAGTCCCAATCGTGGCCATCAGCGGGGACCTCGTCATCAGAATCTGGAGGGGGCGAGGCGTCGCTATGGGTGACGGACGCAGATCTTCGGAAAGGCAGACAGGAGCTTCCACCGAAGGAGGTAATGCGAAGGATAGGCACCGACCATCTGACGATACCGTGTAAGGCGGCATGGAAGTAGCTCGCACTGACGGATACGCAAGTGAAGGTCGTTGATCCATCGGAACATCTGGCACGGGATGGGACTCCACAACCGGAGACATGGAGACCGGAGTCGTCTTCAGACACATCCCCAGAATCGTCAGAATCATCCGAGTCGGAGTCCGAGTCGGACATCTTGGACAAGTCGACGATTTCTCTTGATCGAGTAGCAGACGCGGTCGGCGACACGGAAGACGGCGACGGCGTCGAAGGCGACAAGCTCGCCCGGATGAGGCTCGGCTTGAGGCGCAGCGTCAGCTTCACCTTCGGCGGCGGTTTCTCCGCGTCCGAGCCCGAATCCGACGCCGCGCTCTTGTCCGCGCACGCTCTGGGTAGCCTCTTCCTCTTCAGCCCCCGGTTCGCCGCCCGTCTAGCACGGTCCCTCTCCCTCTTCTCCCTGTCCGTCGTCGGCATATACCCCACCTTCCCGTTCTCGCCGTAGTCGCACAGCCTGATCCCGGCGCGGCTGAAGGGGCACGGCGCGCCGGCGGCCTTGCTGAGGTACCAAACCATGGTGCCCTTGCGAAAGTTGGTGAGCCGGTTGTCGCCGGTGGGCGGATTGCAGTGCGCGCCGCCCGAGCGCGAGTGGAGGGCGGGGAGGAGGTCGTCGTCCGAGGGTGTGCCCGACAGCACGTGGCGGAGGAGCAAGGGGATGATCTTGCTCGACATCACATCGATGCATGTGCGCGCGGATGAAGGTGGTGATAGCCTGGGACGCGGCGGACACGCTGCATACAGGAAGGACGGGTAAGCT